GACATTTTATACTTTTGCGCGTCCGAGCCGCTCATTATTTGCGCACTTTAGGCAGCACAGAAGCAGAGACCGAATGCCACTGTGATAACACATAAGCCCCGTCCCTTCCCAAGTGATATTCCCATCAATCAGAACAAGGTCTGCACAGAGAGTGAGAGAGACATAAACACACATTTCCCATGCTTTTAGATCTCTCTGTACATGCATACGAATTGGGTGATTTATTAAAAGCACACGTGGTTGCATTTTAGTGCAATGACCACTGGAAGGCCAACTTGAGCCCTATGCCTTGTGGAGGGGAGTTCACCAAGAATGTGCCAACATCCAGGGAGCTTTCTGAAGAGGTGCTAATGTGTGCCACGTGCCTCGCAAAAAGCCGCTGGCCATGGGGTTGAGGAGTGGCAGCGAACGCAAGCGCTGAGTAGACCCGCGATGCAGTGAAACCAACCGCATGGCTCTCAGGGGACATCCCGTCACGTTGGAAAGCTTTTGTGTTGTTGCTGCCTTGCTACTTGCAGTCGTGTCACCTGACCATAAGCCACACTTGGAAAATGAGCGTTTGCGTTGGCGAGCGCGCTCACTGTGAAATCCGTGTGCGGGACAACAGGGCGCTAGAGCAGCTCCGCGTCGCCGGGGCCGTCGAGGGAGGGGGGGGGGGGCGGGGGGGCGGGGGATGGGCGAACGGCCGTCCCCGCGCCCGTCCGTGGCGCGCCGTCGATTTAGTGGTTATAGTGCAACATGCATTGCGCCGCGCGCTCTCGTCGGTGTCTCACCAAGCGAGGTCCTGAACGCGCCGGGCGACAGCCGCTTTCGTCAGGGATGGCTTTGCAGGCGTGTCTCTTGCCACGCGTTTTGTTTACGTGGACGGTGGATCCAGAGCGGCGGGGACGACGGTGCATCCTGAGCGCGATCGCCGCGCCTCGGGCCTCAGGGAGGCTCTTTGAGCATCGCGAAGACAGCGTTTTCAGTGCCGGTGGCAAAACAAAACGATGGATGCGATGAAGGATTTCACAGCCACCATTGCCGTCGGCTGTTGCAAATATTACTTCAATTTCATAACTTCATCTTACGGGAGGCCGATATATTTTCTAAAATTTTAACACTGTAAAGGAGAGCTCTGCATTACGATATAGAAAATGGCTTTGTGCTACAATTTGGATCTGAGAATGTGTGCCTGAGGAGGATGGGGTTCAGATTGAGAATTAGACTATGGCTACAATTTAGGGATATGGTTAGTGATCACGAGGTCACAGTAGGATGAGGCCCTTTTTTTGCTGTTGAAAAATCCAGGTTAATGCTGACAGGCACGGGCTGCGAAACAAACACTCTGCATTGACAGCGGTGGGGGACATGGCTATGGCTTTTGGAGTCGGGGCTCAGCGCTAGCCGTATCTCTCGTGGCTCTCCGCATCGCTGTAGTTGCAGCTCAGCTGGGATTCCGACACGTAGCGCCGGCTCGTGAGCCCGGAGCGGTCGGAGGGTGCGCGCTCCTGGTGCGACACGGCCGACACCATGGAGCCGTCCTCCTGCGCCGAGGAGACCGGTGTCACGGCCGCGCTGCCGCCGCCGCGCGGGGACGTCGAGTTCGCGTGGGACGCGGCGATCCTTGCCGGCGGGGAAACGTGGTTGTGCCGCTTCCGCGCCGCCGCGCACTGGCCGCCGCGGGCGGTGGCGGTGGCGGCGGCGGCGGGGCCCGCGCGCGTGCGGTGCGCCCTGAGCGGCGCGCCGTGCGGGTGCTGCGAGCCCGGCGAGGGCGCGTCCTGCCCGCTGTGCGTATACGTGAGCGTGGGCCTCGGCGTCGCCGGCGTGCGCGGCAACTGCCGCCGGGACCGGTGTGGGGTGCTGCCCCCCGACGTGGACGGGGCGGGGCCCGGGCTCACCTGCGGAAGTGGCAACGCCACGGATGGGGGGCGGGGAGCGGAGAGGGGGGGGGTGGTGGGATGGGGGGGGAGGGGGTGGGATGGGGGGACAGGGCAGGGGGGAGTGGGGGGAACGGGGGGGGGGTGTACGGGACAGATGGAGGATTGTGTTGCTAAGGCAGCAGGTTTCAAAGGTCAAAGGTGAAAGTCAACAGGTTAATAGGAGCAATTCAAGATAGAGGTCAGGTTGTCATCATGGCTAAAGCCGTTGATGCCGCCTCTTGGGATTATGGGGAACCAAATGAACGAAGAGCAGGCAAAAGGGCTGAGGGAATTACAGTTTCAGATAAGGTGACTCCCCTTGCACTTACCGAGGTAAAGTCAGAGTTGCAATGGGTAGAGCATACAGGGGAACACAGTGCAGTGACACAAATCCAGTTGATGTTTAACCCAGTTTTTCGGCATCAGCATTGCAAGGAGTTAAACGTTTACATTTGACTTCACTGGCCAATTCTGCCGATGAAAATGTGCCCGATCTTATCAGGAGCTAAGCATGCTGGGGCCTAGTCAGTGCTTGGATGGTGATCACCAATGTACACACTGGTTGTCGGGGCTGTGGGGCTATGTGCTAGGCAGCGCAGGGCAATTCAGCAAAATCCAACGTATTGTACTACTATGCACCCACATCTACGGTTCCTGCCTTAATCGCACCTCCGATTAGCACGGTTGGCTATGTACGGTGCGAAAGAGGTTCGAAATCAACCAGCGCAGATCAGTGTGGTGAATAAAGAATATAATGACCCTTTCTGGCAATAAAACAGGTGTTAAGATGTTCAAACACCAAATATAAACCTTTTGTAAGGAATCAAGTCTGCATTAACGAGACGTACTTGTGGTGAACACGAAAACAAACATGGTCTTATAATATATGCATTGTCTTTGACAATGCAAAATATATCTATTTGGTTTAGCACGTAGGCTTTTGCGACCAGTATTATTCATAATAAAGGTCTTTTGGTTAGATCACATTATTATGTGTTGCAACCCTCCACCACCCGACATGGCCAATCAGTAAAAAAAAATGTGTCACGTGAACAAAACGCCAATTAGTTACTTCTTCAGCCCACCGGTGTGTTTGAAGAGTGAATCCACAACATTTAGAATTTGAGGACGAAGTTTCGCTGGGAATTACAAAGTTTCGCTGGATCTTTGGGTGAGGGTTGTGCATGGTGTTGGAGGTTCAGGAATCGACTGCACCGGGAATTTGTTCAAGGCGGGAATTGGAATTTGATAGGGAAATGGGTAAGTTGCAGAGGTTCAGGTCAACTGATAAAGGTCAGAGTTGGTTGGAAAGTTACGTCAGAAAAACAAGACACATTATACACCCAGAGTGTATTGTCAATTACAAATACAGTTTAAAACGCTTGCTTCTTTAAACACATTGTATGTATGTATGTTGAACTTTTGGCACCATACGTAGCCAATCGTGCTAATCGGAGGCGAGTAGAGGGATGGTGAAATGTTGATGCTCTGAGATGAAAGTGGTCCGATATGAGAGCAGATCAAAAGAGACATTACACGCATTTACAATCTAGAATTCCTCTTATACACGGTAATGATATCAGGGACCAGTATCGCGGACCAATCATCCACGAGGTTATCCGTAACATTACTTACGGAAAATCTGATCTGCAAGCTCAACATCTGTGAATAACCCGCAGGTTAATGGGACGAAATTGCCATGCGACTCCTCATATCCACAAACATATTGCGGATAATAGGAGCTTTTAAAGCACAGCGGCTGTCAATGAAGCGCAAGGTGTTTGCGCGTGAGTGCAAATGACGTGGCGGTTCTAAGACACACGGCAGCATCTGTATCTCCGTGTGAGCAACAGAGACACAGAGGGGATACACCCACAGATACGGACATGGAGACACAGAGACACCGGGACAAAAAGACATAGACACGCAAAGGTGTAGTAGGTGTTACCGTACATGGATCTCTCATCTCTTGTACTGTACGTGTAAGTGGCGAGTGACATGTCCTGCCCAACCTCACTTGCAGGAAGGGTGTCTTACGATCTCTGTCTCCATGTCTCTGTCTCTCCGAGTCTCTCTGTTTCCGTGTCTCCCTGTCTTCGAGTCTCTCTGTCTTCATCTTCCTCCGTGTCTTTGTGCGTCTCCGTGTGCCTGTGGCAGTGTATTCGTGTCTGTCTTGTGTGTGCGTGTATCCGTGTTTGTCTCTGTGTCCCCGTGGTTGTATCTGTGTTGTCTTGTGATGTCTCTGTGTCTCTGTATTCTTGTCTGTGTTGTCTCGTGATCATAGCGAGTGCCGGTGTAAACTTGCTTTGATCACGGCCATCTTTGTTGAATTGCGGTGAACCACTGGTAATGAAACATAATTTGAAGCTCATCTGACCCATGGAAACCTGCAAGTATTACAAAGCCGCTTCACAATGCATGATGGGTAAAATTGTGGATAATCGGACCCAACAGTTGCCGTGGATAACAGGAGTAAGACGAACATGGATAAGAGGAGTTCTGTAATTAACAATGATTTACAGCCATTTCTCAATCCCTTACTAGATCAATGCCCCGTGTGCTATCTCAGACATGGAGGATGTTCTACCATGCTTCACCGTGCTGATCAATAAGGGGCGGTGAAGTTCAGGGCCCACGTCGCTCGCCACGGATGTTAGCCATGGCCAGGAATCGTACTCAAGTCACCGGGTTGATAATTGCAGTGTGCAAACAACTGCGCCAGCACTTGTGACTTTGTGAGTCGTGTTACATTTACACACCCATTGGAAACTGGGCTTGAGGGCCCAGGAATGGCCCACGCAGTATCGTGGATGAACATCATGGCACAGACCCATGTCCCCACACTCCACACGTCATGGGGCTTTGAGCCCTACGACTACTTTGGGGCACAACGATCATGAGATGTTAACTACTTCGCCTGTGCTACAGGAAGTCGTGGGTTCGATCCCGACCCTGATGTCTGTATGTTTGGATTTTGCGTGTTCTCCCCGTGGTCGTGTGGATTTTTCTCCAGGTCCTCCGGTTTTTCCCTGCACATTTAGAAACATGCATTTCGAGTATTTGGCTGCTATAGATTTCCACATGATAAACCACTTTGTTGAGCTATCATTTGTGGCCAGGTCACTTCTCAAAATGAGCTATATAGCTTGGTGGGCCTTACCCGGTAAAATTTTTGTTTTGGCCACCAAAATAACAGGAAGAGCGATTTTTGTCGAATTCAGTAAAAAATTCAACATGTCAAAAGCCACAATGCACGTGAATGTGAGACGGTGGTCCTTGATGAATAAGGTCACAAAGAAGTCCTTAAAGAGCTGCGTGTGGTTCCGGAGGTAGGCGATTAAAAATGGCAATGTTGTAATTTTCCGGCACGTCTTTATTTTTCATGAAAAACATGGCCCTCAATTTGAGTTACGCAAAGAGACGCCGTCAACCCCACATTCTGCTTCCCCCGTTAGCCCCGTGAGGTTCAGGCCGGTGCCGAGGTGGGCCCGGGTAAAAACGCATGGCTCCCTTGTTTAGAGGGAGAGCTGCCACCCAGATCCACGTGGTGCCAGGCTGGCCCAGGTTCACACGTCATGGGAACCCAGGCTGAGCCTGCGAGCCTCGCTCATGAACAATTGTGAACCAACGTGTCTCATGAACCAATGTGGCTTCTTGTACCAATGTCAGCCTCATGAACCAATGCGGCCTCATGAACCAATGCGGCCTCATGAACCAGGCTGGCATGCTTCGTATCGGGCGTGGAAACGTGGCAGTGCAGAGAAATGGAATCGAGGCAGGGCAGTGACAGAGGGCGTCTAAACTAGTAACAGTTAACAACTCCCTGACTAGCAAAAAACAAATGCGAGTCGGGTGGACAAAAGAGTGGTGACAAGGGGTAAAAATATAAATTTCTGAATATATTCTACATCAACATACAGATTATAGAGAATGGTAGCAAAAGAACAGGCAGAGATACATTCCGGTACTTACTTGTCTCTCATGATTGAGGCTGGGCGAGCACGTCCTGTAGGCCTCCACGTCAGTGTCGTAATGCTGGGGATGATGATGATGCTGCTGCTGCTGTTGACGGTGTCGCTCGCGTGATCGGTAGCGATGGTTTCCAGTTCTCTCCGCGGTATGAGAGCGGTCTCCAGACCCCACACCTTTCCCCACCCCCTCTAAAGTGGCTGTCTTAGACTCCACACCCTCTTTGGGCCTTGTCCTGTCCCTGGGCCCCGTCCCCTTGGTTCGTCCCGTGCCCTCCCGTGGGCCTGTCCCCTCCTTCAGGCCTGTACCTTCCCTTGGGCCTGTCCCTTCTGTCAGGCCTGTCCCCTCCTTCGGGCCTGCTCCTTCTCGCGAACCTCCTCCGGCTGTTCTCATAGCAGGCCCCAGCCTGTCCTTAGGCCCCGCTCCACCCACACCGTCATCTAACTCACATCGGTTTCCATTTCCAACGGCAGACGCTGATCTCTTCATTGGGCCCGTCTCCTAAAACAGACGTAAGCAGACGAAAGCCTCTAACTATTTTTATTTATTTAACCAGGTAAGGCCCACTGAGCAATATAGCTCTTATTCTTGGTTCTTTCGGTAAAGTCACGTTGAAGGGAAACAATAAAATAATAAAATATATAAAACAATAAATTCTCACGACGTTTCGACTGCAACACAAGCAGTCATCATCAGGTGACTTTACCGAAAGAACCAAGAATAAGAATCACTGCAGTCACGAAAGCTTTAAATCAAAATATAGCTCTTTTTCAGAAGTGACCTGGCCACAAATGATAGCTCAATCAAGTGGATTATCGCATGGAATTTTATAGCAGCCAAATACTCTAAAAGCAAGTTCATTCTAAATGTGGAGGGAAAATACTGAGGGGACCAAGAGAAAAATCCACACAAGCACGAGGAGAGAGAGGCAAACTACAAATATACAGCAGGCATCAGGGTCGGGATCAAACCCACGACCTCCTCCATACCAGGAAAGGTAGTTAACATCTCGCCACCATGGCCCCCCCGGGTGTACCCGCCACAGGTAGGCAATACACATGTTCTCAAAAGTGTTTTAGAATGCTCATGTAGTTTGAGAATTGATTGGCATCATAAATGTTTTACGAATTCATGATGATTGGCGAAAACTACCTCAAGTCACTTTTTACGTATGATTATAATAATTCCCGTTATTCGTCCACTAACAAGGAGCATTCTGCGAGGACATGTTTAGACAATTTCTTTCATGAGTGTTTGAAATGTTGGAGAACATAAAAGCACCTGTAGAAACCCTCCAAACTCTGCAAGGGTCGGTTCAAAAGTATATTTGCTGTACTGTCATCTCCTGACCACTTTCAGCCTAATAAGCTGGGGAATGTTACGTGTGGTTCGCCAACCTTAGTTGTTTTTTTTTTCCAGAGAAGATACGTTTAACATTTTGTATAACTGGAATGCTTTTATTACTTTGTTCTTGAATATCAAGAGAAGTTCCAGCACGCGTGGGGCGAGCCTTGAACAGCCTCGCTTTATTAAAGACACAAACCTGTAAGGGAGTTGAAGTCAATGGTCAATGGCCCCGAGTTACACTACCCATGCTCCTTGTCTACTAAATAAGCAAACTGCTACTACTCTTGTGGTGTACCCAGATGCCACTCTTGTGGTGTACCCAGTTATCACCCTTCTGTACCCAGATTCCACTCTTGTGTATACCTAGATGCCACTCTTATGTATCCAGATACCACTCTTGTGTGTACCCAGATGCCACTCTTGTGTACCCAGATGCCACTCATGTACTCAGATGCCACTCTTGTGTATTCAGATGCCACTCTTATGGACCCACATTCCATTCTTGTGGTGTACCCAGATGCCACTCTTGTGGTGTACCCAGATGTTACTCTTGTGTGTACTCAGATGACACTCTTATGTGTACACAGATGCCACTCTTGTGTGTACTAAGATGCCACTCTTGTAGTGTACCCAGATGGTCCGGCCGTTGAACACTACCGCTTCTCGAGCCTCTTCGCAAGTGGCCAACCGGTGAGCGTTTTACCAACGGCTAACTCGGGCCCCTTGTGCCTTCACCGGATGGCCGAGCCACTTGTTCAGGCAGCGCTCGACCAACGTGAGGGCCTCAAGTGCAGTGGCCAACGGCCATGTTGCAGTCGTCAACATGAGTGGCGTCGCAGGCAACGCAGGGCTTCCCATGCCGATATTTACGCCTGGCAGTTTGTCCATGCTTGTACGTTACCACCAACCCGATGTGCAATTTTAAAATATAAAAAATGCTTTTTAGCGTTCTTACACATACAGTCAGTTCTGCGAAAACATGTTTTCAGAACGCGAATTGGATATAACGCGATGATGAATGTATTACAGAACATTTTTTTTTATTAACGCGGATGCGAATTGGATATAACGCGATAGAGTGACCAGAACTACGTTGCGCGAGTAGGAGTAAGCGGTCGTACGGCTGCCTCAGCGTAGCATCGCACAAGGCGGGATGCTGCTGTATGCTTTTTAGATGCTACCCACGTATCTCAGTCTTTGTTCAGCCTCCATACGCATCTCACGTGTTATTGCGGACTGTGCTTTACCTTACACAGTAACCAAGTCCCAATGCAACGACTATGTAACAGCAGAACTGACTGTGTATAGTAGTTCTGTACTTCCATGTATGTATTTTAGGAGGATTATTTTTTCCTATCTTAATGTGCGTGCCCTCATGATTTGTTTTATGCGCTGATGTTCTGCCAAGTACTTGTCTTTAAAAAAAACGTTAAGTTCTGGTCTTTTTCCAATTTTTCTTTCCCGGTGCACCCTTAGCAATATTGTGACGAGCCAAAATAATCCATTTGGAAATGTCACAGAGCATTGTGACCTTGTGCGTCTGACACAAGACCTCATACGTCATATACCCTTCAAGTGGCCTCGTCATCTCTACACAAAAGGGGGCGCACTTTACCACACACTCGGCTATGAGATGAGGTTTGGATAAACTCCAGGTTTGAGAATAAAGCAAACATGCATTTGGCTATCACGTGATGAAGTAAGTTTGAATAAAAATGTCTTTTACATATATATTTTTTGTCTGTGCTGTCATTGGCGATCGAACTAAGGCCATTAACTTGCTGCGCTTGAGAAGCCGGTTTAACCACGGTTGGCCACCAGTGTATCGTGAGTGCCGGCTCGGCGCTCTTGACCCCCAAGCCACCCGGGCCACCTCTGCCCAGTACTTTTGTCTGTGTGTCTGTGTGTGTGTGCACTCAAGGTTCTCTTTGCAGGAGGGACCATCGTCTCCGTGGTCTCTCCCCTGGCTGCAGGCAACGCTCGCGTGTGCGCGCACGTACCTGCGTGGTCCCAGCTAGCCGCGGCATGGACACGGCTCGCCCCTGACTCTCCAGGGAAAGCAGACAGTCACTCTATAAAAACAACAAATACACAGATCCCCCGTTTAGCCTTGACAGACTGTTGGGGCAGACTGTTAGCGAGCACTTATGAAGGCCGGCATGGCACACGAGGGGGTGGGTGGCCAGCAACGACGCCCGGCCGCCTTTGTCTCCCCAGCGGCGATGTTTACTACACACAGTACCAGGTACTCATTTGAGGCTCAATAAACCTAGGGGCGGCCCAGGACTGGTTCAGATAATCGTCACTAGTGTTGACCACGAGTGGGAATGGAACTCGGGTTGTCGGGTTCGTAGCGCAGTGCGCCAACCGCTACCTGAACCACTCTCCACACACACACACAAACATCTGTGTGAACACCCATTCATAACCACTCGTTCATGGATTTGGCCAAACATCCTAATATTGGACCGTAGAGCGTGGGGCTATTGCTGGCGCTGACTGTGACTGTCTTCCAGGTGACTTGTCTGCGGTTTCCCATGTCTCTGTGCTCAAACTGGGCGCGTTCCAAATTCGACGTCGTTTTGAGAGCGCAGCATTCACGAGTGACGCTCGAGTGGAGGCGCTTCTGGCCCCAGAGTGTCGTGACCAAGCAGGCAATTGCACGGCTGCATCCTCGTCTTTTCGAGGAGTAAAATATGCCAATGTCTTCATAGCCAACGCTGGAGTAAATCATCAGGGCAAAGTGTTTTAGCGGTTTCATCGACGTGTGAATTTGGCCCTTTGTGAATGTTTTCTGCCTGTTTGTCCGCGCGTGATTGTCCGCGCGTGACTGTCCGCGCGTGACTGTCCGCGCGTGATTGTCCGCACGTGATTGTCCGCACGTGATTGTCCGCGCGTGATTGTCCGCGCGTGGCTGTCCGCGCGTGACTGTCCGCACGTGATTGTCCGCGCGTGATTGTCCGCACGTGATTGTCCGCACGTGATTGTCCGCGCGTGGCTGTCCGCACGTGATTGTCCGCGCGTGATTGTCCGCGAGTGATTGTCCGCGCGTGATTGTTCACGCGTGATTGTCCGCGAGTGATTGTCCGCGCGTGATTGTCTGCGCGTGATTGTCCGCGCGTGATTGTCCGCGAGTGATTGTCTGCGCGTGATTGTCCGCGCGTGACTGTCCGCGCGTGATTGTCCGCGCGTGATTGTCTGCGCGTGCTTTACCTCGGCACTGAGGGTTGGGGCCAACAATGGTTGCATACACTCCAGCTGACAAAGAGAGACACAATCCCATCACTCGCGATTGACACAAAAACAAAGATTCCCCGTATAGCCTTAACAGACTGTAGGAGCAAGTGCTGTTAGCGAGCACCTATTAAGATCGGCATGGCACATGAGGGGATGGGTGGCCAGCACCACACTCGGCCTCCGTCTCCCCAGTGGCAATATTTAGACATTGCACCATTTACTCATTTGAGGCTGAGTCGACCTAGGGGATGCCCAGGACCAGTTCATTTAATCGTCACCGGTGTTGGCCGCGAGCGGGAATCTAACCCGACCAGCCAGGTTCATGGTGCAGCGTAGCGCTAACCGTTGGACTACCACTCTCCACGTTTGACACACAAATACAACCTTAGAGGTCATTACTACCCACTTCTATCTCATCACACCCAGAGCCATCAGTGTTCGTATCGCTGTCAAAAAAAAAAACAAATCTATTCCCTTATTCTTGGTTCTTTCGGTAAAGTCACGTAGAAGGGAAATAATAAAAATTTTACGTAATAAAATAAAATTCTCACGACGTTTCGGCCACAACGCAAGCAGCCATCCTCAGGTGAAGAACAGAACTGTCGGAAAGACAGCGTCCTGTTTTATTTTTATTATTCTATTGTTTCCCTTTTACGTGGTGACTTTACCGAAAGAACCAAGAATATGAATCCCTGCAGTCACGAAAGCTTTAAATCGAAATCTATTCCCTTGTCGTTAAGATTGTATTACACTGCTCCATCCATTATCTGTATCCCAGTTAAGGGTCAAGATGTATAGATAAAACATTCCATCAACAGGGAGCTTACACGTAACCCATGAATACTGATCGTTGACTCCCTTTCTCCTTCAAATTAAAAATTACGTCAAGGCACTTCGTGTTATTTTGTAGTATTAATTCTCTGCAATATTAAAAAAAATTCCAGATATTATTCACATTTAATACTTTGACATGTTCTCTAAGCATTCAATGACACGATGTGGTCATTCATGAAGACAGGGGCTCTTCTCTCAAGATTCCCCACAGCTCACAATGGATCAGAATACATTTGCCAGCAATGGCACCTTGCAACGCTCCATTGTGGTGCTGGTTCAAAATACGTTCTAGCGTTGGAAAACAAAATGCCAATTGAAGTGGTGCAGGCGGTCCCCCGCCTCCACGACGTCACGAAGAGTTCCTGGAAACCCCGTCGACGCAAATCAGACGCCTATTTTCCCATAGGCGGCAGAAACGGTAGAGGCATCACCTGCCGACGTGTTTTTTTCCATTTATCACCCGTATTTATCGGGGTTTAATCGGTAAACATCAATACAAACACGCTCGGGAATAGCAAAGATCGCCACGCGGAGTCACGTCAGAAACCAGACGGACTCCGTTCGGGAGTCGGGTCGGAAGATGCGTCGTAAATCAAGTTTCTGCGCTGTAAATCAAGTTTCTGCGCCGTGAATTGATCCACAGTGGCGTTGTATAATCGTCGTAAACTGGAGACCGTCTGTGCTTTGTATTTTAATCCATGCGATTTGGTTTTAAGTTGTAGTTGAAAGAACTCACAAATGACGCCACGGACTTCTCCTTTGTTGGTTTCTAATTGTATATATTTGGCCACGTGTTCACGTAAATACACGTTTGGCAGCAGCCTTACAAGCGTCAATAATAACAACGCACATTCGCCAATAACATCGTGGCCCTAAAAGTAGTCTACAGTTGCTACTATCGGGCTGTGGCTCTTCTTCGGAGCACGAAGATCAAGTGGTCAGAGCAACTGAGTGAATGGAATTGGAGGCTGCGCTATACACCATGGGACCCCCGATAAAATTTAATTTTCAAGGTGTCTCGATGAACAGTCTTACATTCGTAGCCAATGGGTTTCTTATGATTACAGTTGTCCCTCGATTAACGTTTTTAACCCGATCCACAAAAACTACTGTTAACTGAAATGACTGTTAATCGAATATACAGTGAGGGAAAAAAGTATTTTATCCCCTGCTGATTTGGTACGTTTGCCCACTGACAAAGAAATGATCAGTCTATAATTTTAATGGTAGGTTTATTTGAACAGTGAGAGACAGAATAACAACAACAACAAATCCAGAAAAACGCATGTCAAAAATGTTATAAAATGATTTGAATTTTAATGAGGGAAATAAGTATTTGACCCCCTCTCAATCAGAAAGATTTCTGGCTCCCAGGTGTCTTTTATACAGGTAACGAGCTGAGATTAGGAGCACACTCTTAAAGGGAGTGCTTCTAATATCAGCTTGCTACCTGTATAAAAGACACCTGTCCACAGAAGCAATCAATCAATCAAATTCCAAACTCTCCACCATGGGCAAGACCAAAGAGCTCTCCAAGGATGTCAGGGACAAGATTGTAGACCTACACAAGGCTGGAATGGGCTACAAGACCATTGCCAAGCAGATCGGTGAGAAGGTGACAACAGTTGGTGCGATTATTCGCAAATGGAAGAAACACAAAAGAACTGTCAATCTCCCTTGGCCTGGGGCTCCATGCAAGATCTTACCTTGTGGAGTTGCAATGATCATGAGAACGGTGAGGAATCAGCCCAGAACTACACGGGAGGATCTTGTCAATGATCTCAAGGCAGCTGGGACTATAGTCACCAAGAAAACAATTGGTAACACACTACGCCGTAAAGGACTGAAATCCTGCAGCGCCCGCAAGGTCCCCCTGCTCAAGAAAGTACATATACATGCCCGTCTAAAGTTTGCCAATGAACATCTGAATGATTCAGAGGACAACTGGGTGAAAGTGTTGTGGTCAGATGAGACCAAAATGGAGTTCTTTGGCATCAACTCAACTCGCCATGTTTGGAGGAGGAGGAATGCTGCCTATGACCCCAAGAACACCATCCCCACCGTTAAACATGGAGGTGGAAACATTATGCTTTGGGGGTGTTTTTCTGCTAAGGGGACAGGACAACTTCACCGCATCAAAGGGACGATGGACGGGGCCATGTACCGTCAAATCTTGGGTGAGAACCTCCTTCCCTCAGCCAGGGCATTGAAAATGGGTCGTGGATGGATATTCCAGCATGACAATGACCCAAAACACACGGCCAAGGCAACAATGGAGTGGCTCAAGAAGAAGCACATTAAGGACCTGGAGTGGCCTAGCCAGTCTCCAGACCTTAATCCCATAGAAAATCTGTGGAGGGAGCTGAAGGTTCGAGTTGCCAAACGTCAGCCTAGAAACCTTAATGACTTGGAGAAGATCTGCAAAGAGGAGTGGGACAAAATCCCTCCTGAGATGTGTACAAACCTGGTGGCCAACTACAAGAAACGTCTGACCTCTGTGATTGCCAACAAGGGTTTTGCCATCACGACCACCGCCACCATTAAAATGCAAATCAATTTATAACATTTTTCACATGCGCTTTTATGGATTTTGTTGTTGTTATTCTGTCTCTCACTGTTCAAATAAACCTACCATTAAAAGTATAGACTGATCATTTCTTTGTCAGTGGGCAAACGTACAAAATCAGCAGGGGATCAAATACTTTTTTTCCCTCACTGTAGGAATTACATGTTGAAAGCATTTATCTGTTCCAAGACGTTTAAACACTAAATATTATTATAAGAACAGATCAATGGATTAATATCCTTTATTACAGCGCTCGGATTGGCCGAAATTGGTGCCAGAGTGCATAACATAAACCTGCCGTTCATAATTTTTGTAAACATTCGTCTAAACCATGAGGGGTGCCTATGGGAGGCAAAACGCTAACCGGAAAACCGTTAACCAATGTGACTGTTAACCGAGGGACTACGGTAATGTTTGATCAGTGCCCCATGGTGTATTATAGTAGTACCGTCTCCACCTATGATTCACTCAGTCTCTCGGTTCTCTCTGTCCGTGTGCCATGTAGAATGGCGATTGCCCAAACACATCCCGCTACTGTGTGTGTATTGTGTGTTCCTTTTCGGGTCACAGTGTTCTTGACGAATGTGCCGAGTTTGTGTGACATTTCCATCATGGCATGTGAAAGGTTGAGGTGATCAGCACCTTACCCAGCCACCTTTGTCTTTCCAGTTCTGATGCTTACATGTAAAAAAAATTTTATCAGGTAAGGAGCACTGAGATACACAGCTCTTTTTCAGAAGCGGCCTGGCCACAAATGACACCTCAATTAAGTTGCTTATCACGTGGGAATATATAGCAGCCAAATACTCTAAATGCGTGATGTTGATTCTAATTGTGGAGGTTAAAAACCTGACCCGGAGAAAAATCCACGTGACCGCGGGGAGAGAGACACGCAAACTCCAAATATACAGCAGGTGTCAGGGTTGGGATCGAACCCACGAACTCCTGCATACCAGGCGAGGCAGTTAACATCTTGCCACCACGGCACCCACACTCGACGGATATTAATTTCTGTCGGCTAACTCGACCGACAGAATGCCTGGAACATGTGGAGCTATTACGTGCCAATGACGTGTGCCCTGGGGAATTGCACCCAGGTGTGTGAAGGCAAACACTCACGCGCCGCCCCGTGTGAACGTGCGCGGCTCTGTACCTTGTATTGCGGAGACTTGGCAACGACGGGAGCAGGCACCACGGTGGGTCCGATCTTACGCTGCGCACGCACCATCCAGGGGGCAACAGGGGTAAAGGGAAGAACGCGGATTACGTGTGTGTGTGTGTGTAAGTATATATGTGGGAGCGGTGGTGTAGCGGTTAGATCGTTGCGCGACAAACCCAGCGACCGAGTTTGATTCCCGCTCACGGCCACCAACGCCCGTGACGATTATCTGAACCGGTCCTGCGCCTTCCCAAGGTCGACTCAGCCTCAAATGAGTACCTGGTGCGATGTGTAACATCACCACGAGGGATACAAAGGCGGCCGGGCGTGGTGTTGGCCACCCACCGCCTCGTGTGCCGTCCTGGCCTTCAAAGGTGCTCGTGAACAGCACTTGCGCCAATAGTCTATTACAGGCTATACGGGGGATCTTTGTCTTTGTGTACGTATATATGTGTGTGTGTTCAACTTCTTTTGCACCGTATGTAGCCAACCGTGCTAATCGGAGGTGTGGGAGGAAGACAACAAACCAAACACAAAAAAGCATTTCTAAAGAAATTAGTTTTCAACCGAGATTTCAAATTGCATAGCTCCAGTGGCTTCATAATATCGGAAGGAAGAGCGTTCCAGACGGCCACAGAAGCGCATCTGAAAGCGCGAGATTCGGTGGCCGTCTTAGTCGACGGTTAGCTAAAAGCCGCCGCTGCGAGGTTGACCGGAGTTTGCATGAAGGTTCATGCCACTCGATGAATTCAGCAAGGTATTGCGGTGACCGGCATTACCAGGACCCTGCCATATGGTGTATGTTAGGCATGCACCAGTTCACCTCGCAGATGACGGGCTTTCAACGATACCATATTTTTGCCCGTAGCAATAAAAATGTGGATTTGTAAAAAGTTTGAAAAAGTTGGTGCAAACGAGCAGGGGTGGGATCGTATGCAGCAAAACCTTGGATTGCGAGTCACTTGGTCTGCGAGTGTTTTGCAAGACGAGCAAAAATTTAAAATAAATATTAATTTGATAAACGAGCGAGGGTCTTGCAAAACGAGTAGTGCACGTGTACGCTTTGTACTGCCGAGCGTCACGTGATCGCAACTGATATACGAATGCTTCAATTACAAGCACGTTTCCGGAACGAATTATGCTCGCAATCCAAGGTTTTACTGTATATGGTAGATAGACAATTAACAAAATGAATATAATTGTTATAATTACGTTGTATTGACATTAATATATTTATTATCTTGAATATTGGTGCTGCTAAAGGAATAGGGAAGCTAGATTGCTGTGAAATATTAATCTCGACACCGTGGCGAGATGTTATCTCCCTCGCCTGGTATGCAGGAGGTCGTGGGTTCGATCCCGACCCTAACGCCTGCTGTATATTTGTGGTCTGCATGTTCTCCCCATGGTCGCGTGGATTTTTCTCCGAGCCCACTGGTTTTTTCCCTCCACATTTAGAATGAACACCACGCGTTTAGAGTATTTGCCTACTGCTATAAATGTCCACGTGATAAGCCACTTTGTTGACCTGTCATTTGTGGCCAGGTCAGTTCTGAAAACGGGCGAAATAGCTCAGTGGGCTTTACCTGGTAAAATACAAAATAGTTTAGTTTTAATAGGGGAAACTGTCTGATGTGTTGCAGGGGAATACATGTGGTGTGTTGCAGAGTACTAAGGAGCACATATATCTCTCTTGATACTGCGTCAGACACCAAATAGGACCAGATCCAGGAGATGAGAAGAAAATAATCCAGGAAGTGAGGAATGACACAAATTTGGCTCTATAATTACGTGGCCAAAGGCCCGATTTACTCATGGACAACTGCAATGCCCAGAGTAAGCTGCATCTCCTCCAAATCACCAAGTCAGTGACGTGAAGTAGCTCAAAAGCATATAACCATCCCGAGGTAGTCCTGCCACAGAGGTACGTATGTATGTTGAACTTCTGCCTCCACCGTATGTAGCTAACCATGCTAATTGGAGGTACTGTCAATGGAAGGTTCCACAGGTTGTGGATTATATTCTTGGTTCTTTCGGTAAAGTCACGTAGAAGGGAAACAATAAAATAAAAAATATATTAAACAATAAAATTCTCATGACGTTTCGACTGCAACACAAGCATCGAAACGTCGTGAGAATTTTATAGTTTTTATATTTTTATTATTTCATTGTTTCCCTTATACGTGAATTTACCGGAAGAACCAAGAATATGAATCCCTGCAGTCACGAAAGCTTTAAATCAAAGGTTGTGTATTGATAATAATTGACAAACCATCCATGGGTCACGGTATATATGAAGAACTAGAGTGGTGTCTCAGGTGATTGTGGGTCCAAATGGTGTAAGGGGCACGTGAGGTAATAATGAAGGCATCACGATCTCCCTGTCCACAATCAGTCAACGTTCCATTCCTGTGTCCTTACGTAGAATGCAAAAGACGAGAGGACTGGAAAAAAAAAGTTCTGGTGGGCTTGGGCAGGAACCATCGCTTCGAGACTAGTGATGGCATCTCAGCTCGGACCGCCTGCGCGGGGTTGAAACGCTCAGATTAGTTCACCTGAGGGAGTGAGACGGAGTGTGGCATTGTGAGACCGTGGGGCAGGCCTTTGTACAGAAGTGGACACACTTTGGCTGATGACAATGACGTTATTGAGCCAATGATAAAGTGGAGACGCACATCACTTCGACAAAAGGCAGCACCTTGTGCCCTAGTGGGACAACCGCAACGGTGATCGTGCATGGGCCGAGCGTGGGAAGAGGATGTGTGCGTGTTAGTGTGCACTCTGCTCGCGCTCGCCACATTACCCTGGAGTGCGGCACGCTCGCCTCCGTGCCCACCTGCTTGCTTCGGTGCACTCGGTAAAAATCCAAAATCATCTTCACGGCGTTCACCTTCCCCACCGTCAGGTCGGTAGCTGTAACGAAGAGACACGACGAGAGAAGCAGCGGTGGAGTATTCCGCTTGAGGGGAGTTCACCTGCTTGTCTGAGCCCGGCGGGAGCGCGCTCGCCACTTGTTGCAGAGGCTTTGCAGGCAGGCCGCCCTGGTTATTACCGCGGGGGTATTAACTGTAAGATAGGCGCCGTCCGCTTCACAGTGGAGGTCAAAGATCCGATGACGTCTTTCGCAAGAGAGAAGGCCATTGTGTAGCGATGTCGCGGTCCAGATTTGCCACGTTGGAAAAATGAGCGGTAAAATCACTCAATTTAGAACCACACGTTGAAACATCGCTCCACACCCCATCCCCCTCCTTTGAAACCACCGCAGACACTGCCTGTGAGACGCAGCGCCCTCCTGCGTGATAGCCTAGAGCAGTGGTTCTTAACCTGGGGTGCACACACCCCCTGGAGGTGCGAAATGCCCTCTCTGGGGGTGAGAGACATGGCCAATTTTTTTTTAGAAGGCAAATCATCGAAGACCCATATTAAGCTAGGGCACATTAGTACAACTACTTTGTTTAATCAAACCGATGTATTTATTAACATTAAACATGTTCTTAGTTTTTTCAACAACAAAATAACAAAATATATATTTTGTTATTTTGTTGTTTCTCTTCAACGTGACTTTACCGAAAAAACTAAGAATATGAATTACTGCAGTCACGAAAGCTTTAAATCAAAATTAAACATGTTTTTTATTGAGAACCAGAGGAGTGCAGGCTGCAGTAAAAGTTAAGAACCACTGGCCTAGAGCTTTATAAGAATGGCACGAATACCAAATGTAATTAATTATAACGTGCTTTAATTAGTCTACTCGGCATGGAATGGGGTATGGTGCAAAGACAAAGATCCCCCCATGTACCCTGAACAGACTGTTCGGGCAAGTGTTGTTAGCAAGCACCTATTGAAGGCCGGCACGGTACAGAAGGGGGTGAGGCCTTTACAACGCCCGACCGCCTTTGTCTCCCCAGTGGTGATAATTTATACACCGCATCAGGTACTCATTTGAGGCTGAGTGGACATAGGGAATGCCCAGGACCGGTTCAGATATTCGTCACTGGTGTTCGCTGTGAGTGGGAATTGAAGTAGGGTTGCCGGAGTTCGTAGCACAGCACGCTAACCGCTGCACAACACTACTGCAATACTAAACTACCGCTGCACTACCGTTGCACTACTGCTGCACTACCGTTACACTACACTATGGTGCAGCCACCATCACAATCGGCAAAATTTAACTCCCCAAAACGGCTTCGATGAGAAACTGTGCGTAACACTGACTTCAGACTGAGCCTAGGAGGGGAGCCAGGCACAGAAGTAAAACTACGAGCCACCCTCTCCTCCTAATGGAGCCCAATAACCACCACAGGTAAAGGGTACAATTCTAGCATTGCATATATATGTAGTGCCGTGAATTTACTCGGACGACAACCGTCTTCTTCCACCGTCACTTTTATTCCATCGTTCCGCACACACAGTAATTCTCCTCTTCCCCAACTCGGACACTCCGATTCACCTCAGCACCGTCCGCTCATCCTCCTTCCACACACAGTGGTTCTCCCTCTATCTCCTCACACACAGTGTCTCCGCTATCTCTTCACACGCAGTGACTTCCTCTATCTCCGCACACACAGTGACTTGTCTGTCTATTCACACACAGTGACTCTATCTATCTCTGCACACACAGTGTGATGCCTGTCTATTCACACACAGTGACTCTATCTATCTCCGCACACACAGTGACTTGCCTGTCTATTCACACACAGTGACTCTATCTATCTCCGCACACACAGTGACTCTATCTGTAACTCTCCCTGTACCTATCTCCCCCGTAACTACCTTTCCGCTAACGCTAACTCTCCCTATCGCTATTTACTGTCCTTTGGGTTCGGCTCTCAATCTATTCTTCCCTAACATTTGCCAGCTCTCCTCTTCATATCTCTCCACCTCTCGCCAACAACTGCCCAACAACAACTCAACTCCCCGTTCAAATCACCTAGCGTTTTATCCCCTTTTCAATTATCCTTAATTGCCACGTGGCTCGCTGGCATTTTCCCGCCAGCTCGCACCTGTCCAACGGTCAGAATTCGCGACGCCGCCATTTAACGCTGACAACCTCTCGACCAATCACAGCCCTCGTGCCATGACTCCTTTAATTACTTCGCTTTGTTTATGCCACCCGTGACTCGACCACCTGCTCGACCTTATGTGACCCACTCTGCTTGTATGTCTGTATGTACTGTATGTGGCCAATTTACCTATGCATATCGTTTACTCCACTACATATATACATAGTGTGTGTGTGTGTGTACACGTGTGGGTACAATTCGTGTTGCTTTCGTTCGCGCAAAGCACAAGGCGCGTTTTTGGAGGCAGTAGTGCAATGGTTAGCGCACCACGCTACGAACCTAGAAACCCAAGTTTAATTCCCACGCAGAGCCAACAATGGTGGCAATTACCTGAATCTGCCCCTGGGCATCCTCAAGGTCGCCTCAGCCTCAGTTGAGTACCTCGTGCGGTGTGTAAACATCAGCACTGGGGAGAAAAAGGCGGCCGGCGTGGTGCTGTCTACCCACTCCCTTGCGTGCCGTGCCAGCCTTAATATGTGTAATATGGGGTGCCACGGTGGCGAGATGTTAACTACCTCGCCTGGTAGGCGGGAGGTCATGGGTTTGATCCCAACCCTCATGCCTGTATATTTGGAGTTTGCGGTGTCTCTCTCCCTATGGTCGCGTGGATTTTTCTCCGGGTTTTACGGCTTTTGCCTCCACATTTTGAATCAACGTGCATTTAGAGTATTTTGCTGCTATAAATTACCACGTGATTAGCGCCACTTTGTTGAGCTACCATTCGTGGCCAGGTCCCTCCTGAAAATGAGCTACATAGCTCAGTGGGCCTTACCGGGGTAAAATAAAAGTAGTCAGTAGCGGTATGCGCTCGCCAACAGTATGTCAAGGTCTATACAGGGGATCTTTGTGTTTTAACAGAGAGGCTGCGTGGGACCGCACGTGCAGACTTACGCGTTCTGGGCGGCACCAGCAGATCCAGGGTTTTGTTGGACAGGTGCTGCCACACTGTCATGATCTCTTTCCTCAGCTCCATGTCCATGGCCAGTTGGTCTTTTGCCCCTGTGCGTGGACAAATGCATTTAGAAACAGTGGCGCAAACAATCCTCTTTGGCAGCTGAATCGGACCTTTGATGAAATTGTATGTGTTTTTTAGGCGGTGTGGGGTCGGAAAGCCCAACATTTATAGAGGTCAGCAATAAACAGCACTATCACAGTTGTAATACATGAGAGTAAAGATGTTTCTTGTATGTATTAATGTACGTTGAACTTATTTCGCACCATACGTAGCCAACCGTGATAATTGGAGGTGTTTCATGAATTGAACACGGCTATACGAGCTTGGGCAAGCCGACGAAGAATGTGCAAATGTACCAAAATAGTTGCGTAGGCTCGCTGCCGTTTGATCGTTAGGGTATTTGCTGTATGGCAAAAGCAACTTTCTCTCGGTGTGGAAACCCTGTTTAATCACGGGAGCCTACACTCAGATTTGAACCCAGGATCTCACCAGCGTCAGCTCAGGAGCTCTGACCCCTGCGTTACCTGGCCACCTCCATTCGTGAGTTCATACTTACATAAAACCAATTAAAGGCAAACCCCAATGTGGACTTAGAGCAGACAGGCTGGTAGTGTTCACATATCGTTCCTCCTCCCTCCGTCCACTCCTCCACTGGAATCGACTTCCCTTTCACGTGGCCTTAAAGTGCACCAAGGCTGGCACAAGCGCCGCGGTGACGAATGGCTGCGGCTGTTGTTGTTGTTGTGGTGCGTGCCCACACAGTGACGGGCAAACATTCAGAGGGCAAGTGTGGGCAAGCTCGAGTACCGGACGCCATCTTGATTTCCAAGGCCGTGCGGATGAGCGCCACCAGCGTGGACGTGAAGTGCACGGTTCCGTCCACCTCTATGGGCATGTGCATCCGCATCAACCGCTGCACACGCGCGCACACACGTACACACACGTGCATCATGAGCATTGTCAGGGCGCCACGGTGGCTCGGAGATGTTAACTCCCTCGCCTGGTATGCGGGAAGTTGTGGGTTTGACCCCGACCCTGACGCCTGCTGCTGCTGTATATTTGGAGTTTGCGTGTCTCTCTCTCTCATCATCATCACGGTGGCTAGGAGATGTTAACTACCTCGCCAGGTGTACAGGAGGTCGTGGGTTCGATCCCGAGACCCCATCGCCTGCTGCTGTATATTTGGAGTTTGCGTGTCTCTCTCTCTCATCATCATCATCACGGTGGCTCGGAGATGTTAACTCCCTCGCCTGGTGTACAGGAGGTCGTGGGTTTGACCCCGACCCTGACGCCTGCTGCTGTATATTTGGAGTTTGCGTGTCTCTCTCTCTCATCATCATCACGGTGGCTAGGAGATGTTAACTCCCACGCCTGGTGTACAGGAGGTCGTGGGTTTGACCCCGACCCTGACGCCTGCTGCTGTATATTTGGAGTTTGCGTGTTTCTCTCTCTCATCATCATCACGGTGGCTAGGAGATGTTAACTCCCTCGCCTGGTGTACAGGAGGTCGTGGGTTTGACCCTGACCCTGACGCCTGCTGCTGTATATTTGGAGTTTGCGTGTTTCTCTCTCTCATCATCATCACGGTGGCTAGGAGATGTTAACTACCTCGCCTGGTGTACAGGAGGTCGTGGGTTTGACCCCGACCCTGACGCCTGCTGCTGCTGTATATTTGGAGTTGCGTGTCTCTCTCTCTCATCATCATCACGGTGGCTAGGAGATGTTAACTACCTCGCCTGGTGTACAGGAGGTCGTGGGTTTGACCCCGACCCTGACACCTGCTGCTACTGTATATTTGGAGTTTGCGTGTCTCTCTCTCATCATCATCACGGTGGCTAGGAGATGTTAACTCCCTCGCCTGGTGTACAGGAGGTCGTGGGTTGGACCCTGACCCTGACGCCTGCTGCTGCTGTATATTTGGAGTTTGCGTCTCTCTCTCTCTCCATGGTCGCATGGATTTTCCCCGGGTCTTCCGGTTTTCCCTCCACGTTTAGAATCAACATCGCCATGCGTTTAGCGTATTTGGATGCTGTACATTTCCACGTGATAAGCCACTTGTTGAGCTATCATTTGTGGCCAGGTCACTTCTGATAATGAGCTACATAGCTCAGTGGGCTTTACCTGGTAAAGTAAAAGGTTAAAAAGTCATAAGGTGCCGAAGCAGTAACACTTGTGGCTCACAGCAAGCAGGGCCTGGATTCTATTCCCTTTGTGTGTGGACTTTTCATGTTCTCCTAGTTCTGGATGGGATTCTTCTCGGTTGTTTTGGTTTCCTCCCATGGCTAATAAATATATACAATGTATCTGGCATCAGCCAATCACGCCAATGCTGAAAAATTACTCAATTTGGATTTGCATCTGTGCATATCGCCCCCGAATGTGATCAAACTTGGCAAGACTTTCCTGACAAAGTCGCGAGACTTAGTGAGGCTTTCCTGAGAAAGCAAGTAGATTGATAACAATATTATTCATCATAACAAGACGTCTATGGCGTATCTCCCAGATGGTAATCTTATATCCAGGTAGCATTGTGAAAGGGTGCCTGACACACAGCAGGAATATTCTAAGCTCTGATTTGGAGTTGAATCAGTTATATTCATCTATACTGAAGGAATCCAATGAGCTATAAAGCTCTTTTTCACAGATGTCCAGGAGACTTTTTTTACTAGCTGTAAATCCGTCTTATGGAGAGATTGGCCCCCACCAAATGAACGTGGAATTTCCACCACTGGCTTGGGGTCACCAACAGTGATGAGCGTCGTGCACATACGAGAGGAGCGGTGAGAGACTCGGTGACTCTGCTTCTGTGTCGAGTGGTTTTTAACACTTTTAAATTCAACACGGTTCCTCAGCACAAGCCCAAAAGGCCCCAAAAAGTAAAATCACCAGCAACCAACACTTACTTCTGAGGACTGCCATTGCTCTGCAGGGATCGGTAAGGTCCTGCACACTCTCCATTCACAAGGATTGCTCTTGGCTCTGTAAATAAAACTGGTCTCGAGTTTCACATGGATTTTTCCGTAGCACTTGCCACAAATTCATTACGGAAAGTGATTGTCTTGGCAACAACAAAATAAACTTATTGCTGAAATGTCATCGTCGGATGGTTTACCAACTTCTGGCAGCTCAAGTGTCGACTTGACACAAGATTACGCAATGTCACCATCATATCTAACTCGCGCACAAACAGAAATCGACAGTTCACCTCCCCACCCCCCCACCTCTGTGTGTGTGTGTGTGGCCCACATACATAAAGCGGTAGTGTAGCGGTTAGCATGCTGCACTACAAACCAGGCGCTCCCAGTTCGATTCCCACTCACGGCTAACACCAGTGACGATTATCTGAACCGGTCTTGGGCTTCTCCTCGGTCGACTCAGCCTCGAATGAGTACCTGGTGTTGTGCGTAAAAACATCGCCACGAGGGAGACAAAGGCGGTTGGGCGTGGTGCTGGCCACCCACCCCCTCGTGTGCCGTGCCGGCCTTCATAGGTGCTACTCACAAACAGCACTTGCCTCGACAGCTATATAGGGGATCTCTGTCTTTGTTTGCGTGGCGGTACACGCACTCGAATGCACTGGAAACGACGCCGCACGAAATTTGGTCAGGGTGGCTATTTTAATTTTAACCAGGTAAGGCCCCACTGAGCTATGTAGCTGTTATTCAGAAGCGACCTGGCTATCACAAATGATAGCTCAACGAAGTGGCTTATCGCGTGGCAATTCGTAGCAACCAAATAATCTAAATGCACGTTGGTTCTAAATGTGGAGGGAAAAACTGGAGGGCCCAGAGAAAAATCCCCTCACCGCGGGGAGAGAGACACGCATACTCCAAACATACAGTCGTCGTTTTTGTTGTTGTTGTTGTTGTTGTTTTCCCTCGCACTTTCTGTTCATAGGTGGCATTGTGTCGCCACTTTGGAAGGGTTTAGCCAGAGATCAATCGATTTAATTTTTGGTCTGCGTTTTGGGCAACTGAGAAAATGGGAGACATCTTCTGGCGTTGCTTGGCACAAAGGGTAGCAGTTTGGGGCGTTTGGGTCGATTCGATTTTGGTAATCGACTAGCATGGAGAAGTAACCTGAACGGAGTTTAGCCAGTTTTGTGCGAGTTGCCCGGGTCAAGGATTTTTCGTCGTCTGCTATGGGTGGGGGCCAACCCCCTAGCACGACATTGGGCTTGTAGGCGTTCAGGCAGTGCATGGTGGCAGCGGTGTGCAAGTGGTTAAAAATTGATTTGGTGGTGCTATTTGGTGGAAGAGCGTTTAAAGTCAATTGCACGTTGGCAGAGTTGAAAGAAAGTAAGGTGGATTTTCATTTTCCTAGCAGGTGCAGGGGGGCTTTGAGTAGCTTTGTGCAAGGATGCGTTGTCGAGTGGCATGAAGCCGGATATTGATCGGTGAGAAGCTTGCAGTGTTCTTGAATCGGAAGAACTTTGGTCTCTTGGTGGAGATGATCAATGGGCGCCATGAGGTGGCATCCTGTGGCTAGGTGAAGTGCTTGGTTTTGGGCGGTTTGGAGCTTTTGGTAACCTGTAGAGGAGAGGTTTGGGCACCAAATGGGACTGGCATAATTGATGATGGGACGTCCAATGGCTTGGTAGGTTAGGAGTAAAGTCTTTTGTCGACCCCAAGATGTGCCGGCGAAAGCTCGTAAGATGTTATTTCGTTTGATTACTTCTGCATGGACGTTTCTGCCGTGTTGAGCGAAGCTGAACATGGTGTCAAAGGTTACACCAATATTTTTTGTGGTTTTTGCTAGTGGGAGGTGTTTGATGTTTATTATGACGTCGGGATGTAAGTTGGCTTCACGAGGATCAGGTGTGATAAGGGTGACTGTTGATTTGGATGTTGAGAGTTGAAGCGATCTATTGGCTAGGAAAGTGCTGAGCCGTTTTAGATAGGAGTTGATGGAGTTTTCAATTTTGTAAACTGTGATGTCTTCGGCATAGCTGACTACTTGTCCTGCTTTTGGAGGAGTTGGTAGATCGTTGAGGTAGACGTTTAACAGCGCTGGGGATATTATGGAACCTTGTGGTACTCCTGCATGTTTCGTGAGGAGGATTGAATATCACGAAAGAGAGCGCGTGATTGGCGGCCCCTTAGGTAATTTGTAAGCCAGAAAACAAGGCCTGATGGTAGCGTAGAACCCTGGATGATGTTGATGCGCGTGAGGTGGTTAACAGTGTCGAAAGCCTTTGTAAGGTTAAGGGAAGCGACGATAGTGCGTGATAGGGGCTTTTTCTCATTGAAACCGTTTGCAATTTGGGTGGTTAGGTTGAGAAGAGCTGTTGTTGTTGAGTGTGCAGGGCGAAAGCCATGTTGGTGAGATGAAGGAGGTAAGTTGGTGGTGATGATTGCAAGGATGAGGGCCTCTAAAATCTTGATTGATGGGCAAAGTAGGGAAATCGGCCTGTAGGATGTTGCTTGATTTAGGCCTTTGCCGGGTTTTAGAGGTGGGATGATTGTCGATGATTTCCAGATGGCCGGAAAGAGGTTGCACTGGAGTGAGGCGTTAATGGTGGAGGCGAGAAACTTCATGCCAAGGGGGCCGAGGACTTTGAGGTGGGGCATAGCTATACCATCGGGGCCATTTGCAGAATAATTTTTGGCTTTTTTGATAGCTAGTTTCACTTCTTCAAGGCTAAATTGGGGGGCGTGGTTTAGAGGTAATTCCTTGATTTGACGGATTTTTTGACGGGTGGATTTATTGCAATAGTGTGGGACGACTGATGAGGAAAGTTTGTTGAAGTGGTTGGTGATGTTATTGTTGTTTATGACAGATTTGTTGTTGAAAGTGATTGCGCAATTGGGTGGCGGTTTGGAGTGTCCGTCTAAGTAAGGCTTTGATGGTCTTCCAAAGTTTTGATGAGTTTTGGCGGTGGTCAAAAGATTCAACAAACTCGTGCCAGCGTTCTGTTTTGGCTCGATTGATTAACTTTGTGATTTCAATGTTGAAGGCTGGGATTTGTGGTGAAGTAGGATTTTTAATCCTAATAGTGTTTCGTTGGTTTATTAGCGTTGAGGCTTCTTTAGGGAGGCAGGGAAGGTGTTGCTTGTAGCAACCCGCCGGGATGGTGTGTTTGGTGATAGTTGCAATGATATTCTTTAAATCGAAAGTTGCAATGATGTTTCTGAAAATCTTTTCAGAGTTATGTGCGGATGTGTGGATATGGTTGATGTTGTCGGCGAATAATGCTTCTGATTTTGAAGTAAAAAGTGGCCAGTTGGCTTTTTAAAGCTGTAATACAAGCGGTTTTTAGGCGTTTGTGAAGGCTTGGTGGCATTGAGGGTCAACACAATAGGTAGGTGGTCGCATTCAAGGGCTGTAAAGACTTGCCAGTCAATTGATGAAAGGAGGTTTCCTGACGCTATTGAGATATCTGGTGAGGGCCAGATGACGGAACTCTGGTTTGATTCTTGTCATTGAGTACCCCAAGATATCAGCAATTAGGTCGCCACGTGCATCTGAAAGGGAAGAGCGCCAAAGTTTGTTGTGGGCGTTGAAATCTCCAATAACAACTGAGTCGTTGTTTGGTAAAAGTCGATTTATATTGAACTGATAGTTGCGAGGGCAAGAACTGGTCGGTGGGATGTAGACGTTGATTATAGTGAGTGGGCCTAGATGGGATTTGATACGGACGCTTAAGACTTCTGTGGTGATATCAGAGGGAGGCATTGGGATTTTAATTTCTTCAAATTGAATGCTGTTATGGATGAGGAAAGCTAGACCGCCACCAGCTGTTGGTCGGTGTCGACGGAGGAAAGTGAAATTTTGAAAGTTGTGCGGGCGAGAAGTGGATTTTAATTTTGTTTCTTGGATGGCGGCTATATTAATGGGGTTTTGTTGTAGGAAGGTGCTGAGTTCAAGAGATTTGTTGTTGATGCCGTTGATGTTTAGTTGAAAGGATTTTTAGGTCGTTTTTGTCATGGACGTTTTGTTGTGGTTGAAACGGTGGTTGCGATGGATGAGGTGGTGGTGCTAGTGTTCTTGTGCAAGGTGGAGTTGTTGGAGTGGATGATGTACAATATTTGCAGAACCAGCCGGAATTTGAACTGGGGATGCGGGCTAAAGTAGTGCAGCGTTTGTGATACCAAGCTGCACAACCGTTGCATTGGATAGAATTTGCATTGACGTTCTTGCCGCAGCCGCCACAAGGCAAAAACGGGCCAGGATTCAATTCGACATCCCCAGCAATAATGAGAAGCCAGCTCCAGTATGCCGGGAGGCCTGGGCTGGCTGGCTGGCTGGCGAAAAAACAGGAAAGTGCGAGGGGCGATGTTACCATTTGCAAAGTGCTCCCGTAGTACTTGGTCTCTCCACTTCGAACAAGCGGCAACACTGGAGAGAATATACAGTCATCTCAGTCGGGATCGAACCCACTACCTCCTGTGTACCAAGTGAGGGAGTTAACATCTCGCCCTGTGGTTGAACGTCGAATATATAAATCCAGATTAAAATCCGAGAGTACGTGGGCTCTCGCCGTAAGGGGACGCCCACCTTCAGCCTGGTGCTGCTCATGGATCATCACGGCACTTGAAGACGCGGACAAAGAGCCTGTCCAGTAGGCCTGGCTAGGGACGATGGCTCGCGGCGACACCTAGAGGAACGTTAGCGGCTACTGCGGTACAATCTGGCCACGTTATTTCAAGGATATGCCCTACGTGCCAATATGTAGCTGGCCTGTCCTGTCTCCTCCCATCTTCTTATTTCGTATTGCTGATGATGTAGATGTAGGGAAACAACTACAATTTCACATTCAGGCGGTCAAGCCAGACAAGGAGCAGCGAATGTCTCCTTCATATTTGTAGAACGGGCATTGCATCATTATATGTTGTACGGTCTGTTCTGAATGACCACAGTCGTACATTACTAGAGAGTTTTTAATGACAGTCTTGTCCCATGATCGTAATGAGAGAACAGGATGGGCCAGCTGCAACACAATCATCCCCAAATGTGGTTTTATAAGCCAGCCTGTTCTCTCCCCGTACAATCGCAGGAGAGAGAGGACTGGACGGGCCGGCTACTTCTCCTCCTCATGCAGCGAGCACGGTGGGGGCGGCCATGTGCGTTGAGGCCTCACCTTGTACGCGATGTGCGCCGGGCAGCGCTTGCCCAGCCCCAGCGGAGGGGCCATGTGACGTAGCATGGCCTGCATGTCCGAGTGCTTGATCCTGCCACTGAACCGGTACACAGACGTGCATTCACAGATATGTGAGAGAATATAATTCAGTGTCATTGTGGACAATTTTAATAGCACATTGTCTCCTTCCCATATGTATATAAATACAAAAAATAAGAAAAATATTATAACCAAACACGGACTTCTAGGCTGTGAGTTCTCATTTTGTTCAGGGCCCGATGACCTCCAGCGTCAAGAGCAGGGAGTGTCCCTTCATGGAAAGTCAGCTGTGATTGTCCTATGCATAGACTAGCAATGGTGAATGGCCATTGGCGTACGGACCGAAACATTTCAAATTTTTGAGAATGAATCACAGATCCTTTTCTACGTCACACAATGCGATTTACAATTTACATAGCGGCTAAATGCTACAGCATCTCAGGTCACGTGTAAAGAAACGGGTGGCCTGTTGATTTAATAGAGAGACAGCAGGCAGCTATAGACAGATACAAACGAGAAGGTATTCAGCCTAGATTTAAACAGGGGCAGGGAGCAGACAGCACAGACGGCTGTGGGAAGGGGGTTTCAAGGGAGGATAAGGGCAGCAGCAGATGAACACATTTGAAAGGGCACCCTGAGTGGCAGCTGACCCTGTTGGCACAAGATGCCTCAAATCTGGCCTGCAAAAATGGGCATTAGTCTACCAGATTACTATGTGCAATTACAATTGTGTAATTTGCGGATGATTTTTCAAACTTCGCAAATGAGGACCATGATAAAATGGCCCACTGTTTCTAATTACATCAGGGGATCTTTGACGTCCACTGTGAAGCAGACGAGTATTTGTACGGTTTATAACACCTGCAGGATTAACCAGGGTGGCCTAACAAAATTCTGACCGGGAATCTCTGCGACAAGCGGCGAATGTGCTACTGCTGGGCCGTGTTACCACCTTTGATCAAAAGCCTTGGTTGCTGGAGTAAGAAGTGAGTGGAGGGGAGAAGAGTGAGATTAGAGGGGAGATGTAGGAGAGTGCGTGGAGGGGGGTAGAGTGAAACGAGAGGGGAGAGGTAGGCTGGTGAGTCCGTGTAAGATCTTGAACACAGTGATTGCGACCTTGAAATTGATCTAGGATTAGATTGGGCTCCATCGGCTGTATCGACATATTGGGATAATATAATTTAGTCTACAGGTGAGGTGAGGGATTTAGGGACATGAGCGATCTGGGGAGGCCTTACAGGAGAGAGCTGCAGTCGTCAAGTCAGGATGTGAAGGCATTGGTAAGGGTCTCGGCGGCAGCAGCAGCAGATATGGGGGATGGAGGAATGAGGACCTGCAGAGTTGAGAGACGCGGGACGAGAGTGAGAAGCTCAGGGTCAATTAACACTCCGAGGTGAAGTCATTACAGAAAGTGGACTTTCTTTCTAACGAGGAAGACTTCAGTTTCAAGTAATAAAAAATGAGACCGCGTCAGGACAGGATTCCAACGAGCAGACCACTGAGGCTGGGTTTATGTAGTTGGTGGCGGTGCGGAGCCGAGTGTCTTCATGTACAAGTGAAGGTCAACATGAAAACTGGAGGTGATTTTTCCAGGCGGGAGACGTATTGAGAAGGGCAGGTGGCAAACCAGAGAGCGGGGGAATTCTGAGAGTAGGACAGAGGGCAGTCCCCTTGTGCAGAGACACGGGGCAATACGCAAGGTGAGAGCGGAGTAAGGAGAGAAGAGATAGCGATGTCATTATCGAAGCGCTCACGGGAGGACGGAGTTGTCTGTGTGTCAAAAGCAGCAGAGAGGCCGAGCTCAGTGTTTTTTGGACCAGCTTCTGCAGTGGAAAATGAGCTGGCACCGCGGACGTTACCGTATTTGCGTGGCGCCGACATTCTCCCCGCACGGCTTTTAAAATGTTCTCCTGCATGTTAGCCATGTCACAGCCTACCCCCCCCCCTTCTCACTCGTACCCCCACTGCATGAGAGGCGCGTATCGAGGAGCACTCGGAGAGAGTGATCCTTAGTCCGAGGAGAGATGGCGATTGCTCGCGGGAAACACGGGCTTTCTAAGATGCAGATCTGACACGTTACACAGTGATGGCTAAGTATTTGCGTGGGGTGCTTTGCTGGAGTGTGGTGCGAGTGTGACATCCGCGAATGTCAACACTCGTAGCTCGTGAGGGAAACAGGGTTAAAAGCTTACGAGGGAAATAGGGTGAACAGCTTATGAGGGAAATAGGAACAGGGGCATAAAAATATATTACGTTTAAACATTAACATACAAACTCTATTAATGCGTACATACATTGTATAGTATTATTGTGTTATTTAACTTACCCGTAATTGCCGATGAACGTAAACATGTTAAAAAGTGAAAAAAGCAACGAGCAAACTAATGCATATTATGCAGAAAAGTGATAAAATAAAATTATCAAGGGCAAGCCCTGGCGTGTGAACGGAGCGTCGGACAGAGGCAACCTGGGAGGCAGAGCAGCGAGCATCACGTGAGGGGGCGACTCTCCTCGCCCTGCCTCACCGCCATTCACACCTCACCACTTATCTCGTCGGGCAGCCGCGAGCTACAGCCGCGAATATTTAAAAACCCGACCCCGCCAATTTCAAATAGTGCCGCGATGAATCTGTCGCCAAAAACGCCACGAATGATGAAGCTCCAAAAAAATATATGAGCTGCCTCTCCTTCCCTCGACGGAAGAGCCCCCCTCTCCCCCCCCCCCCAGGGTGGGCATCGAGCACTCCACCCTTTCACCTACACACGGCCAGGCGCAAAATGTTCCCCCCCCACCACCACGTTTTTTCTGTTCCCGCCCTAAGAAACCATCGACACATAGTTCCGAACTTGTGTGCTTACCGCAATAAAAACATAAAAAATACATACCTGTCAACCCATATGGTTTACCTGTATTCTTGTACAGTGAAATTGAGTTTGCAGGTCCATATGGCATATAGCCATTATCAATACCGGCAACAAATAGTCTATTTGTTTGTGTTTCTCCCTTATGATGGGACTTTGTAGGATGCACATTGAGATTTATAAGGGCACGGTGTGACCAATAAGGGTCTGAATTGGTCTGTAATGAGGTAGGCACTGATAAGGGATTGACAGGTATGTATATATGTGTTTACTGTGTGAAGGTTTGATACATCGTGACTTGCTGGTGCCCCTGGCTGTGGGGAGTGGGACAGCAGCGGTTAGCGAACTGAGCAACGAACACACCCGGGCCACACGAGTTTGATTCCCGCTCAGGGCCAACACCGGTGACGATTATCCGAACTGGTCCCGGGCCTCCCCTAGGTCGACTCGGCCTCAAATGAGTACCTGGTGCGGTGCGTAAACTTCGCAACTGGGGAGATAAAGGCGGCCAGGCATGGCTGCTGGCCAACCCACCTCCTCGTGTGCCGTGCCAGCCTTCATAGGTGGTACTCGCTAACAGCCCGTGAAAGGCTACACAGAGGGGATCTTTGTCTTTATTTAGACAGATAACTTCCGACACGCGCGCGCAAGGACACCGCTGATCCTGGCCCACGCGAGCGCACGCACCAGGCGGAAGGATCGTACTCGGCCCACACGCGTATGAACTCCTCCAGGTGGTGAGGCCCGAGTATGGACGAGTCTCTGGTGAGGTATTCAAAGTTGTCCATGATCACCGCCACAAACAGGTTCAGCATCTGTTCGGGGGGGGGGGGGGAGGGGGGGTAACGAAACGAGACAAAATCCACGTGACTGCCCGAGGCCTCCAGCTCACCAAACCAGCGGCGTCCGACAAAGAAGCGCAATGCAAAAGGCATCCCTTCATTCTCACAAGCAGACTAGAGAGCAGCGAAGCTAAATGACGCTCGCATTCGCTACCTAGCGCCAGCCAATGATAACGATTGGTGTGCACACAGTTACCATTGAAAATGATTGGTGTGCACACAGTTACCATTGGTAATGATTGGTGTGCACACAGTTACCATTGAAAATGATTGGTGTGCACACAGTTACCATTGATAATGATTGGTGTGCACACAGTTACCATTGATAATGATTGGTGTGCACACAGTTACCATTGATAATGATTGGTGTGCACACAGTTACCATTGATAACGATTGGTGTGCACACAGTTAACCAGTAGAGTGGGTGGGTGATAGAGTGGGTGGGTGGGTGGGTGGTAGAGTGAGTGGGTGGGTGGTAGAGTGGGTGGGTGGTAGAGTGAGTGGGTGGGTGGTAGAGTGGCTGGGTGGTAGAGTGGCTGGGTGGTAGAGTGGGTGGGTGGCAGAGTGGGTGGGTGGTAGAGTGAGTAGGTGGGTGAGTGGTAGAGTGGCTGGGTGGTAGAGTGAGTGGGTAGTAGAGTGGCTGGGTGGTAGAGTGGGTGGGTGGTAAAGTGGGTGGGTTATAGAGTGGCTGGGTGGTAGAGTGGGTAGGTGGTAGAGTGAGTGGGTAGTAGAGTGGGTGGGCGGGTGGGTGGTAGAGTGGCTGGGTGGTAGAGTGGCTGGGTGGTAGAGTGGGTGGGTGGCAGAGTGGGTGGGTGGTAGAGTGAGTAGGTGGGTGGGTGGTAGAGTGGCTGGGTGGTAGAGTGAGTGGGTAGTAGAGTGGCTGGGTGGTAGAGTGGCTGGGTGGTAGTGTGGGTAGTAGAGTGGCTGGGTGGTAGAGTGGCTGGGTGGTAGAGTGAGTGGGTGGTAGAGTGAGTGGGTGGTAGAGTGGGTGGGTGGTAGAGTGGGTGGGTGGATTGAGCTGCAGGGGCTACACCCGTCCCTGCTTCCTTTTGCACTTGCCGGTAAGGCTCAAGACGCACGATGCCAACCCCAAACGCTTCTCCGGTTCGTGCGATCCTGAGCTCGGGACTCCCATGAGTTGATGTTGACGACATCGCATTTTTTAATTGAGGCTTTGAGAACGTCCTTACCCGTAAATGACTCCATTGGGATTGCACGCAGCAAGCAACGAACCCTAACGTGAAACTACTGCGGATCGTTTTCTGGAAAGACGGCAGCGCCCTCCTTCGCGATAGCCTCGCGCTACGAGAATTATTATCATCGACATACGGGAAGTATTGCGGTGACTCTTCCCCCTTCCCGTGAGCTCCACTCAATTGACTACAGTAAAACACCTTGGATTGCGACCATAATTCGTTCCGGAAACGTGCATGTAATCCAAAGCACTCGTATATCAGTTGTGATCACGTGACGCTCGGCAGTACAAAGCGTACACGTGCACGACTCGTATTGCAAGACCTCGCTCGTTTATCAAATTAATATTTACTTGAAGTTTTTGCTCGTCTTGCAAAACACTCGCAGACCAAGTTACTCGCAATCCAAGGTCTTACTGGTTTTTTCGTTTCATCAGGAAAGGTCCACCGAGCTACACAGCTCACGGAGGCGAATGCCACCCAACCGCCCACCGGAGCGGAGAAACCGCGCCGCTCCCCCCCGTACGCAACAATAGCGGTGGCAGCGGGAGAGGAACCCGCTCGGCGTACCAGGAAGGAGCAGAAGAATATGAAGGAGACGAAGTAGAAGTAGGCGAATCCGCTGCCACACTCCTCGCTCTTGTGGCGGCCGGCGAGCTCGTCGCACGGCCGTGGCGAGCGGCACGCCAGCATGATCTCGTGCCACGCCTCGCCCGTCGCACTCCTGGCAGCACCCACGACACGGAACACCGCAGCCTCGGTTCCACCACCGCCGGCACCACGACCACCGCCGTCACCACCACCGCCACCAAAGACACCGCCGTAACCACCACGGGCAGCACCACCACCACCGCCGCCACCACCATGACCACCGCCACCATTAAAATGCAAATCAATTTATAACATTTTTGACATGCGTTTTTCTGGGTTTTGTTGTTGTTATTCTGTCTCTCACTGTTCAAATAAACCTACCATTAAAATTATAGACTGATCGTTTCTTTGTCAGTGGGCAAACGTACCAAATCAGCAGGGGATCAAATACTTTTTTCCCTCACTGTACGTGACTTTACCGAAAGACCCAAGAATATGGATCCTACTACTATTGATTCACTCAGATACGTTTGTTTCCATAAAGCATATCATCGATGATGTATTGAAAGATGTTTGTTTGTTGTTGTTGTTGTCATTTGTCCATCATTCTTCTCTCAACTCATTGAATATAAAGTGGTACAGGACTGAGTCTCGTCTGGGTTCCAGTCTGCTTCCCGCACATGTGTGTGCCACCACTCACACACAGTGGGACGGAGGGGAGGGGCTCGCGACGGCAGCGTGCCTGAGATGATTTGACGGCGGAAAAGGTCACCTGAATAGAAGCATCAGCGCTTGGAAGAACGATCGAAAGTTGTTATGGCGGTTGATCCCGTAACCGTCATCCAGTGCTATATTGCCAAACACCTGCAAACGACAACAACATGAAAATCCACCCTGGGCCACGGTTCACACCTTCCGGTCACCGCCACGCAGGCGTGGGTTAAAACAACGACGGAATGCGCGCGCTTGTACACATCGTGTCTGTGGGCAGGGTTGCCATGTGTGTGTGCGTTTTAGCCGGCAAAAAAAAGCCTTGTAGCTCTTCGGATTTCTCCAGGATAAAGATTCTGATTCTGACTGTGTGGCGAGTGTGTATGTGTGCGTGACTGTATGGCGAGTGTGTATGTGTGCGTGACTGTATGGCAAGTGTGTATGTGTGCGTGACTGTGGAACTCACAAATCCTTGAGAGATGTGGGTACACATTCTCATTGGTGAGCTCTTCTGGTGGGGGCAAGGCGGCGTTGGCTGGGTGATATACCCCGCATGCCCAGCCACCGCATTTCGCAAGCATCTTCTCGGTTCTTTCGGTAAAGTCACGTAGAATGAGAATAAAACAATAAAACAAAATAAGACAATAAAATTCTCACGACGTTTCGGTCACAACACAAGTGGCCTTCTTCAGGTGAAGAAACAGGTCTATCCAGGAGACAGAGCTGTTTCTTCCACTGAAGAAGGCCACTTGTGTTGTGACCGAAACGTCGTGAGAATTTTATTGTCTTATTTTCTTTTATTGTTTTATTCTCATTCTACGTGACGTTACCGAAAGAACCAAGAAGATGAATCCTTGCAGTCACGAAAGCTTTAAATCGAAATAAAAGCATATGCTATTTGGCCGGATAAGAGGGGGCTAAACAGGTGCGACACGGGCTAGAGAAGAGATGGACTGATGAGGTAGAGGAGGATGTGGAGCTGAGTGGATTTGTCGCAGACCGGTACCAGCAGTGTCAATTTCGGCCTCTATGGAGGAGGTTCATGAAAGATGCTGCTGGGCAGTTGGAGGCAGTCGCCTTCCAACAACAGCGGAGGGCAGAGTAGCGACGCTCACAACAACGAGCGGAGCGCCCGGCGACTAAAATGCAGCAAGTTGGCACAGTGGGGGCACAGATGGCGCATTTGCCAGTCATCTCACTCAAGCCATGGCACCTGGGTCTGTTTTGTGACCACCTGCCAGCGAGCCTTCGACACTTCACGTGGCCTCAAAGTGCACTTGGCATGGCACGAGTGTTGTGGTGACGTCAGTGAGACTTAGTGGCAAACGGCGGTTGTTGTTGAGACTGTGTGGTGTGTGGTGTGTGTGTGTGTGCATGACCGTGTGGTGTGAGTGTGTGTGTGAGCATGTGTGGTGTGTGTGCATGACCGTGTGGTGTGTGTGTGTGCATGACCGTGTGTGGTGTGTGTGTGACCATGTGTGGTGTGTGAGTGTGTGTGTGTGCATGACCGTGTGGTGTGTGTGTGTGACCAAGCGGGGTGTGTGCATGGCCGTGTGGTGTGTGAGTGTGTGTGTGACTATGAGGAGACTGTACCTGCATGCCGATGATGGCGTAGATGAAGAAAAGCATCCCAATGAGCAGACAGACATACGGCAAAGCCTGCAAAACACCACCCCGTCACGTCACGCGTACGCTGGAAACTAACTCGTCTGCCTCCTCACTGCGATGTAACATTTCAACATGGGCATCTAACACAGGCCTCATCCCTCTGGGGTCAACAACACGGGCATCACTTTGTGTTCAAAGTCAACCGTGGTCGTCCTGTGGATAGACTCGCCCACGCCATAGTAAGGTGTAATTTCCACCACTGGCTGAGGATTGTAAGCACCTAATGAGCACCAATACATCAATGCTCATTTAAGCAGGAAATCACTTTGGCTTTTGAAAACCCAAGATTATGTAAATATTAGTTTCATACGCCACAGCGATCTATATATTTTTTATAATATCACAGGGTAAAAACCCTGGATGGACAGCAAGAGATGACCGCGATGCTGTGTAGATGCCGCGTCCGCAAGGCACAGCGCGAGCGAGCCCGCGTAGGCAGCGCCCACGCCCGCACGTATGTACGCACGTAACGTTACGTGTACTTCACGTAAGGTTACGCACGTAACGTTACATGTACGTTACACACGTAAGGTGACGTGCGCACGTAACGTTGCGTGTAACGCTCTGTGGCGCAAGTCAGAGCTGTCTTCCTGCTCTCGTCGCCATCGCCAACCACCTGACCCGTCGATGGGAATTCCACATTCCCATGGAGGGACAGCACTGCCATTCACTTGCCGTGCGAGCGTGCTCAACCTCAGTGCCAGTCTTCCAAGCAGTGAGCGAGAGTTAGCTTACAATGATCACAACCGAACTCAATCACGCACAACGATGATCAGCGATTTGATTTTTGTTGTTGTTGTTGCTCAGCGTTGAAATCTCGATTCATTTACGCAGCAGCGTCGCGTCGCCGCGCCGTCGCTTGGCATCAACGCGTGGGCACCTTGAAGGACTGCACGAAGGTCCACAGCAGGATGCGGATGGTGTAGCCCTGGCGCAGCAGCTTGATGAGGCGGGCTGCACGGAACAGCCGCAGGAAACTCAGGTTGATGAAATTGTTCTGCGGGGGGTGGAGGGGGTGGTAGGGACATGAGACGGGCCTCGGCGACTGGCTCGGCGCGCGCGCGAGAGAGAGAGGGGGGGGGGAGAGGCAGCAAAACGCATCGCCCGAGGTTCAACGCCCCCGCGGCGGGTGTGAGCTTCACAAGTAGAGACGCTTTGCCGCTGTACTTGAGAAAACAGATTCTGGTTTAACCCTAAATGTCCCCGTTTCTGCGTGCCGCTATAACCCCACCCTTGTCTCACCGGCACTGGAGGGGCCTCCAACTCAGAGCTGCTGCCGCCAACTCAAATGTTTGAAGAAAACATCACTTTCCAGAAATCTGTCCCATCTACTGCTTCCCTTTCCTCCGTGGAATCCGTAGGGAGCCCTATTGTCTCATTTGAAACTCATTTGTCAAACACCTCCACGATCCAGCGCAGAGTTTGGTTTCTGCTCCGATGTGAGGCGCTCCGTCGTGCGAGTCGAGCCATTGGCAACCACCTGAACCGGCGATGGAAATTCCACATTCCAATGGAGGGGCAGCACTGCCGTTAACTCGCCGTGCGAGCGTGCTCAACCTCAGTGCCAGTCAGCCAAGCAGTGAGTGAGAGTTACTGTACACGCAAATGTGCAATGCTCACGACTTCACTCAATCATGCACACGATTATCAGTGATTGATTTTTTTCGTTCGGCGTTAAAACTTCACATTGATTCCCAGCCACTTACCCAAGTCAACATTATCAATTATTTATGTTATGTTTGCAGCCCATGCTAACGTGCCATGGAAACGCAGTCATGAGGCAGCTCTCGAAAGTAATTGGACCGCAGTGATAGCGACAGAACGTGCACGCAAGCCGAAAGGAATTTATTTTGTGTCATGCAATTTTTTAAAATTACTGTATATAGAGTAGTGTCGAAGTAGGATCCATATATATAATAGAGATGGTCCTTGCCTATCGATCTGGAAGTTCATCAGCATGGGAGTTAGCCCCACCCTGCTAGTGGGACAATTAATGTCGAAATTGGTCCAGAGCTAACTCCCAGAAGGCCGTGGCTGAGGGGATGCGCATTTTTATTTTTTTACGTGGATAGGATGGGGGAAGGAGGCGTAGCGTCCACCTGTTTATCTGTCACCTACTCGTTAAACATATTCTCTTTGACGCCTTCGTTTTAACCATCCATTAAATAACTGCTGCATTTACAGTGGCTTAAACGCAGGCTGTTGAAGGCTTTCTGTCGGCTATTCGCCGGGACACCCTGACGTCTTGGCACACGCGTGCCCTGTCCGGCCCGTGTGCATTTTGCCGTTAGCGGCTGTGACCTCCTGCGTCAGGCTGTAGTGCGACATCTACACACCTCTTCAGTGTAACCCGTTCAAAGCCACCACACGTGCACGGACGTCCACTTAAATCGTGTGACGTTTTAGGAACGCGACGTTTGCCCGACTTATCCCGAGAGCAAACCTCTCTTTGCCCGCGGACCCGGAAGCGCGGCCTTAGCGTGCAGCCCGACGGACATGCTCTGGGAGGGATGTGATGACAACCACTGTGTGGACTTGCTGTTGTGGCCGTTTTGTGAGCGTGTCTGCAGCACGAGCAGGTCCGACGGTGCGAGTTCACAAGCACGACGACGAGCGTGTAAGTGGGCCCTGCTAATAACCCTGGGGGGTGGAGGGGTGGTGGAGGGTGGGTGGAGTGGAGGGGGTGGAGGAGGGGTGGAGTGGAGGGGGTGGGTGGAGGGGTGAGGAGGGGGGTGGAGGGGGAGTGGAGGGGGTGGGGAGGGGTGGAGTGGAGTGGAGGGGGTGGGGAGGGGGGATGGAGGGGGTGGGTGGAGGGGTGAGGGAGGGGGTGGAGGGGGAGTGGAGGGGGGATGGAGGGGGAGTGGAGGGTGTGGGGGATGGAGGGGGTGGGTGGAGGGGGGGTGGAGGGGGTGTGTGGAGGGGTGAGGAGGGGGGGTGGAGAGGGGGTGGAGAGGGGGTGGAGGGGGTGGGTGGAGGGGGGGTGGAGGGGGGCGGGCTCTGCATTGCAAGAATACGCAGATAGACCGCCCCCCCCCCCCCCCTTAGTGAGAAGTGAACACATCTTGCTCGCTCATGCTCAGCACAGGCATAACCACACACGTGTGTGTGTGGTTGTGTGTTTTAACGTGGCGTGTATATATAGCGTACGCGATGCGTGTGCTGTGATAGGCTTGTGAAGCGGTTAAAATGGAAGAGGAGCACAATTACCACTTGCTGATTGGTCCAAAGCGGATGAAAGGATGGGTTCAGTGATGGAATCGGATGGTAGGCAGGAGAGCGAAATGGATTACACAAACATACAACATACACACGGATGTTAGGGAGATATCGCGTGGATCACAAACGTAATCACATAATGGCAGGCGCTGGAATACACAACAGCAAGGCGGATGATTTGCAACACACAGAGATGGGTTTTTCCAGGTGAGTGGGCGGGCGGACTGCGCGCGCCCGCCCAGGTGCGCGCGCGCAGCCGCCTCGTCCCAGCCCCGGCACCGCGGACACTTCCACTGTGATCGCTCGCTCGGCCTCGCAAAGAGCGGTGGGGCAGAGCCAGCTGAGGCAATGCCACCGGGAGCCGATCGTTCACGGAGCCCCAAAGCGTTTGGAGCAATCGCCCAGCAGGAGTTTTAACCGTCAACTTTTGCCCACTGGAGATTTCTGTTGCGAGTGGGCGTGCGTGCCAGAGGGGCCCGCGATGCCAGCCCAGCTGAGCGATGCGGGACACCGGTACGGGGGGGAGGGAGGCTACGGCACATCTGGATGAACCAATCCCAGCGCACGTGCTCCGAGGGGAGCTTTTAAAGCGTATGTTTTGCGTTGTGTTTTTGAACCAAGAGGCCACACAGCTTTGGATAGAAAGTAACGACATCTAGAGTCTGCACAGCGGCTCGTATACCGTGAACGAGGAACATGTGATTTCATGTCCCAGAGGTCAAACAAGCCAAGTGATGATGGACCGTATTCTCTGGAATAAGACGCACTCTTTTTCCATGTTCTTTTCAAGTCAATGTTGGGAATCCGTATAATAATTTGTCAAATATGTGCGTGCGTGTGTGGGCATCAAAGGCGGCCGGACAGGGTGCTTGGCATTCCATCTCCTTATGTGACTTGCGGGCCTTCATAGGTGCTCGCTAATAGCACGTCTCGACAGTCTCTTAAGGCTATGCAGGGGATCTTTGTCTTTGTCCACGTAGGACCCCATTAAAACCCACAACAGCCTGGTCTCGGCTCGCTGATGAAAGGTGCAAGCACGAATGTCATCTTTGCTTGCAGCTGGGGTTTGCATTGTCCCCCCTCCCCCTGATGCTGAGGGGAAATGGGTGAGGTTCAGGACTGTGGCTCATGCACAAGCTATGAATGCATTGGATACACAGTCCATACTTTTCCGGAGACCCTGGCTGATGGAGGAGGTGTTCTGGCTAGCTGAGAAAAGGTGGCAGGCCCACTACCACCACCTACAACATCCCACATCGGAGAATGAGGAGGCTCGCCGCAGCCTGATTGTAACAACTAGCAGGGCATCTCCCTCCTCAGTGTGCCAGGAAAGATCCTCGAAAGGATTCTTCAACATCACCTTGACAGGCAAGATAAGGCAGAGGCTTGAGGAGCCCCAGTGTGGTTTCAGAATGGGTTGGTCCTGCACAGAAGCTATACAGTGTGTATGTCTACTACAGCAGCGGTGTAAGGAATCTCAACAGGATCTACTGCCCTGCATTATTGGCTTGGTCAAGGCCTATGAAGCGATCAATAGGAATCAGAGCCATTACCTGTTCACCTTTGGGTGCAGCAGAGATGTCCTTCTGGCTCCTACATCATTTCACATTTTGTCTACCACGTAATTTGAGACACTTTACATGGCTGTACCACAGGAATTTCCATCTTCGGAGGCTGATCGATGCCCGGGTGACCTCCTGTCAAGTGAGCCTTCAACACTTCCCGTGGCCCTCAAGGTACACCTAGCCTGGCACATGCGCTGTTGGTGACGTAACCGCCACTTAGTGGTGAATGGCGGCTGTTGTTAGTGTTGGTGTAGTGCGTGTGACCAGATTTGCATAAATGTATTGACACTGATCGCAAGTTCGTTTGGGGTGCGTTTCGTTTTTTGGAGCGTTCTGTAATCCTGAGAATACGGTATTTAGTAGCTACACGCAGTTTTGCAAACAAAGAATGACAGCTGGGATTGGTCACGGGGAGCGAATACTTCAGAACCCATCAAACGAAACGGGCGTGCTAGAATTTAGCTGCAGCGAGCCATGAAACGTTAAACAAATGCCCATTAATTTCACATTCGAATGTGAGCTGTAGTCACTTAAAAAAGCGATGTAAACTCAATGCCTGGATTGCGCAGCTCCACCTGCCACCACTCTCCGTGTAAAGTCCACAACTCGCCCCCCGCACACGTCAACCCGGCTATTTATGTGGCCACTCACATCCTTCACAAAGACCTAAGTTGTTATTTTGTGTGTTATGTAGTTTTGCGTCCAACTAGCACCAATATCTATAAACAGTTGGCAGTTTGCCAGCATTGGTTCAAGCAAGCCTGACTGCATATGAGGCAATGAATGAGGCAATGAATGTCGCAATTGGTCTCGAGGTTGCTTGTACTGAATCAATGCTGCTGAAATCACGCACTCCCAGAAGGCCGTGCGGGTGATGGGATGCGTAAAGAATAAAAAAAAACGTTATCGTTTCGTTCTGTGGAGGGACAGATTAGTGATGGAGGCGCCTTGTCTGCTTGTGTATCATCCTGAAACCCCGAGCGAGCTCACGGTCGGTGCGGACGCATGGCCGTCTGAATGGCGGAGGGCTGAGGGAGCGGGCAGGCCGGCAATTTGGCGCAGCGCGACAGCTGGCCGCACAGCGAGGGGAGGCCCCCCGCGGGCAATGGCTCTGTGGCCTCCCCGGGAAAGCAAGCGGCGGTCACACACAAAGCAGAGCTGGGCCGCGGGCGAAGTTGTCGGGAGCAGCCGTGAGATGCAACTCGATTTGAAAAAACACATATCCTGCATTTGTAAAGAAAAGCGGAATGGCAAGCTGGCGGAGATCGTAGGGGAGAATGACGCGCCAGCAGAATGCACCGACTCGCAATGCATTATAAAATAAGGGGATGATGGGGACATATGCTGCGAATGTATATACAAAATAAACGATGCAAGGCGGTGAATGAGGTTGAAGCAAGAGGGCAAATGGAGATGTAAGGTACTGCATTTGGTACACATTTAATATGTGGGATGGGAGCAGGGTCGCCACCTTCTCCGTAGATCAAACCCTGGACACGTTTCTCAGTCGGCACGAGTCATTCAAAACTGTGCAGTTTGCTGAAATAAAGTTCAACGCAACACGGGCAACCAGACCTCAGACTATTTCGAGTCAAGCCTGGCCAGGTGGCGACCCAAAATGAGAATGTGGGATGTGGAGCTGGATTCGACAATGCAGGAGGCGCAGGTCAGAAGAGGCGGGGTGGGATGTGGCAGGGGAGGCGGGGGTATCATTGTGAGATCACGCAGGAGTGGTGATGGTGGTGAGGGTGTGGTGGCGAGTGGCATTGCGTGTGGCGCTCACCACGAGTTCCGTCACTAAAATGTCCGTGACGCTCCCTCCGACGGTGACGAGGTCGAAGACATTCCAAGCGTCGCGGAAATAATTCTGAACGAAACAGAAACGTGATGTCGACGACGATGACAATCACATCGTTGTTCCTCAAACGGCGCGCGTGCAACATTGGCACCGCCTTATAGCAGAAGCAGAACGTCGCCGCGCACAATAAGAACCGAGGGGCCGCGTTGATGGCAGCGTCCAATCACACGCCGACAAGTCTCCCCACGCTCGTCATTAACACCGCCCTGTACAGCGGAAGCCCGCGTGCATGCGCGCGGATCCGAATCTGAAAACGATGAGAAAACCCGCCAGGCCACGCTCTTGTGTGCTGCTGCACGCACGGCGTGCAAGGATGATGTTTTGGGCCCTCTTGCCAAACCGAGCACTAACCGGCTTCAGTCGCACTCAAGCTACCCCGTGGTCACCGTTGCCGTGAATCTACCCCGTGGTTACCGTTGCCGTGAATCTAACCCGTGATTACCGTTGCCGTGAATCTACCCCGTGGTTACCGTTGCCGTGAATCTACCCCGTGGTTACCGTTGCCGTGAATCTACCCCGTGGTCACCGTTGCCGTGAATCTAACCCGTGGTTACCGTTGCCGTGAATCTACCCCGTGGTTACCGTTGCCGTAAATCTACCCCGTGGTTACCGTTGCCGTGAATCTACCTCGTGGTTACCGTTGCCGTGAATCTACCCCGTGGTTACCGTTGCCGTGAATCTACCCCATCGCTTCCTCCCCCGTTTAGAGCACTCGGGTCTACCAGACACTGACGATCTCACACTCATCAGCACTGTGCTCAATCACCACACTACGGCTACCCACTCACCCACTCAGTTACTCACTCACCCACTCACCACACTGCAAGTCACCTCACCTCTCTCTTTGCTTCTTCCCTCGCACCGCTCTGCAATTCCCTCCTATCGTCTATTCTCCCCAGGTTAAAACGACCTTGCTCAATTCAAGAAACATGTCGTATTTTTATTCCCTACAACTTTGATAATAATGCTGTTTATTGCTGGCCCTATGATATTTTTGGGGCCTTTGGGCCAGGTGTTCAGCGACTGCGTATAAAAAAAGAAAACGCCTCAACACATTCCCCGATAGTCGCTGCCATTGTACAGGACGTGGCGATGCCTCTTTCCGAGGGTGGCGCACACCAATCCCGCCAAACCAGCAGCCGTCAAAGTGCCCTCTGTCGATGTAATCCGTCGATTCGTTCGTGCAGATAAACAATTACAATTATGCAAGTGGGTTTTTATTAGCTTAGGTGTAATTTAGCGGCAGCTCAGATGTGGCTGGGAAATTATTACTATTACTATTATTACTATTGAGCTTATTTACCCTGCAAAGTTTTCTCAGCCGGGGGCAATGTTGTTTAGCGTGACGCCAATTGCTTAATTCGTGGGTAACGTTTTAGCCAAGGCAAGTTTGGCCAACACCAGTTACATTTTACGGGTTGTTTTTTTTTTGTCCAGCAGCGATGGGAGGAAACCAGAGAACCCGGAGGAAACCCGAGCAGGGAGAGCGATGGAACAGACAAACTCCACGCAAAAAAAGTGGCTCGCGTTGGGTACGAGTGCGACCACCCTCACGCCAAGATGCTGTCAGAAGTGGACCAAGGGATGATGCGCGCTGTGCTCGTCAACGCCGGATGATTCCGCTCCCGGCTCACTCGCCGCGAGGAGTGGGGGATACACGCGCGCGGTGACCGCGCCGGTGCCAACAAGCCGGTGCGTCGCAAAGCGCGGCCACCCATCGCGCAGTGGGGGGGGGGGGGGGGGGGGGGGGGGGCGCGAGTGATTCCCGTGCACGGCCGCAGAGCTCTCGCGTCCTCGGCACGGCGGAGACGCCGCGCCCCCGGACGCACGTACCAGGAACCCGAAGCCGACGAGTTTCAGGATGCACTCCAGGGAAAAAACGATGGTGAAAATAATGTTGAGGTATTTCAACGAGTCGTCGTAGGCGGCCGGCGCCCCGTAGAACTGCGCTCGCGCACACACACACACGCGGGGAGACGTTCACCGGCACGTGCGGTGAACCGCAGAAAACAAAGATCCCCCTCCCGTATAGCTTGAAGAGACTGTGCTGTTTGCGAGCAGCACCTATGAAGGCTGGCACTGTGGCACACGAGGGGGTGGGCGGCCAGCACCGTGCCCGGCCGCCTTTGCCTCCCTAGTGGCGATGTTTTTTTACAAACCGCGCCAGGTGCTCATGTGAGGCTGAGTCGACCAAGGGGAGGGCCAGGACCGGTTCAGATAATCGTGACTGGTGGTTGGCCATGAGCAGAAATCGAACCCGGGTTGCCAGGTTCGTAGCCCAGCGCACTAAACGCAGCGCCACTGCTCCACACGTTTCAGCAGACCTGGTAGAATGTCCTTCAAGCACACTGAGAGATGAGGATCCAGTCTACCCTGCACGGATCGCATGAGCATTACCTCACCATGTGAAAGCGTATGTCTGGATATCTATACGTGAAGTCGAAAGTAGGAACTAACATCAACCCGTTGATGTTAAAGTGTCGAGAGCGCTGATTAGAAATATTACAATTCCAATGCACAAATGGATCTGGTGATCCGAGTTCAGCTGCTGCCCACGGCTAACATCAGTGGCGAGTAATCTGTAAACCGGTCCTTGGCATCCCCATTTCATGAAAGCCACTCTGCCCAGCATTAACAACCACCCCGAGCCACACTTAGGCTCAACACTCTCCATCGGGAGGGTCCTGTCGAGTTGTCTCAGCAGGGGGCGATGCTGCTGCTGTTGAGTGATTCCAGTTGAGTCATGCTAGAAACAGTAATACAGAATCAGTGACATGCTCATTTCTCACATTAACATCACTAGCCCCGGCCACTTCTTTATAACCCTTGAGCTACACCCATTTCAAACTTTTAAAACAGTCTGCCTCAGCAGCAGGCTATGCTTTCCCACCTGATGACGGACGCTTGGGTGTTGCGCCCGAAACGTCGTGATTTATTTTATTTTATACCTACGTGACTTTACCACAAGAACCAAAGTGTACAGACTCAGAATATTTATTTATACTGGAGGAATCAGACGAGCTATGTGATGTCCAATGCCTAGGCTGGTTGAAGCCTTTATCCAATAGTGGATTGAAAAAAAAAACGGTAAAATGTTTTATTATTAAATATTATCTGTTTTTGCAACTCAGATTTTAAATACATCTCACAAATTACTCAACCATGGCCACCTCCTCAGGGGTCAATAAAACGAGTACCACTTTGTGAGGATGTCAACAATGGTCATCCTATGGTGATACTCACCCCTACCGTAGGAATGTGGAATTTGCATCACTGCTTCAGGGCTGTAAATGACAATTTACCTGACTCATTTAAAACCCAAGCAGTCTGACTACTTGGGCTGAGTGACCGCGTTGGAGGGCTGTGCTCACCGATTGGCTCGTGGAGACCACCACAAGCGAGTTCTGAGAGTGCCACTCACCGATTGGCTCTTGGAGACCACCACGAGCGAGTTCTCAGAGTGCCACTCACCGATTGGCTCGTGGAGACCACCACAAGCGAGTTCTTAGAGTTCCACTCACCGATTGGCTCTCAGAGATCACCACGAGCGAGTTCTGAGAGCACCATTCGCCGATTGGCTCCCAAGAGATCATCACGAGCGAGTTCTTAGGGTGCCACTCACCGATTGGCTCTCAAGAGATCACCACGAGCGAGTTCTTAGGGTGCCACTCACCAATTGGCTCTCGGAGACCACCACGAGCAAGTTCTTAGAGTGCCACTCACTGATTGGCTCTCGGAGACGACCACGAGCAAGTTCTTGAGTGCCACTCACTGATTGGTTCTCAGAGATCACCATGAGCGAGTTCTTAGGGTGCCACTCACCGATTGGCTCTCGGAGACCACTACGAGCAAGTTCTTAGAGTGCCACTCACTGATTGGCTCTCGGAAACCACTGCGAGCAAGCTCTGAGAGTGCCACTCACTGATTGGTTCTCAGAGATCACCATGAACGAGTTCTTAGAGTGCAACTCACCGATTGGCTCTCGGAGACCACTACGAGCAAGTTCTTAGAGTGCCACTCACTGATTGGCTCTCGGAGACCACATTCAAAATCATCATAAGCGTCGTCTTGGAGAATATGAATAAGAGGATAAATACGTGTCCTTCACACATCTGTCCCTCCACGTCAAAAAAAAAAAACACATCCCGCCAGCAGCATGGCCTTCTGGGAGTGCATAATTTCAGCAGAGTTAGTTAAACAAAAGCAAAACCCTGCAGCGGTTTCGACATTCATTCGTTTGTTGTCCTTCCCCCGCACCTCCGATTATCAGGATTGGCTACGTACGGTGCAAAAGAAGTCCAACATACGTACACACATTCAGTGTCTCATCAGCAACAGAGTGAGGCTTGCTCAAACCAATGCTGGTAAACTGCCCAGATGTTAACGGACAAGGAGCCTCTCTGCGAGACGCGGGTCCTGGAGTGGCGCAAATCGAAACCCCGCACCCCCGCGGCGCGCACTCGCGCTAACCCCCTCACCTTCATCATCAGCACGACGGTGTTGAGGGCGATCATGGCCATGATGAAGTAGTCAAAGGGGGGCGACACCACGAACGTCCACACGCGGAAGCGGAGGCTGTTCCGGTCGGCCGGCATGTAGCGCGTGTGCGGGCGCGCGCTGATCGCAAAGTCGATGCACGCCCTCTGCGGCGGGAGGCGGGGAGAGGGGAGAGAGAGCGGACGGTCCCTCGTCGGGTGTCTTTCAAGCTACGGGCCTCTCCTGCTGGCTCTGAGGCGGCAGAGCGGGCGGCTTCGCCATCGGAAGGTCGGGGGAATTATAATTTCCGGTTTGGAGATCGACCCGCGGCCCCCTCGTTGATAAAATGCGTACCACGTTGTGTGGGACGTCACCAGTGATTGTTCTGTGGATAGATTCACCCTCCGGCCGTAGACAATTTGGCATTGCCACCACCGCTTCACGGCTGTAAATAGGAGATGAGTACGGATGCCTCAAGGGGAATTTGACCAAAATAACACTGTGACTGCCTCTGCCAGTGAAGAGGATGTCATCAATATTGCTCCAGTTGAGCGCGGATGGCCAAAACTGTTGAAGTGTGCAAAAATTTGAAAGGGATAAAACTGTTGTGTCTGGTTGCCCCTTGGTTGTGACGTTGTGCTAGGGACATTTGGAAACGGCCGGATGGCGCAGTACACTGGCGCCGGACGCTTAGCGAGCCACGACATCTGTGTGTTGGCGCGCGCACGTGAAGTGGGCGCGGCTGTTAACGCACTGCCCTAAGATTCGAATGAACAAGAAGCAGCGAGAGGCATTGAGTGCACTAAAGCCCTCAGCCATACGTAGACCACCAGCAGCTGCTCCCTGTGTGGACATTTTGTCGCTTAAGACCATCGAGAAATGTGGCGGTTCAAATGGCCACACGTTCAGTTCTTCTGAACTGGTGATCTGGATAAGGCCGAGAGATGTTGTACAAGCAATGCTCCTTTTCGCGTGTTATTAAATCTATTCATTGTTCTGGCCCGCACCGGTTTTTTCTGCTGTGATTAATTTTCTTGTCAATCACAGATATGAAATACCAAAATGATTGCGGATATCAGGAATGAGTAATTTCCATGAGTAAAACCAACAGCGGTTGTCACTTAAACTTAACCTTGGGTGACCCATAGGTTGACTCATACCCGGCGTGGTATCTGAACATTACCAGTGGCGAGACAAAGGTGACAGGGTGCGATGCTGGCCACGACAACCCCACACGAGTAACGCTGCCCCTAGCAAGCGCTCCCGGCATTGCACTTTGCTACGATGACGTGTGTAGACCTGTTGGGTGTACGCAGCGGCGCAACGGGGGGGGGGGGGGGAGGGGTGGGGGCGCGGGCTATGCAGCAGCGTGAAGCGACACATAGGGGCCCAGTCGGCCATAAGGGAGCCCCGAATCAACAGATTAACGAGTACATAAATGTTAAGAACATTTTTTGGGGATTAATAAAAAATTACTTTCAGTCTACCATGGACCAAAGCCTGACTAACGCATATGGCCATCGCATAAATCGAGCACAGCGTAAAGCTGCGTGATCCACCCCCTTTGAGGAAGTCCGGGGCCGGCATGAAATCGAGACGCGTGATATCTTAATTGTGACTATCGTAACCTTTAAATCTCATTATGAATAACGGTGAAACGGTCTTCCTCGGAACGCCGATACACGGTGCAACTAAAATAATACCTATATCGTTATAGCCTACATGTTATTGTACATGGGGCTAAAAACATCCGTCGCTATTTCAGTAAAAGTGAATCGGGAGAAAGGAGGGGGACCCACGGTCGGATCTTGCCTAACCCCACCCCTCCCCAAGTTGCAATAGGTGGATGAGCGCTCACGAAGCAACGCTGGCTTGTACGCAGCAGTTAGGATGGGGAGCCTGTACAGCGTGGTGGCTTGCGCACTGCACTACCAACCCGGGTTCGGTTCCCGGCTAATAGATACGTGTGTGTGTGTGTGCTGAAGTTTTTTCGTGCCGTACGTAGCCAACCGTGCTAATCGGAGGTGCGGGGGAAGAACAACAAACTAAACACAAAATGATGAGTGGTGCGCAAATACCGGTGCGGCCGGCAGGCAGATGGGCACAGTGGCGGTCACTCCCCCCCCTCCAACCCACCCCCTCACCCCCCCCGCCCCTCCTCCCACTCCCCCGCCGTTAACAGGCGCTCGCTATCAGTGCGCGAGCCTGAATGCTGGCGCCCCCGTAACGTTTGCTGCGTTGCGCGGCGGTTGTACCTCGTTTTTCTCCAGAGTGCAGTCCAACATGACCTTGTCCCCTTGCTCCTGGAAGGTGATGATGATGAGCGCCACGAAGATGTTGACGAAGAAGAAGGGGAAGACGACGAAATAGACGACGTAGAAGATGGAGGTCTCCATTCGGTAGCCGGGACTGGGGCCCCTCTCCTCGTACGTGGCGTCCACGGAGTGCTTCAGGACCCTGCCAAGACAAAGGCCCCCCCCCCCCCGTATAACCTTAGCAGACTGTTGGGGCAAGTGCTCTTCGCGAGTGGCACCTATGATGGTGCAGAACGCCATACGAGGGGGTGGTGTGGCTAGCACCACGCCCGGCCGCCTTTTTCTCCCTAGTGCTGATGTTTACACACTGCAGCAAGCACTGATTTAAGGTTGAGACGACCCAGGGGGGACCCAGGACCGGTCCAGATGAACGGCATTGGTGTTGGCCGTGAGCGGGAAATCGAACTTGGGTCGCCGCTCGTCACGGACACAGAAGTAGCCACTGCCCACGCGCGCGCACAACCAGAGACAAAGATCCCCCGCGTAGCCTGAGCAGGCAGCTGGGGCAGGAGCCGTTCGCGAGAACTTATGACGGCCAAAGCGGCGCTCTAGGTGGTGGCTGTGGCCAGTACCAGACCCGGCGGTGATGTTTTAAACACCGCGCCACGTACTCATTGAAGGCCGAGTCGTCCTTGGGGATGTTGGCTGTGAGTGGGAATCGAACTCGGGTCTCCGGGTTTGGAGCGCAGCGTGCTAACCGCTGCACCACCGGTCTCCATGGACTCGACAAAGACTGTTGGGGCAAGTGCTGTTAGCGAGTAGCAGCGCCTATGAAGGCCGGCACGGCACACGAGGGGGTGGGTGGCCAGCACCACGCCCGGCCGCTTTTGTCTCCCTCGTGGCGATGATTTTACACACTGCACCTGGTACTCATTTGAGGTTGAGTCGACCTAGGGGAGGCCCAGGACCGGTTCAGATAATCGTCACCAGTGTTGGTCTTGAGTGGGAATCGAACTCGGGACGCCGGGTTCATAGCGCAGCTCGCTAACCGCTACACTACCGCTCTCTTTACACCACACACATGCACACACACAAACACACGTGTACGTATGTGTGTAAGTATGTGTGTGTGAGCATGTGAGGTTCCTGTGTGCGTGTGCGCTTGTGTGTGTTGCGCACATACGAGCGTGTGTGTGCGTACGTGTTTGTGTGCATGTGTGTCTACATACATGTGAGTGCGCGCGTGTGCGTGCGTGTGCGTGTGCGCGCGTGAGAGCGAGCGTGTGCATAACGTGTTCGTGCGTATGTGCGTGTTCGAGCACGTGTGCGTGCGTATGTGGGCGTGTGCATGCGTGTATGTGGGCGTGTGCATGCGTGTATGTGGGCGTGTGCGCGTGCGCGTGTCTCACTGTGGCCAGCCCTCCCCCGTGGAGACTGTGAACAGCGTGAGCAGAGCCCACAGGACGTTGTCGTAGTGGAAGTCGAACCGCTTCCATTCGCGCGGGTGAGGGTCCACTTTGTCGCGGTCGTACTCCAAGAAGTAGCCACTGCCCACGCGCGCGCACAACCGGAGACAAAGATCCCCCGCGTAGCCTGAGCAGGCAGCTGGGGCAGGTGTCGTTCGCGAGAACTTATGACGGCTAAAACGGCGGCGCTCGAGGCGATGGCCGTGGACAGTACCACTCCCGGCGGTGATGTTTTAAACACCGCGTCACGTACTCATTTAAGCCGACCTTGGGGGGGGGCAAGGAACCGGTGCAGATATTCGTAGGGGGCTGTTGGCTGTGAGCGGGAATGGAACTCGGGTCGCCGGGTTCGATGCACAGCGCGCTAACCAGTGCCGGATTAAGCGAGTGCGGGCCCTGTAAAATACGTGATAAAGGGACCCCAAATAAAAAAAAACACGTATATATTAAAACATATAAATGTTTAACTTGCATAGTAAAGTAATTGTATTGTTTCATTTGCTACACAGCCAGATAATACGACAAATCCTTAACCTTAAACACCCAGTCGTTCATAAAAGTTGAAGGCGGTATAGTACTATAGTAATAGAGCAAGTGCAGAATCACTGAACCGGAATTGATAGCTTGAAAGCATTTAGCGCGGTGCCCTTGAAAGTGCGGGGCCACTCGCATATGCTACTTTTGCTACTCGGATAATCCGGCACTGGCGCTAACCGCTACACGACCGTATCCATTGACACACACTCACACGGACAAAGATCCCCCGTGCTGTTAGCGAGTAGCACCTATGAAGGCCGGCACGGCACACGAGGGGGTGAGTGGCCAGCACCTTTGCCTCCCCAGTGGCGATGTTTATGTACCGCACCAGGTACTCATTTGAGACCGAGTCGACCGAGGGGAGGCCCGGGACCAATTCAGATAAACGACATTGGTGTTGGTGGCCATGAGCGGGAATTGAACTCGGGTTCGTGGGTTCGTAGCGCAGCGCGCTCACCGCCACACCACCGCTCTCCTCGGACACACACTCACGCCGACACACGCACGCGCGCCGCACGCACGTACCGGCAATCCTTCTCGTACTCCTTGGACTCGTCTGTGCAGTAGTAGAATCGGCCTTTGAAGAGCTGCACAGCGATGACGGCGAAGATGAACATGAAGAGCATGTAGACGATGAGGATGTTCAGCACGTTCTTGAGCGAGTTGACCACGCAGTCGAACACCGCCTGGTGAGGCAGAAGCAGCAGCCAGCAGCAGCAGACACCTCCAGGTGAGCAGTGACATCGTCAACATGTGCAGCAGCCTCTCTTGCGGAGCAGCTGGTGAGGTGAGGATAATCGCTTGAACAAAACACAAAGGTGTGCTTGTTGTGTTCAGTTTGTTGTCCTTCCCCCACACCTCCAATTAGCGCGGTTGGCTACGTACCATGTGAAATAAGTTCAACATACATACATGTAAAACATCTCTGAGCCTTATCCAGACCATCAGGACCTCCGATTAGCACGGCGCAAAAGAAGTTCAACATCCATGCACACGTGGGCCAGCCGCTCAAACGAACTAAAATGCCATCATCTCAAAGTGTTGAGAACATGTGGCCATCCCTTCTTTGGATTCTGGTCTGCTCAAGGCGGGTGAGTATTTGTACATGCAAAGCGCACCGACGCTCGGCGTTGAGCCAGTGCACGTTTTATTCCCGGCCTGCACGAAATTTTCTGTTGCGATTGGCGAGGTTTCCCGTCACGACGGACTTGAACGAGGAGGGACAGCCGTGGCTCTGACATCGCGAGCAATGGGCGATTGCCGAGACGCAAAAGCACATTCTCACGCACAATTATATCCACTCACTGACTCACTCGCGCTCGTACGTAAGGACACAGATTCCCCTGGGGAGCCTACAAAGAGTGCTGAGGCAAGACGTGAGCGAGCACCTGTGACGGCCGGCATGGTACACCTATGAGGGGGTGGGTGGCTTGTACCACGCCCAGCGGTGATGTTTCAAATACCGCGTCACATACTCATTTAAGTCGACCTAGGGGAGGGCCTAGGACGTTCAGATATTCGTCACTGGTGTTGGGCCGTGAGCGGAAATCAAACTCGAGTCGTTGGGTTCGTGGCGCAGCTCGCTAACCGCTACACCACCGCTTACCCACACTCACACTCTCACGTATGTATACATGCACACGGATGCACACCTTGAGCTTGGGGAGCCGCTTGATGGTCTTGAGGGGGCGCAGCACGCGCAGCACTCGCAGAGACTTAATCGTGTTCAGATTGTTTCCCTTGCTCTCTCTGCAAAGGCATCGTCACGTCAACACTCCCCCCCCCGCCCCCGCACATCGTCACCAGTAGCGGGTGCATGCCATTATAATGTCTTTCTCCGGGACTCTGTTTCTGTGCCTGGGATGTTTGTCTTCACGTCACCTTTACTGCAACAAGGTCGGAGTTTCTCAACGTGTGGAGGAGTAGTGGGAGGAAGTGAGGGCATCGGCAGGAAAGAACGGGATTACGTCATAGGGTGACGTCATGTTACCAAGAGGAGAGGGGTACTTAAAGGGGACCCCGAGCCGAGGGGCGGGGTCGTTGTGGGGAGCCGAGGGAACGGGAGTCTCGAGGAGACGGAAGACACGCCGAACGGACGACATGCCGCTCAGCACCGAGACCCTAGGCCGAGGAAGAGTAGGATTAGTGGGGACCTTAGGTGAGGATAGGCCGAGGAGTTAGGCGGGTACCGGGACGGTCCACGGGAAGGACCAAGTGTAGAAGTGTCTACCTCGCGTGTGATCCAGAGATACTATACGGGAGTGTAGTGTTTAATAAACTGGCAATAGCTCTTACGGAGAATCTAGTCTCCGTGTGAGTTTACACCTCAACAAACGTATACAAATCGAAACGGACGTTACAAGCGAGTATTTATAAGGGGGAAAAAAAGAAAACACATTCTCGGGAGTTCCGGTTTCTTTGCGACAAGGCAAAACCGTATCGACGGTGAGTGGGCAATGCCCCGTACGTCTGTGTGTGTGTGTGCGTGTCGCTGCACGTGCATCACATTGTGAACGTGCATGCGAAGCGTGCGTGCGTGCGCAGCATCCTTACTTGGAAACGCTCCTTCAAGACGCGTTTCAAAAGGGAACCGACAAAAGACACGCGCACACACGTCAGAGAAAACATTGCAAGTGGGCCGCGTGCGCACGCCAAATGGGTATCGTGCTGTGGGAAGCAGGCGGCCTTCTGGCGCCGGCCCGCCTTGCTTAACGTCTTCTCACGTCAGAGTCAACGCAACCGATGCCATCGTCGCCTGGGCGAAACGGACGTCGTAGAAATTCAAATCCAGATGCGATCAGTCGAGCTAAACGCCCCCAAAAAAAAAATTGGTCATGAAGCAATGGGACGAGGTGTCCGAGTGACCCCACCAGCACTGAAGGACTCTCAACAGCTGATTGTGACTTTGTGGCCAGATCCAAAGGACATTGTCGTTGCCTCACTGTACTGCCAGGGTGCACCTTGCTGGTGAACAATGGCCTTTCTCAAGACCTGGTACTAAGACCATAACTCTTCTTGGTTCTTTCGGTAGAAGGGAAATAATAAAATAATGAAAATTAAACATAATAAAGTAATTATATTATTTTATTATTTCTCTTCTACGTGACTTTACCAAAAGAACCAAGAAGATGAATCCCTGCAGTCACGAAAGCTTTCAATCGAAATTTAAGACCGTAACTATTTAACATATATACGCGTGACCTCCCATGTACATCACCTCGCTAGTTCATACAGGGGACCCCTTTACTTACGAACGAGTTAGGTTCCAGAGGTCTGTTCGTAAGTGCAACTTTACTCGTATCGATTCTAAACATGTTGCACGGCATGTACAGAACATGGTTCTTCATGGTTCTTCATGATCTGCAGATGTAGATGCTACTGGTTCTTCACGATCTGCAGATGTAGATGCCACTGGTTCTTCGTTCTGCAGATGTAGATGCCACTGGTTCTTCACGATCTGCAGATGTAGATGCCACTGGTTCTTCACGTTCTGCAGATGTAGATGCCACTGGTTCTTCACGTTCTGGAGATGTAGATGAAACTGGTTCTTCATGATCTGCAGATGTAGATGCCACTGGTTCTTCACGTTCTGCAGATGTAGATGCCACTGGTTCTTCACGTTCTGCAGATGTAGATGCCACTGGTTCTTCACGATCTGCAGATGTAGATGCCACTAATTCTTCACGTTCTGGAGATGTAGATGCCACTGGTTCTTCACGTTCTGGAGATGTATATGAAACTGGTTCTTCACGATCTGCAGATGTAGATGCCACTGGTTCTTCACGTTCTGCAGATGTAGATTAAACTGGTTCTTCACGATCTGCAGATGTAGATGCCACTGGTTCTTCACGTTCTGCAGATGTTGATGACACTGGTTCTTCACGTTATGAAGATGTAGATAGAACTGGTTCTTCACGATCTGCAGATGTAGATACCACTGGTTCTTCACGTTCTGCAGATGTAGATGCCACCAGTTCATCACGTTCTGTAGATATAGATGCCACTGGTTCTTCACGTTTTGCAGATGTAGATGCCACTGGTTCTTCACGTTCTGCAGATGTAGATGCCACTGGTTCTTCACGTTCTGCAGATGTAGATGACACTGGTTCTTCACGTTCTGGAGATGTAGATGAAACTGGTTCTTCATGTTCTGAAGACGTAGATACCACTGGTTCTTCGTTTTGCAGATGTAGATGCCACTGGTTCTTCACGTTCTGCAGATGTAGATGCCACTGGTTCTTCACGTTCTGTAAATATAGATGCCACTGGTTCTTCACGTTCTGCAGATGTAGATGCCACTGGTTCTTCACGTTCTGCAGATGTAGATGCCACTGGTTCTTCACGTTCTGCAGATGTAGATGCCACTGGTTCTTCACGTTCTGCAGATGTAGATGCCACTAGTTCTTCACGTTCTGCAGATACAGATGCCACTAGTTCTTCACGTTCTGCAGATACAGATGCCACTGGTTCTTCATGTTCTGCAGATGGAGATTCCACTGGTTCTTCACGTTCTGCAGATATAGAGGCCACTGGTTCTTCACGTCCTGCAGATGTAAATGCCACCACCGCCATCTTTTGCGCGATGGTAGAACTTATGACTCTCGGTCTAAACAAGCAACTGGACATATGGACCAGGTTTATCCGTATCTCTGAGAGTTCCTAAGTCTAATGTTCGTAAATAGAGGAGTCCCTGTATACGCAGATGACATAGTCCTTGCTGCACGTGGCATAAACTTAAGAGACTATTGCCAACCTCGCTGAACAGTCATGCAGCAAATGCCACCCGGGATGTGTCCTCTTGTGGTAGCCCTGCGCGCTGTGACCCCACTCCAAGAAATCTCGGGGTTATCATGGACAGTAGCCTGACCTTTGAACCTCAGAATGAAAATAGATCTGTGAAAGACCAAATCAAGAATCACCCTGCTCGAGCCTGGTCTCAGAGCTTATACGCAAGACTGCTCGATGCAGAGTTCTATAACGCACTTTGCATCATAACTAGAACATCGAAACGGACACCAATCCCCCTGGCTCCCTGCTCTGGCGAACGTTCTCTGCCACCAAATATCCAAAGAGATGTACAAACTGCAAGGGAGTTGGCACGTTCCCTTGTAAACGATGAGTGCCTACATATCATCAACCAAGACCTAAACAACGCACCTCACTGCGAACTCAGGTCCAAATCATGCTGCTGTCACCGCATCCTACAATCTCACTTGGATCTGAAAGAACGCTGGCGAACGGAGTGGAACAACGTGGATGTCCGGAATAAACTTTGACACGCCACCTCGAAGACACCGGTGGTGTAACGATCAAACACACCAGAACATCAACAGGCCAATGTGTACATCTCCTTCACGAATGGAAAAGACACAGCCACATTGCGATTGTGGCCACACAACCCAAACTCCAAGGCGGTCGTAAACTTGGGCATGTTCCTGCATTTGGTTATCATTCCATCGTTAAGTCTTGTCCATTTGCCATCATCCATTCTACTGCAGTGTCCTTCCCAAGTCCACTCAACGATATCTCCAATTTGTATTTCTTCTCCGATCCACCTGTGTCTCTGTCTCTCAGTGTGATTCCCAGCATGCACCTCTCCACGCTTCCTCGTGTACTTTTCAGTTTTTGTTCCATTTTACTCCGACAGCGTGTCCCTGACAACAGTCCATGTCTCCGATGTCAGAGCATCTACTATGCACGTTGCTTGTCATTTGCCACAGCGACCTTTACAGAAGCGCTCCAACCTGCACTCTCCTCTTCATTTCATCACACCAGAACATCAACAGGCCAATGTGTACATCTCCTTCACGAATGGAAAAGACACAGCCACATTGCGATTGTGGCCACACAACCCAAACTCCAAGGCGGTCGTAAACTTGGGCATGTTCCTGCATTTGGTTATCATTCCATCGTTAAGTCTTGTCCATTTGCCATCATCCATTCTACTGCAGTGTCCTTCCCAAGTCCACTCAACGATATCTCCAATTTGTATTTCTTCTCCGATCCACCTGTGTCTCTGTCTCTCAGTGTGATTCCCAGCATGCACCTCTCCACGCTTCCTCGTGTACTTTTCAGTTTTTGTTCCATTTTACTCCGACAGCGTGTCCCTGACAACAGTCCATGTCTCCGATGTCAGAGCGTCTACTATGCACGTTGCTTGTCATTTGCCACAGCGACCTTTACAGAAGTGCTCCAACCTGCACTCTCCTCTTCATTTCATCGTTGCCATCTCAGCAGTGTCCCTCGATATGATTTTATTTAGTTTCGCAGGTCCATTGTGGGTTTACTCTCCCAACACAACTGGTAAGTGCCGAACTAGTGGCTAATTGGCACGTTTTGTTGACGTGACAAACCTTACTAAATGGCTGTGTCGGGTGGTGGTGGGTTTAACGACACATTTATATTCATGAGATAAAAACTAAAAACCTCCATCATGGATAATATTGGTCGCGTCTGACGTGACTTTTGTTTTGATCATTTTTACTGAACCTATCTTTGCAAAACAAAATAAGTTATTCAAGCATTCCTATTAATTCCTTTCCACTGGTTCTTATTATTACGATGTCATCGGCAAAATCTAAGAGGGTGAATATTCTCTCCATCCGTGTCCATGCATCGACCTCCCCAAATAAAACCGAAGAAAAAAAGTGACGGTGGATTAACTGCGAGAAGAGCGACTCCCCTTGCCCCGGTCACCTGTCCCGACGTGCACGTCGCTACTATTCCACGAGCAACCTCAGTGTGGCTCTTCCATCTCTATGACACAGGTTTTTGTCAATTTCGCGTACAGCAATAACCCCGCTTTATGTCAGGGGAATGCGTTCCCGTAAAGGCGCGACAACGAATATCATAAAAGACGTCAATCCAAGCAATTGACAGGGTAAGGGAGGTGGTGGAGGCAAAGGCTGAGAGGCGACGGATAACGAGAAAGGGACGGACGATGCTGTCAGCGACGTTAAATCTGTGGGGTTGAGGCGACGCAAATCGGCTCGCGTATTTGCGAAAGGGGGAGACGTAAATCGGGGTATTACTGTAATTCGATTCAGGCCTTGGTGGGTGACATGCTCGGTGACCGCATCAGCTTCCATTAAATCAAAAGACTGTTCAGAGTATGTAATAATAATGATGATATATGGGCAGCCTTGGAGTACGCTGTGCATGACGATCTTTAATAAAATATTGCTTTGGAAAAAGGAAATGGGTGTTCTCGCTGAAATGCAATGCTAAGGACGTATATTTATTCACGCGCCTGTGTGTGTTCTATATTTTATATTTATAGAACATATAGAGCACACACACAATCAAGTCATGGCACCTGGGTCTGTCCCATGCCCTCCTGCCTTGAAGTGCACTTAGCCTGGCACAAGCGCCGTGGTGACGTCACCGCCACTTAGAGGCGAATGACGGTTGTTGTTGTTGTTGTTGTGCGTTTGTCTTTGTGATGAAATCAAAAAGGTATTCATTCTATTCGTACCTGGCGATTCTGAACTGCCCCTATTCCTTCACCTTGCCTGCCAATGCCACATCTCGTGAAACAAGATTTACAGGTGACCTGGTGAGAATGACGCCCCCCGCCCGCCCCCACCGTGGTCGCCCCCCTCCTCCCCCCCACCCCGTGATCCGTGGATCAAGCAAATCACTCGAGACGCCGGTGGTGTACAGGCGGCTAGAAGCAGTTTATGCGAACGCTGCGAGTCGCAAGAGGTTGCGCGTTTGGCGCAGCAGTCCTTCGCTGTACGTGACGAATTAACGAATTAATGGCGAGACAGGGTTCAGGCTGCATTACCGCTCGGGGGGGGGGGGGGGGGGGGGGGGGCGGGGGGTGGGGGGGGGTAGGAACCACGTGAGCGTATTTCACCGTGCTGGTCAGCAAAGGATGCTGGCAACGGGACGGCCGCCCAATGCGGGCAGCGCGCACCGCTCACGCACGCGGGCGCACACTCACGTGGAGGTGAACGCCACCAGGCCTCAAGTGGGCACACACTCACGTGGAGGTGAACGTCACCAGGCCTCACCTGGGCGCACACTCACACTCACGTGAAGGTGAATGCCACCAGGCCTCACGTGGGCGCACACTCACACTCACGTGGAGGTGAACGCCACCAGGGCTCCGCTGGGCGCACACTCACGTGAAGGTGAAGGCCACCAGGGCTCCGCTGACGACGATGAAGTCCAAAATGTTCCAGAGGTCACGAAAGTATGATCCTCGGTGCAGAAACAACCCGAGGTCGACCATCTGCCAAACCGACAACAACCGCCGTCCGCTTGAACCTTAAAGACTCGCACGCGCCCACCGGCGTGCGGCAGCGGCGATCGTCGTTCCGAGGCTGCCGCCAACCAAACACGGCGAGCTTTTACAAAATGGCAGCCACACAAATTGGCCCACGATGAATGGTTCCCAGAATGAAGTGACGAGAACTCTGTTAACACGACGGGTGCTCGCAATTGCTATCGGGGTTTTAGTTTCTTTGTTTGTTAACCGACAAACAACCTTCGCACTTTTTCTTCTTCTTTGGTTCTTTCGGTAAAGTCACATAGAATGAGAATACAATAATAAATTGATAAAATAAAATAACACAATATTCTCACGACGTTTCGGTCACAACACAAGCGGCCTTCATCAGGTGACTGCAAGGATTCATCAAAAAAGATGAATCCTTGCAGTCACGAAAGCTTTAAATCGAAGTGTAACCTTTGCACTACCCATGCAAAAGCTCCCCCAACCGTTTCCGGTCATTCCTCACAGAACGAATCGTCACGTGCGCAGAAAGGCACCTGCACGGGCCTACCCGGACGCACAACCGTTACCTTGACCACCATCTCGAAGGTGAACACTCCGGTGAATACGAAGTCAAAGTACTTGAGCACCTGAGGGCACAAATGAGGAAAGGAACACAGTCACACGCGGTTTTGCCGACTCGAAAGTGTCATACCGTCATAATCGCTGGCTGCAATGGCAACGTAGAAGTCCCAGAAGTCCCACAGTATTAATCTCTCACATCCCGCGGTCCACGCTCAGTCATTGTCCCTCAAAAATAAGCGAGCTTCTTTAGGCTCAAATGTTCGGGAACTTGCTGGTATACGTGTTTGGTGTTGTGCAAAGCCACTTATTACAAGAATATTTATTATTTGTTGATACTATTTTTTTAATCGATTATTTACCCAGAAACGCCACACATGAGTCCGAACACTCGCAGGAGCATCCTGCCACATTGGGATGTTTGGCAAACTTGAATAACATTTGATGTGTTTGTCGCAATGTGTGTACGTATGTTGAATTTCTTTCGGACCGTACGTAGCCAACCGGGCCTAATTGAAGGTGCGGGGGAAGAACAACAAACTAAACACAAAAAGCAGTTCTTGTGAAATTAGTTTTCAATCTAGATTTAAAGGCGCATAGCTCCAGTGGCTTCCTAATATCGGAAGGAAGAACGTTCCAGACGGCCACAGAGGTGCATCTGAAAGCGCGCGATGCAGTGACCATCTTTGTTCAATGGCAGGTCAAAGGCTGCTGCAAGGATGACCCGGAGTTCGCGTGATGATGGTTCATGCTCCTTGATGAGATTGGCGAGGTGTTGTGGTTCATTTGTGGTCAAGCACTTTGTGTGTAGTGAGTGCGACTCTATAAAATGATTTTGACCTTGTAGGCCAGCGAGTCTGGCGTCTCTTACCCATTTAGAGTTAGATAACCCAAAGACCTCTAATCATTCGCTTTACCGGATAAAACTGCTCCTGCCGAGCGCAAGCTATCCTGAGGGAAATGTCGGAGAGAACCAGCTACTAGATGGTTCGATTAGTCTTTTGCCCCTATACCCAGATCGAACGATCGATTTGCACGTCAGAAACCGCTACGGGCCTCCAGCAGAATGTCCTCTGGCCTCGCCCTGCTCAGGCATGGTTCAAGGGTGATAACTGCAGTGCCGCAGTACCCTCCTCTCTGCTACGAAACTCATCATCCTGTCACATTTTCTAACAAGCGACAATGACGTCACATTTCAAGCCTAACGACGAGTTTGATGTCACAGGGTGCCGTGACGTGGCATCACGAGGTCGCGTTGCGCGCAACAACTGGGTGCAGCGCGTTCATTTTTGTGCGCTGCCACTGCCTTGGCCGAAGAGGCCAAGGCAGTGGCAGCCTATCGCAAACCTTTGATAGATTTGTTGTGTTTTCTAAAAGACGAGTCTCTCAGTGCAACACAACTTTACAATTGAGCTTAATTCACAGTTGTCTTTTCCCCCACCCCCTCCCCCGGGTTCTCCCATTCCCTTCCCCCCTCCCCGTCTCTTTCGTTCCCCCAGTGTGTTAGTCACCTTCCCCCTTATCTTCTTTCCCCTCCCTCTATAAATCTTCATGTTCCCGCCTGGCTCATGGTCCTACAAACGCCAGCTGCTGCTGCTGCTGTTTGCAGGATTTCTGCTCCCCCTCCGTTCTGTGATCGCCGTTTTGTGCCGGGCCAATATTGAGTTGTAAAAAGTTAAAAGCTCAATTCACATTGCATTGTCTTCACGAGCGTTATCATGACCCTGCCACTGCGGACAGACGAACAGACAGAGCAAATGCATGGAGGAGGCCACGAGGCCTCGGGAGTCTGGCCCCTCCTCACGTTATTGTGCAGAGAGTCGGTACGGACGGGGTCCTCGGCCGCCAGGGCGATGCTGCTCATGGTGATCACGGACAGGATGGTGATCTCAAAATACCGCAGGTTCACCACGTAGTGACACGCGCGCCGAATCCTGCACACACACACAAAGGCAAAGATCCCCCCCAGTATAGCCTCAACAGACTGTTGGGGCAAGTTGACTCGGCCTAAATTAACAAGCTGAGTGACCAATCCGAAAGTTTGCCTATGGTATTAAATAAATGCTGATGAAAAAAATCACTCCTAGAAGGCCGTGGCAGATGGGATGTGTAAAACATAATCTTGATTTGAAGCTTTCGTGACTGCAGGAATCCATACTCTTTGGTTCTTTCAGAAAAGTCACGTAAAGTAGAAATACATTTTCATTTTATTTCTACCTACGTGACTTTACCGAAAGAACCAAAGAGTATGTGTAAAACATATATTTGAATGATTTTGTGCAGGGACAGATATGGGAAGGGGTTTTTTTTTTTTATAGATGTATAAACAGGACTGTTGAAACAAATCCAAGCGGGAATTGACCCTAGCCACATGACCCCGTGACCCCGTGACCTCGTGGGTGTGGCGGCCCTTCCTTAGTGAGACTCCCGTGTGGCACCTTACACAGTGCTTCAAATCCGTGAATGACGAGAACACCCTAGCTGGTCTCCGGCCGCGTCTTTGGCCACGTTTTCTCAAATCATCGGTGGCCTGAATAGCAAAGTTGCCACACATTCAGTTCCTTCCAGCTTGCGGTCACGAATAAGGATAGGGACAGCTTTTGTACACGCATTGCACATTCCTGCGCGTGTACGTATAAATCTTGGACTTTTTTCGCACCGTACGTAGCCAACCGTGCTCATCGGAGGTGCAGTGTTGTTAAGTCGATTTTCCCAGTGGCGTTTGGGGGCTCACACAGAGATCCCTCGCCGCCCATGCGTGTGTGCAGTTAAACCGAAAATAACTCGAAGTCTGCGCTGTGCAGGCTCAAGCACCGTTATGGCTAAGAGGACGTCTTCACCTCTACCCTTCGGTGCGCCGCTTCCTTTTGTTATTGTTGCCATGTGAGTTCTCAATCTACATCGATAAGCCCTCTTGCAATGGATGGTGGTTCATTGGTTGACGTATGCAGTGTGTGTGTGTGTTGTGTTTCCGCGCGGGGAGTGATGGTGTAGTGGTTAGTGCGCTGTGCTACGAACCCTGGCGACCTGAGTTCGATTCCTGCTCAAGGCCACCAACACCAGTGACGATTATTTGAGCCCGTGCCTGGGCCTCACCTAATTTAAGACTCAGCCTCAAATGAGTACCTGGTGCGGTGTGTTAACATCGGCACTGGGGAGATAAACGCGGGCGGTCGTGGTGTTGGCCACCCACCCCTTCATGTGCCGTGCCGGTCTTGATAGGTGTTCGCTAACAGCACTTGCCCCAAAAGTGCGTTAAGGCTACACAGGGGATCTTGTCTTTATCTTTGTGTGTGTGCGCGTGTGTCTGTCTGTGTGTGTGCGTGGTGGGCATGCGTGCGTGTCACTTACGGGTTGGTTGGACTAAAAATGAACATGGAGCTAAAAGGCACCATCGGTTTTGGACCACTTCCTCCTCCGTTGACATCGCCACCATCATCTTTCTTCTCTGGCAGGACCTCCAGCTGAACGCCGAGGCTGTTCACTGCACACGCCGATCAGAATCAGCGCCATCGCCATCATAACCTCCGATTGGCACGGTTGGCTAAATAGGGTGCCCAAGAAGTTCAACATAGATACATACACAACCACGGCTATGTTGCGAGAGTCATGAATGATATTCCGAAGATCATTCATCTGATGAAAGTGAACGGTACCCTGGGTCTCGCTCGCAATGGGACATGCTGGTGGCAAGACTGACACACATTCAGAATGTCGGCGCTGTCTATCATATAGGGCACCCCATGTCCACGCTATGCAATACATGATCCAACTGCCACATGCAACCCAAATAGAACACGGCAAAATTCTACCGTGTGAGATCAAGTATCTTGCAGTTATCGCAGCAGACAAGAGCCGGCTTTTTCAGACACATTATCATGATCACTCCCAGGACATTGCCAACCTATGCAACACAAAATTGTGTCAAATAGTTAATAGGTAATGGCACTGATGTAGTGTACCAGAAGGGACAGAAGTGTATAAATGATTACTTCCAATGCCATCCAAGTCATCGGTGGGAAAATTATAATTATGAAATTTTCTTTGCTGTGAAACTCAATTTAGTCTGACTTGTAAAAAAAATGTGCATGTGATCATGCCTGCAACGTCATTCAGATAATTTCAAAAGTCCAAGTGATTTTGTGCTCATTTGAGCAGGAAATCAAATTCCACACGACCATGGGGACAGAAACAGGCAAATTCCCAATATACAGGCGTCGGGGTCGGGAGGTAGTTAACATCTCACCGCCATGGCGCCCAGTAATAACCATAAAATACAAGGCGCTGTTTACTCAAAGTACGCAATTTATATACCATGACGCCTTTCTAAATGAGTTGGCCATTGCGTGCCGTCATCATGGTCAAGTCTGATAACATTAAATGTCCACAAATAATTCAAGTACCATTGCACGTAGAAATTATCGCCACCGCGCGCGACTGTCAAACTACGGCAACGAGGTGCGGTCACCTTGTTGCCGTGCAGGGACAGTTGCCGCTTAGGATTGTTGAGGTGAAACATGGTGGAAGGTGGTTTGAGATGCTGAGGCATTTAAGCAATGCTGTATTATCACTATTATGCGTGTTTCCCAAGAAAAGCCTCACAAAGTCTCAAGACTTTTTCAGGAGGAGGGTCTTGTGAAGTTTTCACATTATGGGGGGGGGTAGGAGTGGAGGGGCGACGTTGCTACGTCTAATTTCAAACAGTAATAGGCAGGATTCTTTTTTTGCATTTGCGGGCCAATACCAGTTAAACTGTACGTTATTTTAGCAAATGGAGGAAACTGACGAACCTGGAGAAAACCTTATCCATAACAGAAGTAGTTTTTTGGGTTAGATCACGTAAATGTCAATGTGTCCTTAAAGCCACCACCACCTGACAAGGCCAATTAGTAAGGTTTGTCACGTCAACAAGAAACATGCCATTTAGGTACTGGTTCAGCACACCGATTGTGTGTTGGAGAATAAACCCACAACATTGACAAAGAAAACCTCCGTTATGGATAATATTGGTCGCAAGAGCCTACCCGTTAAACCAGAGAAAACCTACGTAGAACAAGTGGAAGAACACACAAACCCAAAGCAGAAAAGTCAGAAATTCCTTGCTGCGGAAATATTACAATCATTAGACGCTCACAGCACGAGGCTCTCGGATGGGGATGCGAGTTCGCGTTCACACACAGAGGGACGGACCCCGCCCCTGCCGTAGCTTCACCCCCCCCCCCCCCCGTCCCTCACTCCTTGCATGTGTACGCGAGGGCCTCACTGGGGATGCTGTTCTCCTGTGGCTGGCCGCTGGGCGTGCCTCCGAGCGTGTGCGGCTGTGCAGTCGTCTCGGTGACGGCTCGTCGGTTGTTGAGCTGGTTGTCGGCGTCTTCCGCCTGCTCAGGGATGGGGGCATCCATGGAGCTCTCCGGCGTCACGGGCTGGTGCCTGCAGCGATCGAACGTGCGCGGGTATTAAAAAAAAAAAAACAGGAGCACGTTTTTCGCGATGATTATTTATATTCCCGCGATTCGAAAGCCCCGGTCGGAAAATCTTGCGGCGGGGCGGCGGTGGTGGTGAGTGGTGTTAGGTGGTGTTGGATGGTGGTGGTGGGTAGTGTTGGGTGGTGGTGTCTAACCCACCAGGCTCTACACACGCCAGATGAATAGGTCGTGCTGGGTTTTAGGGATTGACCCAAAAACTCCCGATGGCCATCGAATGGATTTCCAAACTCAACACACATTTATAATCACATTGCTCTTCAAATGCCTTACAAATTAAACTAAAAAAACAGCGATGTTAAAATCTCAGATGGAGGTCAACTGGCTGGGGGAAGTGGGCGATGAAACCGTTGCAGATTCTACACTAGAGTTGTTTTAATTATAAAAAAAATTCGTTGATGCACAGCGGGCAATAAAATAATTAAGGGTTGACAGTGAGAGTCCTGCGTGTGCAGAACGCTTGGCAAGAACTGCTCTCGAACACACGCATGTGTATATATATATGCAAACACAAGTCGTTTCCACCAGCACACGGCTCAGCACAAAGACAAAAACCCCCCGTGTAGCCTTAACAGACTGTAGGGGCAAGTGCTGTTACCAAGCACCTATGAAGGCTGGAACGGTACACGAGGGGGTGGGTGACCAGCACCACGCCCGACCGCCTTTGTCTCCCGATTAAGCGATGTTTACACACAGCACCAGGAACTCATTTGAGGCTGAGTGGACCAAGGGGAGGCCCAGGACCGGTTCAAATAATCGTCCCTGGTGTTAGTGGAACTTGAGCGGGAATTTAACTCGGGTGGCCGGGCTCATATCCCAGTCCGCTAACCACACTACACTACTGCTCCCGACAGACACACACACACACACACCTCCTCTTGCAGGTGGAATGTTTTTTCTTGTGATGTCTCGGCTGTTCTCCGGCTCCCTGCGGGCCCTCCGAGCCACCTGGTGCCCCCTGCCCACCAGCTCCATCCGGCCTCCCCGACTCCCCCGGCCTCGCCGGCCCATCCAGCACCCCGCCCTCGGGGAGTGGGGACAGCGGGGGTTGCCGTGGTAACTGCAATCCGGTGACATCATCGTCTGCCGGGCTGTACCTGTGGGCGCAGCGAGCGATTCGAGGTGCCGTCGCAAGCGATCATCGTCACGTCGCGTGTCTGGATAGGCACGGGTGACCCCGGATTGTGGGTCGCCGTACGTCCCTGCCAGCCTCTCCAGCCCAGCGCCACCGCGCATGACCCAGAAGTAGAATATTTATTCATTACTGGAGGATTCCGATGAGCTATAAAGCTCGTTTTCGCAGATGTCCAGTAAAGGCACAGGGTCAGAACGTTACAGCAACAAACAATACAAAAACAAGATAGTGCAAAGTATGAAGGTTAACAAATCACTTAAAAAATATACCAATAAAACGAAACAATGTTTTGTTAATCTTACCAGGCAGAGCACACTGAGCTATTAGCTTATTTTGCAGAAGCAGCCTGGCCACAAATAATAGCTCAACGAAGTGGCTCATCACGTGGAAATGTACAGCAGCCAAGTACTCTTAAATGCGTGACGTTGATTCTAAACAGTGGAAGAAAAAAATCGGAGGAACCGGAGGAACAAAAAATCCACGCGACCACGGGGAGAGAGACACACCGCAAACTCCAAATATACAGCAGCAGCAGGCGTCAGGGTCGGGATGGAACCCTCGACCTCCTGCATACCAGGCGAGGTGGTTAACATTACGCCACCGTTGGCGCTCCTTAAATTCAGCATCTGCGCCGACCACCCCAACACGTCCCCTCCGCACTACGCCGCAGTAGCTCCCGCAGACCCTGCAGTGCCTTAGGCAGGGTTTACCCTGGAATGACCCACATCGGAGGGAAAATGCTCTTCGAGATGTTTAATTAATCATGCGAGATGGTTTTCTTGGGAACTCTTACTTGAAATATTTACAGGCCGTGTCGGGGCATTTAGCAACTCGGCCGTCAGGGCAAACGGGAAACCTTTCTACGGCTTGCACAGAATCCCTCGACGCACGTTTAACATACAGCAACGCAAAGTCTCACAACGAGCACACATTGGGTACTTTTAAAAGTAATCATTATTTTCAATAGAGAAAGTCTATCATATTTCTTTCATGAAGCCTCAAACTCAAACTGGTCAGCTCAAGGCAGGAGCTGAAGTGTGCTTGGGTTGTGTCTCAGTTTCAGCACAGAAATGTTACTATTTTTTATTTTACCAGGTAAGGCCCACTGAGCAATGTCGCTCTTTTTCAGAAGTGACCTTGCCCACATATGATAGCCAAATGAAGTGGCTTATCGCGTGCAAATTTATATCAGACAAAATACTCTCAACGCATGTTTCTAAATGTGGATGGAAAAACTGGAGGACCCAGAGAAAAATCCACACGGCCACAGGGAGAACATGCAAACTCCAAATATGAAGGCATCAGGGTCAGGATTGAACCCATGACCTCCTGCATATCAGGCGAGGTAGTTAACATCTCACCACATCTCGCCTGCCTTGTGTTCCTAAAAAAGCATAAATGAATGCTGAATTAAACCATCAGCCCAAGTCTGTTTAATCTACAAATCAAAACGATAATGGATTGCTATTAATCAGATGTTTTAAATTACAAACATTAAAAAGTTATGTTTTGGTAATGTGTTCATATTTTAAACATTTACATTTGAAAAAAAAACTGCTCACAATTAATATTCATCATTTTATTCCTATGTATTAATGTAAAAACATTTCCAAAATATTATAGATGTGTGTGTAATTATTTTCAGACGTTAAACTACACGACATTTAATATTCTGAACTATTTTCAATCATTTGCTTTATCAACGAATGAAAAAGAATATTAAAAATAATAAAAACCAGTATATGCCGACACAGACAGCTGCATCATACTGGCAATGTGGCATACAACCTGAATGATACGTAGCGTGGTGCACGGATAAATTACCTGCGAATGTGATGGTGGTGATTATGGTGATGGTGATGATGGTGATGTCGGTGATTGGAGTGGCGTTTCCTTCCCCGCCCTGTCTCCGTCTCTCTTTCCTAGGGGGCAGATGAATCACACAGATCATAACAGATCACCACACCACTCTCCTGCAGCCAATCCTCAACGATATCATCATCATCATCACCATAACAGCAAGCCAGACTGCGAGAGTGTCTCGCTGCTACATAGTGTACATGCGCCAGTGCGTCCATGCTAACGTGACCGGGTTTAGTTGCCCTGTTGACACACAAAAGTGGCTCTAGGTCAGGTCAGCAGGGGGGACTCCAAGCCATTCGGGGGCGATGAATGCCGTGCAGATTCCAACCGAGTGATTTGCGGGTAAGTTTTCAAATTGGTATCAAATTTTGACAATGACGCAACGTCTCACGAATTATATCGCGGGATATTCAACGTCCGCAGCGAAGCAGATGGCAACGTACGTTTTTTGTTTTGTTTACGGTTAATACACCGGCGGAGAAACAGCCAGGACGCGCGCGGCGAACTCACGACCGCTGGGCCGCGTCGCCACCCGTAACTCTCCCCAACTGCGCGTCTGGTTATTTCCTGCTGCGCACTCTCAACTGGGATCACACGCAGCAGCGGACACCCCCCTCCTGCGGTGAAAACGTGGCAGGACCCTCCTGAAAAAGGGTCTTGAGTCTCAGTGAGGCTTTCCTCGGTGAACGAGCGTAATTTAACACAGTTACTCGTGAGCGAGTGTGCACGCAACAACTCTGGAATGAGACTTCACTAGACGCCTCATGTGAACTCCACAATAAAACCACTCACGTGGAAGCATGAAGATGATGATTGTAGTGACAATGATGATGCCATTGATATATTTTGGAAAAGCTTACCATGTTAGTGGGGCTATTTCAGGAGGGTCCTATGGGACCCAGGCGAGGGAGATGTTATCTCCCTCGCAGGAGGTCGTGGGTTCGATCCCAACCCTGACGCCTGCTGTATATTTGGAGTTTGCGTGTCTCTCTCCCCGTGGTCGCGTGGATTTGTATCCGGGTCCTCCTGTTTTTCCCTCCACATTTAAAATGAACATCAAGCATTTAGAGTATTTGGCCGCGATAAATTTCTACGTGATAAGCCACTTCATTGACCTATTATCATTTGTGGCCAGGTCGCTTCTGAAACAAGAGCTATTTCGCTCGGTGGGCCTTACCTAGTAAAATAAAAAATAGTTACGTTTTTAGTTTAGTTTATGACGTGATTGGCAAATTAATGAGGGTTTAAATGTGGCAGAACAATGGAGCATTCAGAGAAACCCCACGCGTGCGAGGGGGAAACGCTCGCACGCGTGGGTTGGCCAAACCCTGGCTCGCCTTCTCCCAGCGAGCCAGGGTATGGGCACCTTCTCGACACCCACAGCAAGGGAGTTTTCACAACATTCACGCGGCGATCCACCAACCCTCGGTGCATCCAGTGCACTACATCGCAGGCGGGCACTACCGTGGCCTGCATACCACCAACGCGGCCTGCATGCCGCCACCACCACGGCTCGCATGGCACCACCGCGGCCCATGCGCCACCACAGCCTGTGTGTCACCGTGGCAACGAGAGTGCCGCTCGGTGACTGTGCAAGCACCTGGCCGGGCTCCACCGTGGTGCCATGGCTCCGTCCTCTCTCTGGGTCCGAGTCCTGGTTGTTCGCGGCTTTGCTGTGACCGCGCCCCCTGCGATGGTTGAGCCCGGCGCCGTCCGTGCCCTCACCATTTGTGGCAGCGGCGGTAGCGGCGACACCCGAGCACCGGGAGCCGCCCTGCTTCCGCTGTGGCGCTACGGAGAGCGAAAGTGCCCGCACGCAATGAGTACACAGTCAGGAGTACACGCACGGTGGGTACGCACTCAGGAGTACACGCACGGTGAGCACACACGTGCGCGCGCGCAATGAACGCACAGCAGCAACGTCGGCTGCTGTTCGCCGCCAAGTGCCGGTGATGTCACCACGGCGCTCGTGCCAGGATCGGTGCACTGAGGCCACGTGAAGTGTGGAAGGCTCGCTGGCAGGGGGTCACGGTGTAATTCCGTACAGTTTGCTTGTGGTAGCAGTTGCATTTTAAAATTAAAAGATGGTTAAACTGTGAACGTTCACGGCGCGAGAACAACCTGCAGTGGCGACCGTGCGAGTGGTCTGAATGCGATGAGTAAGAGACGCGAGCATGCGCAGAGTTAGAATGACTGACTGTGCATGCAGTCGTGTGACCAGTCAGCGAACACACGCGTGCGCACGTGTCGTGCACCTGCAGCGCTTCATTTAATCAGAGGATCGGGGGGACCCGGACGGGGGGGGGGGGGGGTCAGGGCTCCAGGCTGGGAGGCGGATTGCACACGTGAGATTCTTACCGCTCGATTCCTCCGAAATGTCACTTGGCTTCCAGCCCTCTCTCCCGTCTGGGTACGCACACTGTCAACAAACATCAACAGATTACTCCATGGGACATAAAAAACATATTTATATTTTACGGATTACATATAGACCTCCGATCATAGCACGGTTGGCTACGTACGGTGCGAAATAAGTTCAAAATACCGACATTGAATAACAAAAGCGCCACGTCGGAAACCAGAGCAACGTTGTTCAAATGCGTTCGAAATCGTGTCGGAAAGATGCGTCGTAAATCGATCCATGGCGGCGCTTGTATAATCGTAAATGTGCATCGTCCTAAATCGGAGACCGCCTGTGCTTTTTTTAAAAAATAGTTTTACGTATATTACAATGTTTCAACTGCTTATAATCCCTTGAGATGGAACATCTCATTTGCAAGGATGTGCAGGGTGTCAATTACACGCGCAACAAACACGTATTGACACGTATACAAACACTTAAAATCGATAACCTATACAGTTTGCATGTATATAATATATGGATGTTACAAAGCCATCCAGAGAAAACTGATGCTTTTTAGTTCCAAATCACATTCTTTGTGGAATTCATCATAAATTAAATACACCGATGTCACGGTATCAAAAAAAAAGGAATAATTTATTATGGCAGGTAAATTTAAAGTCACGTTCCCAATGCGTATTTAAAATAATAAGTATTAACCCTTTCCTGTTCCGGGACTTCTGCAAGTTTGCAGGGTGGGTGTTCCGTTCACCGCTGAATCTCGCAAGCGGTTAGCGTTAATTTTATTTCGAGGTGTAGCAGAGCCGTTGTTTTTCAAGACATTGTGCTCACACTCGATGTTAGCTGGCGCCAAACTGTGCCACACGAACTCCCGCATGGCCTTGTGGGAGCCTCGGTACCGATGAAATAATTTGATTTCAGTGTTTAAGAAGAAGAAGAAGAAGAAGAAAAAAAACTGACGACGTACCCATACGTCATGGAAACGAGGAAAGGGTTAACAGAATCAAAGACATTACGTTGATGGCAAGGTGGCGCAGTGGTAACACTTGTGCCTCACAGCAGAATGGGTCTGGATACAATTCCCAACTCGTGCGCCTTTCTGCGAAGACACTGTAACGCCTCGAGAGCCCTGCTTGTAAAAGACAGCAGCGGCAGGAGGCTCGAAAAGATTGTCTCTTCACAGCAGCAGCAACTCTGGCGCTGTCGCGCCCCGAGATGCGTGACGTGTTTGAAGACAGATACAAAGGACACAATCTTTGAAGTAGAAACGAATCAATACACTTTCCATTTTTAGACGGCATGGCTGCACACGGCGTGTTTACGCGTCACACACTCAGTGTGGGCAGAAGTCACGCACGGTCGCATTTACTCATCATTCCACAAGCAACCCACGTGCAACTGATACATTCTACATGAACGCCATTGATGTATTTATTTATTTGTTTGTCCAATGGGTTTGGCTGTTGGCGTGATATTGGTGGAAATTTGCACGTACTCTACAAGTTATAGATTTAAAACGTATACATGTCATTTACATGTCTTCTATGAATTTGTGTGCACATGTGTGTGTGTGTGTTGAGACAGTAGGGAGCACAGCTGGGTGCATCCGCCAGTCATCTCAGTCAGTCAACCAATGGCACCTGGGTCTGTCCCGTGACCTCCTGTCAGCGAGCCTTCGACAATTCCAGTGCACCTGGCCTGGCACAAGTGCCGTGGTGACGTCACCGCCAGTTTGTGGCAAAGAGGCTGTTCTATACGTGTGTGTGGGAAGCGGTAGTTCAGTGGTTAGCAGCACGCTGCACTACGAACCAGGTGACACGAGTTAATTTACAACTCACGGCCAACATCAGTGACAAATATCTGAACCCGTCCTGGGCCTCTTCTAGGTTCACTCGGCCTCAAATTAGTGCCTGGTGCTGTGTGGTAAACATCGCCACTGGGGGAGACAAAGGTGGCCGGGCGTGGTGCTGGCCACCCACCCCCTCGTGTGCCATGCCGGCCATCACAGGTGCTCACTAACAGCACTTGCCCCAATATTTTGTTAAGACTCTATACTGGGGGATCTTTGTGTCTGTGTATACGTGTAGGTCTCTGTGTGTGTGTACACGTGTCATTTCGTGTTTTCTCCTCACGTGTCACCTGACACCGCGGACTGTGATCACTGTTACGTTGCAATTATGGCTTTATTTTTTGGTGATTTCGAAGACGTTTTTTGGTTTGGACATGTTTGTTTTGTTGTAGTACGGAGTTAGACTGCTGGCCTAAATCTAAGTTTTCTTGTGGTTGTTGTTGTTGTTTGACTTGCATCCCACTAGGATTTTTTGCACACAGCGTTGGTTTACAGTGCTTTTTTCAGGAATATTTTGCTGGTTTTTTTCATGGATTTTTCTGTTTGCACAGTCACATAGTCACTTTAAGATGTTTTTCTTGTTCGTGTTTTTGTTTTTTTGTTTGTTGTGGTTGCACCCGATTCAAGAGCCGAATGGCTCACAGGGCTATACCAAAATAATTAAACTGAAAAATAAATAAATAAAACTGCAAACTGACTCCCTTGCAAACAAGATGTTCCATCTCAACGGAAGATAATTAATAATGGATATATAATTATATTCTTGTAAATTTTGACTTAAAACTTTCGTGACTGCAGGAATTCATATTCTTTGGTTCTTTCGGTAAAGTCACGTAGATAGAAAAAGAATAACAAAAAATAAAGCCAATAAAAAACACACTAATGTAGACTGTAGCCTGGTTTTTAATCAGAGTGAGTGTACTGGCAATCTATAATGTAGACTGTAGCCTGGTTATTAAGTTTGGTGAGTGTACTGGCAATCTATAATGTAGACTGTAGCCTGGTTATTAAGTTTGGTGAGTGTACTGGCAGTCTATAATGTAGACTGTAGCCTGGTTATTAAGGTTGGTGAGTGTACTGGTAGTCTATAATGTAGACGATAGCCTGCTTTTTAAGCTGGTGAGCATATTGGCAGTCTATAATGTAGACTGTAGCCTGGTTCTTAACCTCGGTGAGTGTACTGGCAGTCTATAATGTAGACTTATTATTGGTCCTTTCAGTAATATTTGGAGTTTGCATGTCTCTCTCCCTGTGTTCGCATGGACTTTCCTCAGGTTTTCCCCTCCACATTTAGAAACGTGAGTTTAGAGTATTTATCTGCGATACATTTCTACAAATTTCTACAGGCTGGTATAAATGTCCACATGACAAGCCACTTCGTTGGGCTATCGTTTGTGATGTCCAGGTCGCTTCTTAAAAATTGGCGACAACAACAGAGCTCAAGTGGGCCCTTACCCACTGGTACAAATGTGTTAAAATATTTTTTCGTAAAATGAACACCGATGGGCCGTACCTGGGCAGCAGGGCGCGGCGTGACGCTGAGCGGGCGGTCCAGGTGGCTGTGCGAGTCCGGCCCGATGTGGAGCGAGTAGGCCATCCGCCGCTGGGCCGCGGGGTCCAGCTCGCTGCAGCATCACGGGACAAACAAAAGAGCGCTCGGTCCCATTTTAGAGGTGGGGGGGGAGGGCATTTGAATGCTTCAAACTGCGAGTGAGATGACACAAAGTGTGCAGAGAGAGGCATGTAGGATGATGACACGACTGAGAGCAGACATTGTGTGAGGCTAGTAGAGGACTTGTAGATACGGGGTCGGAAATGGAAGGCGTGGAGATGTGCGAGATACAGACGAGGCATAAATGCATGACAGAAGCCATGCAGAGGGCATGAACAAGTGGGAATATGAGATAGATGTATCATGGCAATGGAGTGATAACAAAATTGTGATATAACACAAATATAGATATACTGTACAGCCACACATGCTTCCCCAACATATCAAGGGCCTCGGAGCTGCGTGGGGCCCTTAGTTATTGCTTCATAATTTTAACTCGTCACGCGTACGGTCTATTTTAAAGTGAGAGAACAATTCAGGTGTGTAAGGAACCAGACAAGTGGGAAGGTGGCAGCCAGGCGGTGGGCCGGCGCTACCAACAATTGCCACAGTTCTGCGGTCCCCCATTTATTAAGATGTTTTCAGCCAATTAATGAGTGTTTGTGCATGTGGGAGGAAACCGGAGCACTCAGAGAAACCCACGCATGTGAGAGAGGGGTAAAACACTATCCCTGTATAGATGGAAACAGATGGAGATGAGTCCACTTGTTGTACCACCATCTCCTGGCAAACTAGGGTACGGCACCTCCTCGACACCCGCGGAGAGGGGGTTTCACAACACTTGTGCGGAGATCCACCAATCCTCTCTGGCTCCAGCGTTGGACTAGAGGCCACGTGCGTAGCCACCGCCACTTATGCTTAGCGCTACCACTGCTACGTAAGTACGAACGTACATTGAGCTTCTTTGCATTTGTGTATGTATGTACATTTAACTTTCTTCGCACCACCGTACGTAGCCAACCGCGCTAATCAGAGGTGCGGGGGAAGGCCAGCAAACTAAGCACAAAAATAAATTATAAAGAAATAAGTTTTGAATCTAGATGATGATTTAAAAGTGCATAGCTCAAGCGGCTTCCTAATATCGGAAGAGCGTTTCAGACAGCCACAGAAGCGCATCTGTAAGCGCGCGATGCGGTGACCGTCTTTGTTCGACGGCCAGCCCAAAAGCCACCACTGCGAGAATGACCACCGGAGTTCGCGTGACGGTGGTTCATGCCCCTTGATGAGAGGAGCATGAACCACAAGACACCAACGGAACGCAACAACGGAGTAACCAACACATTTTAATTACGGCCATACGACCGGCCCCGCGTGTTGCATTGCGTCGTTGGGCAGCTTGACATTGGTGGCAGCAATGTGTGCATTTGAACGTCAAGCCAAAAGGGCTCCCAAGTTTTATTTCCAACGGTCCGGGATGATACCGGCGGAGTCGCGGTACTGACGGCAGGAGGACGGCGTTGCTCCGGAGTTTATCACCGTCATAGTCATCACGATCCATAGGGCTGTGAGCCCGTAGATGTCCACTGCACATTTCGTGATTTGTTTTCACTTTCCTCTGTCTTTTAGTGCCAAACTGCTCGCGGAGTGGCCACATCTTTCTGGCATCAATCTCTTGCGATGTCATCGTCAAGCCATTTCTCCGTCAGGTCTTCCTCTCTTTCCGGTTCCTTCCATTTTTCCATACAACAACACACTTTTAATGTCTCCTTCGTCAAAAGAGTGTCATTGTTACGGACCATCCTGAGTGCAATCATCCTTGACTACACAAGTGAGTAAGGTGCCGAGTAAGGAAATAGCCAGGGGAGGTGGTTAAGTGCTTGGAGTGGTAACGCTCGTAGATTCTCGATTATCTGCGCTGTCAGGGAGGACGGCCACGGATAACAAAAAATCGTGGATGACCCAAAAATATCCATTTCCCATGGATCTCTATGCCAAAAAATCACTACTACATTAAGTTTAGCTGAATAAAATATAGTTTGTTAATCATTGCTATTCTTTCTATGTATAACGAATACTAAAGATCAACTGATCTATGCTGCGTGCTCAGTGATAACACTTTCCAGCTCCAGCGCAGAAAAGACTGCCCACTAAGTGCAATATGTCGTAACGTTATTTAACTACTGTACTGTAGTGGGGATCACGTGGATTTGGGTTTAACCGGAGCAACATATTTGTTCAGTTTAAGCAAGGGACTTGTAATAACCATTACCAAGAATAACAATACACGCCTGTTTTTAGATGGTTATTTTGGGTATAAGGGAAAAATCCACGCTTTTTTAATTTACGTCAAAAATCGGGTACCCTGTTAATCCGCAAATCGGATACACCGCACGCGGATAAGCGAGAGTCTAATGTATTGGGGCATGGGCAATGGTGGAACTGGGTCGAAACGCCGTTGTGGGGAGTGAAGATTTGAACCCCAAATGCGTTCCAGTAGGAATCAAGGATTCATCATGTATTGTGTGTATTGTGGCGTGTGTATTGTTCTATGGCCTGTGTGTGTGTGTGTGCATGCGTATACGTTTAACATGTATTAAAATTTGTAATTTTATATTTTTCACAATTTCTAATTATTGTAAAAAAAAAATATTATTAAATCATTTATTTTGGTCCTGCCCTAACTTTCGGCAAACTTATAAGGTTTCCATACGCGAGTTTGAACTCTCCTGCGTTCTGACTGAACTTCCCTGGCCATGCCTCTGTATCAGCCAGCCAATAGAAGACCCAGACATTGGTTTATTCACTATAGTGTATATGCAGCAGTCCCTCGGTTAACAGTGACATCGGTTAACGTTTCGCCTCCCATAGGACCCCCCCCCCCCTATGGTTTTGAGTAACGTTAAAATTGTGATTAACGGCACGTTTATGTTATGCATGCCGTGGTGCCAATTTCGGCCAATCCCAGCGTTCGTAATTGGGACTGAGCCGTGCCGTTAGCCAATCAGCGAAGCCCATTTATAAGAGTTTAGACCTCGACTTGCTTTGTTTACATTGCATGTTCTATTCTTGTTTCTTTCGGTAAAGTCACGTAGAAGGGGAAACAATAAAATAATAAGAAATAAAAATATAAACAATAAAAGTGAGAATTTTATTGTTTTCTATTTTTCACAGTGTTTTATATTTTTATTTATTATTATTTGTTTCCCTTCTACGTGACTTTACCGAAAGAACCAAGAATATGAATCCCTGCAGTCACGAAAGCTTTAAATAAAAATTGCATTTTCTGTTTTGCAGCGTTGAAAAACAGCTCTCTTACAGACTCAGTGATTTTTACTTATTTTTTAACTTAAGTGAATTCGAATAACAGCTATTTCGGTGGATAGTAATTTTCATGGAACGTATACAAAAACGTTAAACGAGCACTACTATATACTCAATATCTACTTCTTTTTTGGTGTCATTTATTAAAAGGCCACGACAAAGGAATGACCTCTAAATGAGCGCTGCGTGGTCCTCATGGGCTCTGACACGGCCAGAGCAGTCGCCTGCCTTGTCCCCCATCGCAGAGGTTCATGGCTCGAATCCAGCGGCTGCCCTGGTTAATACCGCGGCGTCAATTAACTATGAAAACACCGCGCTTCCTCTGCTTCACAGTGGACGTCAGAGATTCCCGCGATGCCATTCGCAAGAGTCTGGCGTCCAAATTGGAAAATGACACCGCAAATTTTATCCCAACCAGAATGTTCATTGCAACCATCAGCCTTCTGTGAAGGCTCGGCATGGACCCCTCCTGAAAATTAATTATGGCACTCAGCGAGGCCTTCCTTGGTAAATGAGTGGCACAGTCCAGCGCCCCCTCGTCATTCGCGAGGGATACCTTCCCGGGGATGCGCGTGAATAGAACATTTTGTAGATAATGATGTTAGCCTACGAAAACCTAACTTTTTAATGAATTACATTTTATCTCTTCCCTTTCTCTCATCCCTTTATCTCTGATCACTTTATCTCTCATCACTTAATCTTATTACTTTATCTCTCTCGATGCAGCAGCCATACAGAGTTCCAGACGCGATTCGCGAACAAGCGCAACGCCGCAGTCGCACAAACAACGAGAGAACGCTGCGACGTCGATGGGGGGGGGGGACCTATTTTTACGCGGACACGAGGATCAGGGGCAGAGTTGAGACGCAAGCATAAGGAGCGGGCACCGCCGCAGCTGTAAGGCTTCCCGCACCTGTACTGTAAGGCTTTCTGCACCTGTACTGTAAGGCTTCCCGCACCTGTAAGGCTGCCTGCACCTGTAAGGCTTCCCGCACCTGTAAGGCTTCCCGCACCTGTACAGCTTTCCGCACCTGTACTGTACGACTGCCCGCACCTGTAAGGCTTCCCGCACCTGTACAGCTTTCCGCACCTGTACAGCTTTCCGCACCTGTAAGGCTTCCCGCACCTGTACAGCTTTCCGCACCTGTACTCTATGGCTTCCCGCACCTGTACAGCTTTCCGCACCTGTAAGGCTTCCCGCACCTGTACAGCTTTCCGCACCTGTACTCTCCGGCTTCCCGCACCTGTACAGCTTTCCGCACCTGTAAGGCTTCCCGCACCTGTACAGCTTTCCGCACCTGTACTCTACGGCTTCCCGCACCTGTAAGGCTTCCCGCACCTGTACAGCTTTCCGCACCTGTAAGGCTTCCCGCACCTGTAAGGCTTCCCGCACCTGTTAGGCTTCCCGCACCTGTAAGGCTTCCCGCACCTGTACGGCTTTCCGCACCTGTACTCTACGACTTCCCACACCTGTAAGGCTTCCCGCACCTGTACTGTAAGGCTTGCCGCACCTGTACTGTACGACTGCCCGCACCTGTAAGGCTTCCCGCACCTGTACAGCTGCTCGCAGCTGACCCTGAGGGCATCTGAGCTGGAGCGGCGCAGGCGGGTCGAGTGTTGCTCCCACACCGACAGAGGGCGGCTACGGACAATGGGAGGGAGGATGGGGGGGGGAGGACAGGGTTTAGAGTTTAGATTTATTTGTTAGCTGGATGATGGTCCCGTTCAGCCAGTTTACAGACGATTGTACAAGGGAGATAGTGGTGTGATGACCAGATGTGTATAGTAGATTAGGTTGGTCGTTTATGGGTTTGAGGGTAGTGGTCGTGTGTAATGTATTGGGTGTGCAGTGTAAGGGTGTAAATGTCAGGGTGTGGAGGTGAGTATGGCGGTGAATGAGCGTGGAGGTGAGTGTTTGAGTATACAAAATAAAACAAAGCCAGCACTTAGGGTGTGCCGGGTATGTATTGTGGCGTGTGTATTGTTCTATGGCCTGTGTGTGTGTGTGTATATATACATTGAACAGGAGAGCAATATCAATGGTGGTGGTGGCAGTGGCGGTGGTACGGTGATGACGTTACCTGCTGGGTGTGTTCACGGTAGACAAGGGGCTGATCTCTTCGGCGTCCTTTTTAATCGACAACATCTTCTTGTTCGTCGCTTCCTGCTCCTCCTCTTCATCCTGGTGAACGTCACCACGAGAGCGGGCGTCGACCGACGTCGTCGTGACACTGCTGCCACACTCGTGGCAGCTGTTGACTGCTAAATAACGGCGCTGGAGGTAATGAATCTCTGTCCGGGGTGGGCACTCTGGCAGCATTTAGCATCAATAACTGGTAACAGGAACCTAATAATAATGACGTCTGACCGAGTCATTTCACAATTGAATCAAACAAAAAAAGCAAACAGATCGGATCGAATTATCAGCCCGGCTGTGCAGAGGACCGGATTGTGTCCGATGAGCTTATTAAGCTGAAAGGGAGCAACAATGTCCGAGTTACTGTGTCAGCTGCTGTCAACATTATAAATACAACGTAATCATTGTTATTGTATAGGCAAAATACATATGGGAGCAAGAGCAGGCTGGAGTGCTTTGGGAAAGCTGATAATGAATACCAATGTAGCAACGTGGCCTCGAGTTTTCAATGAGTGCGTACTCCCTCTACTACGACGCATGCTTTGAGAAACACAGACATTGATGAAAAATACAGAACTGAAAAAAGTGTGCCAAGCATGGAGAGATGCACGCTTGGAGCCACACTGAAAGAGAAAGTGGCTCGTGGCATGGAGAACCTGTGCAGGATAAGCACAGATTTGAAATAGTTAAGAAAGGTGAGTGTGCTTGGAGTGGACACGTCATGTCTAGAAGGGACGGTGGACGATGGTCAAAGATACTAACGGAGTGGTGGCGAAGGAATGAAATGCGTCCGAGAGGGCACTTCCACCAGGGAGATGGAGCGATGACATCAGTTCACGTCCAGGCGTTAGGACGGATCGAAGCAGGTGGCGGTGCCTTGAGGAGGCCTTCATCCAGCAGTGGATTGAAATTGGCTGTTCATCAACAATTATAGCTTACTAGTGGCCCTGTGGCTGCACCTGCGGCAATGCAAGTTCGCTGCCTGATCCACGACTTTGATTGTATGCCTTTATTGCCTTATATTAAGAGAGAGGTTCACAATTGAAGCACTCCTCTATATGTGGAATTGTTTTTTTTTTAAGTTGCTGTATCTTCCAGAGTTGCGGGTTTATGTTTTTCTGGACATGTTTTAATTAGAGGTTGCTTATTTGGGCTTCATCTTTAGGCCCTGCCCCTTCCTGTTTAAGCCTCGACCCTTTACTCTTCAGGCCCTGCCCCAGACCTCGCCACTTCCTCATTACATCCTCTTCCTCATGGACAGCGGTGGCCACCTGGCGTCTCCCGAGCTGCATTCAGCTCTTTAATCCACCACATGTGGCTCTATCGAAGGGGCATAACGTAGAATGTACTATCACAGTTGCAAAATATCGTGAATGTCTCCCGTGCTGTGCCGAAAACTGTCAATATATATACACTTATATATACACACTTTGCTCTTTGCAGAACTCATGGTGTACTTTTTGGCTCGTGGTCTGTTACAGGTTGGCCAACCCTGCTCTAGGCCCCACCCCTTCCTGTTCGTGTCCTGCCCCTTCCTCTTTAGACCCCACTCCTCTCTCTCGGGCACAGGCTGGCCTTGTTCAAAGCTTGTTTTCTAAAGGCAGTGCTGCTTCCCCCCCCCCCCCCCACCCCCCCCAATCCGCGAGACGGCGAAATTCTGGGCAAAATCCAAATTGATTAGAGAGTGTTAGTGGGTGGCGGAGGGGGCTGTGGAAGGGGGGCGGGGGGGGGGGGCGAGTGTGCGTGCCCACAACAGTCGGTAGTGGTTGGGGGCGGCTTCACGATGACGATCACGACCAACATTCCTCTTAGAGTTATATGAAAGACTAGTCCATAGAATCCAAACGAAACAAATATTTATTTTTACCAGGTAAGGCCCACTGAGCTATACGAGCTATACAGCTGTTTTTCAGAAATGACCCGGCCACAAATGACAGCTCAACGAAGTAGCTTATCGTCACGTGGAAATTCACAGCGGCCAAATACTCTCACCGTCTGTGACCGCCAACACGACAATGGCCATTAAATTGCATCGGGTTTTTGGCTCACACGTGCAAGCCTTGGCGGGGGCGCTCACCTTGGTGAGCTCCTGGGCATTCGCGAGGTTGTCCACGGCAATGGCGAGGAACACGTTGAGCAGGGTGTCTGGCGAGCGATGCTGTCAAGGGGTCACTCACTGGACAGCAGCTCGTGCTGGCAATGCCCCTAGAGCAGTTCGGTCTGCTGCGTTGCACCGAATGTGCAGCGAGGCTTTGGGATATTGTCAAACTCTGCGTCTTTAGCAACTCCTAATAGATATTCATCCTCTCGAATCCCTCTTCTTGCCAAGTGGATCTCTGCTCCCCAATTGGTTCAAACTTCCTCTTATATGTATCTTCTCGGGATGGAGACTAACATTTACATTTGATCCCTGATATAACATCAGTGGGACATTTGCACCACACATACTGAGGAAACTGGACTAATAATAATAACAATGTAAGATCTGTTAGCAGCAGCAAAGTTCAGAGACACAGTTCCACACGTGTAAACCAAATGTTACAATCGAGATCATCTTGCATCAACTAACTCAACATGGCGTATCTAAGCAATAGCTCACGCCACAGGAGTCTAAATGTCCACTGCAAGAGTCCGTGGCATGAACTGAACCTGAACCGCTGATGCATTCCGAGCGTGCGATGCCCTTTAACACGACGAGGCTCATCGGAGCGCGTGCCCTAAACCCAGACGCACGAGTCCCCGCGCTCTCACACCCGGATTCGCCTTTCGTGCACCCAATTCCGTGGCTCGTGGTGAACCATGCTTTGATTTGGACGAGAGGATACAGTTCCCAAAGAGGGTGAGGACGATGAAGTAGCACGATGCCATCATTCCCTTCTTCACCCCGCCCTGGGACTTGATGCCATCGTACATCACGGCATTCCAGTCCTCCCCGGTTAGAATCTGGACGCACGCACGCTCGGTTATTACATGTGAAGGCATGCTCATCCGGTATGGCGACGCTCGTGCACCAGGGTTCTGTGACAGAATCTCGTTCGCTCATCCACTGGAATTTGTGAGAGATCCGGTCACGCTTTGTCTCGCCATGCAGCAAGCGCCAACCTGCTTTACAACCGCTGAACACAAACACATACACCGATATCAGACGAAATGTACGAATACCATACTGATGCACAGCATACCATCTGATTAAATGACGGATGTGCTGAATTTACAACGAATATACGAATCTTCAACCCTTTTCGGTAAAGAAGAGTTGACAGTTTAGGCGAAGAGGTTGCCAGCGTATGTTCATCAGACACAGAGGTGATCATAAGTAAAACGCACGTTGTCGACACGAGTGGTTGTACACCAAATATACTTTATGTTTAATGAAGTGATTGTGCAATCTCTGAATCCCACAGCTATTCATGTGCGGACGTCTAACGGTGAAAGGGTCCCATTACAGAAGCACGCATACAGTGACTCAACAGAACAGCAGCATACAAAAATCACTGAAAGCCAAAACAAAGCTACGTATTTTTTCCACTAAAATGAGCATTGGTGCTCAGCTCCCGTTTACAGCGCTGCCGAGTCAGTGGTGGAAATTTCACATTCCTATGGCAGGGGTGATTCTGTTCACAGGACAACCACTGTTGACATCCACACAAAAGTGGAAATTATTTAATTGACCCTGGAGAGATGATGGACTGCGTCAATCCCCAAGCAGGAGTGGAATTTGCAGCCTTGCGATTGCGAGCCGCGCGCTCGCTGTACCGACGAGCCACCTGGGCGGATACAAATCACCACAGAAGCACCGTTTCTCCCCGATGCAAATGCTGAATGTAGCCATCGGGAGAAAAAAAAATCGTCCGCAGGAACATACAGAGGGTACAGCAGCTGACCCTGTGGTGCCGCGGCATGCGGCGCTGTGCCCGTCGGTTCGTCACGTCAAATTAACGCGCGCACTTGCAGAGTCGCGCCGCGTTAACAACGACGCATCACTCCGAAGCATCTCGCCCGTTCGCCCGTGCCCCGAGCTGCCCCCGTCACATGCTGCATGGATCACCGTCACCACCGCGTGCCATTCTAAGCAGAGACACCCTTTTGGAGACCGTGACCTCCGCAGAGTTGAACTCGGGACTCTTCTCTGTTTGTTTACCGTTAGGTTTGTTCAAAGAGGAGAACCTCACCGAGTCTCAGGCTTATTATTCAGGATGGTTCTGCAAATGTTTGCAGTCAGGGGTGATGTGGCTGTGTGTAAACCCAAGTGAGTAACTTGCAGGTGATATTTTCGGCTTTCGGATGTTTGACAAATACCAGTTAAATTGTGGGTCCCTTCAGCTGTGGCATGAAACCAGAGAAGCCAGTGGAAAGCCACGCGGGACAAGGGGAGAGCATACAAACTTCACCCAGGAAGGTGCACAGGAGCCAGAAATCAAATACAGGGCCTCTTTCCTGTGGGGCACGAGTATCACCACTGAGCCACCGTTTCAGCGTAACTATTAGTTTATGTCTCAACTCCACGTAAGAGTAAATAGAGCTGACAGAATATTGAGGATTCAGCGACATTTAATTGCACTGTTAATGGCCAAAGCAGTAGGCCATAATGAGATGAGACAGGCGTCAGGATGTGCCCTGGAGATATTCACTGCTTACGAATATAGTTGTGAAAAACAGCGCACTATCAGAGTATTGCGAGCTCGGGGTAAGCATTTACATTATGAGACCTCCTTTGCCAGTAGCAAGATATAGTAATAGATTGTTACCCTTTAATCTGGCACCAAAACTGACACCTTATACAAGGGATCATGTTTGCAATAACCACAACACAAGCAGTCAAAATGCAAACAAAAAGAGACAACTCTGATAATGATATGCACTGTCCTTGAAATTTATTGGTCCACACCTGAGACGGCTTTTCTTAGAGCCTAGTCTCCACTGATGTTGGACCAAATGACACCAAAAGGCATACATCTCAAAAAAGGAGGTCTCATAATTTCTCATAATGTAAATGCTTACCCCGAGCTCTCAATACTCTGATAGTGTGCTGTTTTTGAGTTGTATGCCTTTTGGCGTCATCTGGTTCAACACCAGTGGAGACTAGGCTCTAAGAAAAGCCATCTCGGGTGTGGACCAATCAATTTCAAGGACAGTGCATATCATTATCAGAATTGTCTCCTTTTGTTTGCATGTTGACTGCTTGTGTTGTGGTTATTGCAAACATGATCCCTTGTATAAAGGTGTCAGTTTTGGTGCCATATAAAAGGGTAAAACCCTATTACTACTACACGATTCCTGTTGAGTTCCTTTGCAGTGCTGGTATTTTTCTAGGCCATGCACTGCAAATGACACTCAGAAAGCTGAGACCGGTCCACGGTTTTCCTGATTAAACAAAGGCCAGTGGGAAACACTGTTCCAGAAGGCTGACAAGACCGACTCACCTCGACATACAATTTTGGTGGCAAAACAGGGCCTTATTTTACGATTGATCGTTTTCCAGAACTAACCCAGAATGCACAAAACAAAGCTTGTAAACTCTATGGCACTGCTTTCTCATACAAAAATGAACGTAAAACATCAGAACGTTTCATTTTTTGAGTAGTTGCTTCTACGCAACATTTATGCAGCGGGTGCATTACACAGAGTCTGGCCTCGGCCATAACCCCATGGAATTTCCACAACCGGGTGAGGATTGCCAGCCCCAGGTGAGAGGCAGCCCACACTGGCTCGACCAGGGGGACACTTTGACATCTGCCGTTGACAGCACGAGGCGACAGTAGGGGCACTGGGTGTGAGAACACGGGGAGCACCACGATGAGCCCACTTTAGTTCTGAGCAACGCTCTTCCCACAACTTCGGTGCCCGATTCAGTTTTAAACCAGGTTTTCACATTTTTCATCTCGTCTTGCTATTGTCATTTTTTAAACGTACGGTCGTTTAATTTTACAGGCCAAATAATACTTCCAAAGAGAATCCGTGCAGCACAGAATAACACTGCGGTGCAACAGATTAAAGTATGTATGTTGCGAAGGAGGAAGAACAACAAAGGAAGAACAAACTAAACAGTGGTGAAATGATGCTACACAGCATAGTGCAGCTGACAAAATGTTCCGTGATCGAATCAAATTCAGTGTCACTAAATCTAACTTCGGGTGTGTATACTCCTGAACCTCTGAAACATGAGAACTGACCCACGACCCCCGGTGAAATAACGGGTGGGAATGCCCACGGGCTGCTTTGTTGCCAGGCATTTTAGTTGTGTAAAAAAAATTAATTGGTCGAAATTCAATTCCACATTCCTATGCCGGGTACCAGTCTATCACCGGACTACCACATTTGACTTCCCAATCGCTGGTTCTCATTTATTCACTATGTAAGACTAAATGAGTCAACACTTGACCGGGACTTTGACTTCTGATTGTGAGTCAACAGGGTCGCCTGGTTGATAACAGGGCCTCCACCTTTTCCATGGAACGTGTCTACTAGCCGTCCCTACCAGACACTTTCATTTTTCCATACATTTGTACCAAGTACCAATGCATGCCTGGAATGCCCTATGAGTTACGTAAACCAAAGGCAATAAAAATATAATAATGCCTGCGCTGAAAGACACACAAAGGCGCACTGGGAAATGTTGTGACCTTCAGCCATGTAGAATGGCTCACATTCAAATCTGTAAATAACCATCACGCCAGAAAACTCAATGCTGGCCAAAAGACAAATACAGGTAGTCCCCGACTTACGATGGTTCGACTTACGATATTTCGATTTTACGATGGCGATTAGCGATACGACAAAATTGTAAAATATTTAAAATTTCGCGCGGCAGGCAAACGCAGCAGCGTACGAGGTACATCGTTCAAGTATGCAGACGACGGACAGACTCTTGGTGAGTACAGTACAATATGATACATTATAATACGTTCAATGCGTGTATGATACGTAGCTTTAGCGATTTCATTTTATGGTTACCACGATACGATAAGTTCAATGCATGTTAAAAGTTTTTTTTTATAGCAGATAGGATTGTTTCCTGAAAAAACTTTCTATGAAATTGCAGTTCATATAGGTAGGCTAAGAATTTACCTTGTTTTTTTTACTTTATATTTTACTGTGCAATACAGTATTGTAATTAATAAATACATACAGTATATGGTTTATACAGTACGGTACTGTAAATTGCTGTTTTGCTAAATTATCACCATTCTTTAAGACTCCTGGGTAGGCTAGGCCATCTTCGACTTACGATATTTTTTACTTACGATGGGGTCGTCGTAACGCATCTCCATCGTAAGTAGAGGACTACCTGTAGTTGTAAAAGTACACAGGTGTGCAGCATCGCTGGTACAATAGCTGTCCTCAGCCTTATCCAGACCACCAGCTCAAAACAGCTTAATGTGTGTCCATTGTTTCATTAAAACTAAACTATAATCTAAAATATTGTTTTATTTTACCAGGTAATGCCCACTGAGCTATGTGGCTCTTTTTCAGAAGCGACTTGGCTATCACAAATGATAGCAGCTCAACGAAGTGACTTATCGCGTGGACATTTATAGCAGCCATGTTTCTAAAAGTGGAGGGAAAACCTGGAGGACTCGTAGAAAAATCGTTGCGACCACGAGGAAGGAAAGACACACAAACTCCAAATATACAGCAGGCGTCAGGGTCAGCATCGAACCCACGACCTTCTGTATACCAGGCGAGGTATTTCCCATCTCGCCACAATTAAGACCACCGACCCAAAGAGTTTATTTCCCCGCTGCTGCCTGTGTGGGATGGCAGATTATCTCAACTCTTTGCATTGGTGGTCTCAACAACAAAACGCCACTCGTTCAGTTATTCCGAGCTGGTGGTCTGGATAAGGCCGAGGACAGCTTTTGTGCAACGGAGCGCTGCATACCTCTGCACATTGGTGCCTACACGAGGGTCTCAAATTCGTGCAAGCGCAGCCCGTGGCTGCAGCCTTCGGCGAGTTGAGAAGCATGGCAGTGAAGCGGGGCCCCCCCTCCCTGGAGCTCTTGGTGCAGTGAGACAGTCTAGGCCCAGTGCCGGATTATCCTCATAGCAAAAGTAGCTACATATGCTATGGGCCCCGCACTTTCAAGGACCCCGCGCTAAATGCTTTCAAACTATCAATTCCGGTTCAGTGATTCTGCACTTGTTCTATTACTAGAGTACTATACCGCCTTCAACTTGTATGAATGACTGGGTGTTTAAGGTTAGTGATTTGTCATTATCTGGCTGTATAGCAAATGAAAAAATCCAATTACTTTATTTAGGGCCCCTATATAACATATGCTACAAGCCCCGCACTAGCTTAATCTGGCACTGTCTAGGTCACCTGCACGATGGCCCTCGACTCTCTCAGGCTCACGCGGGCGTTCAGAAGGCCCCATCTCGATTCCACACGGAAGAGAACGACGCTGCGTTTTAACCGCGTGCGTGCTGGCGGTCGCTTGTAAAGCAAGCGCAGATTTGCAGGGGCTGGGCTGTGTTAATGAGCATTTGCTCTCTCTCAAGCTTTCTCCACGGGACATTAAAAATTCAACTCCAGGAGATGGCCGCAGAGGCGCGTGGTCAACGCTCGAGCGGGGAAACGCTCAATGCCGAGAGTCATTTTTTACAGAACCTTCCTTTGCTCTTGAACAAATGCATAATGATAGAGAGACATGTGAACACCTGCAGCTGTGTGAACACCTCTCACCTGGAACACAGTGAGGATGGCTGCTGGGAAAGTATCAAAGTTGGTTGGGGGTGTGCCCTCTTCGAAATTGAACCTGCAGTATACACGCACACGTGCACACACACACACGCGCGTGCACAAACAGCACTGTCACTCTACTACTAAAAAGTAAAACTTATATTTTATTTTACCAGGTAAGGCCCCACTGAGGTACATAGCTCTTTTTCAGAAGCGACCTGTGGTTATCACAAATGATAGCTCAACCAAGTGGCTTATCATCATCACACAAAGAAAAACTCACACGCAGGGGAGAACATGCAAACTCCAAATATACAGCAGGCGTCAGGGTCGGAATCAAACCCATGATCTCCTGTATACCAGGCGAAGTCGTTAACATCTCGCCACCATGGCAGGGCGGTGACGCGGCCCAGCGGTAGCGTGCTCGCCCCTCGTTGCAGAGGTTCACTGTTAGAATCCAGCAGCTGCCCTGGTTATTACTGCAGTGTGTAACAACCACGATACTACCACGTGCCGTCTGCTTCGTCATTCGCAAGAGCAGACCGTCGTGTGCGGGCAGCAGGGTCCAAATTTGCAAAAAATTGGAAAATGACACTTCCAGTTACTCAATTCGGATTCTATACACACGCAGCAGCAGCAGCAATCGTCGCCAGCTATTGAGAAACGAATGCCACCTCAGGTCACTCGTGCCAATGAGACTGTTCTGGGTGTCATGGAGCTCTCACCGGCTTTAACAAACAAAAAACTTGAAACTCATATTGATGACGAGTCACATTCAGGCCATCCGTACTTGCACCATCACTTGCTCCCATGGCGAATGTGGATTGCAATTAAGCCGCGTTTAAATCGTAAGATACAAGCGCTCTCACAAGCGAACTGTAAAGCGTTACTTCGTTTTATATTATTCTAGTGACTGTGATTGTCACTGTGTGGTGCTGGGCTTGCGAGGCCACGGCGGATAATGTGTTGTCATTATGTGCAGCCCGGTTACTGGGCGTAGTACCAGCCCTAGTGGGCTTGGGTGAGCGCAGGTCAGCGCAGAGGCACCACGTACAGTGTGCGGTGTGGGCTCCCGGTGAGGGAGCGAGAGGGAGTGTCAGCCAGCCAGGGTTACGTTGGGGCATGATACGCTGGTTGACCTGCCGACACGTGACCAGATGATATTGGAGGGGGGCTACCGGTGGACGGGGGCCGCTGGGTGGTCACGTGGTATAGAGGAGCTCTCGGGAGCCTTCGGGAAAGAGCTCGAGAGATCTAGAAGGTGGGCGGGGCGAGAGGCGGAGCCAGCCCCAGCCCAGGCCGATATAACGGGGGCCCCGTGAGGGGCTCGGGGTTCTTCGTGTTGCTGGTGATGAAGATCCACGTCGGGTAAAAGAAGCCTCTAGCCACGTGGTCCGGGACCCAGCTTGTGGTCAAGGCCGGGAGAGCAAACCGTGTCTAGTTCTGCCGTAGCGTGGCTAGATGAGCATTCAACACCCAAGTGTAGGTTACGTTATGTTGGGTTGGGTTGATGTAATAAATAGTGTTGCTCCCAAGACAACGTCTGCGACTCAGTTGGACTCACTACATTATCATCTTCACGATGGAAATTCGTTGCAATTACAAGAATGCCAGGAGTGAGGAGCAAACCAGATGATCAAGACCCATTTTCAGTCGCGGTAATTGTAATATTATTACAACTACGCTTATCCATAGTCGAGGTTTTTGGGTATAGATAGCGTAAATATAAATGTGCCCTTAAACACGCAAACAAAACGTACCAATATGTAAATATAAAAACACATTTCATATTTGCGCAATCTAACCCAAAAACATCTATGATGGATAATCTTGGTCGTTATAGCCTACGAGCGCTTAAACTGACAACTACGCTTCTTCACCCACTCACTGAGTCTCCAGACTGTTTTTTGCAGGAGAATCCTAAGGTTTTTTTTTGCTTTTGGTAGAGAAGATTGCTATGCTTTCCACAATGAGGTATTTTGCAAGTAATACGTTGTTATATTTTTTTGTAAATCAAATTTGGACCATGATGTCGCCACACAATGGCCTACTCTTTGTGAATGACGTCACTTGGATCTTCAACGTCAGGTTCCAGAGGTCTCTGTTCGTAAGTCGATTTGTTTGTAAGTGGAGGGAGTCCCTGTAAAGTGAAGTAGAATGTGCGGTAGTATTTTATAAAGCTCAGCTTTATAGCTCACTTGCCCCAACAGTCAAATAAGCCTATGTGTGCGCCTGTCCTAATGAACGCTTGTGTGTGTGTGTGGGGGGGTTTATTTTCTGCGCCCGTGTGTGTGTGTGTTCGTACAGTCATGGGTGTAGAGGGCCATTCACGGCCAAGACGATTATCTGAACTGGTCCTGGGTCTCCCATAGGTCGACTCAGCCTCAAATAAGTACCTGGTGTGGCATGTAAACATCACGACTCAGGAGACAAAGGCAGTTGGCCGTGGTACTGGCCACCCACCCCCTTGTGTACTGTGTGGCCTTCGTAAGTGCTATACGCTTGCAGCACTTGCCCCAACAGTCTGTTAAGGTTACACGGGGAGATCTTTGTCTTTGTTCATGCGTGCACCGCTCACTGTCCGCCAAAGAGCTGCATGCCGAGCAGGGCGAAGACGACGATGAAGAGGAAGAGGAGAAAGAGGAGAGAGATGATCGACTTCATGGAGTTGAGCAGGGACACGACGAGGTTCCGCAGCGAGGCCCAGTACCTGCACAGTGCACGAGCAGCAGCAGTGGCAGCAGTATTGGCGGCAGCGGCAGCAGTGGCGGCAGAAGCAACAGCATCACAAGGGTGCGGGAGTCACTTGACATCATGAACCAACCACGCTAACCAGAGCGGCCAAGTATGGTCAAACGACTCCCGTTTATTGACAGGGGTGTGACGAGGCCTTCATCCAGGAGTGGATTAACAAAGGGTTATACGGTATTTCTGATTGTTCGTTCCACTTCTGTCTATCCCCTCTGCCTTGCATAAACTGGTTTAGTTTATGTTGACCGTGTGTACGTGTTTTGCTACGGGCCCGTGCATTGTCTCAATAAAAAAGAGAGAAGGATGTTAAACATTTCATGGGCAGACAAGAGATGAGTAACTTAATGGCCAACATGAATGTATTACGAACAGCAGCAGGAAATAAAATCAAATCAATGAGAGTGATTAGAGAGAGGCAGGGTTCGATTTCTTGGACATGGAATGAAACCGAATACTGCTTTGGCTGGGGAAATCAAAGGTACAAGAAGCTAGGGAAGAGGGTGAATTGAGTACGCAAGTAATTTTTATAATTTGATGACACTGGCTGGGGGAAGGGGGTATCCAATGCAATGTTCTTGAGTAAATACGTAGGCAGAGAAGAAGGCCATCATCACTGACGTTTTTGACAAAGGACGTGGCTCGCAGGGAGAGAGATATCTTTAGGTCAGTGTTCATATTTTCTACCATAACCTCGTGTGACCTGTACCCACTGTGCCTTGATCTTTCCCGGCAGAGGGGTGGTGGTCATCAACAAGTGATTGAAGTAATAGTTATGGTGGTACTCCTGCGTTTCTTCCCTTGGTTCCCCTGTGTGATCCTATTTTTCGTCAGCTGTGACTCAACTCGCTCTCATAGTTCATAATTCCATTTATTTGGTATAGCCCTGTGAGCCATTCGGCTCTTGAATCGGGTGCAACCGCAACAAACAAAAAACATGAACAAGAAAACATATTAAAGTGACTATGTGACTGTGCAAACAGAAAATCCAGGAAAAAAACATCAAAATATTCCTGAAATAGCACCATACACCAACGCTGTGTGCAAAAATCCCAGTGGGATGCAAGTCAAACAACAACAACAACCACAAGACAACTAAGATTAAGGCCATCAGTCTAACTCTGTACTACAATAAACAAAAACATGGCCAAACCAAAAAAACCGTTTTCGAAATCACCAAAATAAAGCCATAAATGCAATGTAACAGTGATCATAGGGGCTGTGACTGATTTTTTTAACAAACTACATAAATAACATGTAACACCAAATCCTAGAGCCACAGCTGGCTGCATGAGTCACTCCACAACAACAGGAGCATCAGTCGGAGTATCACATTTTTCAATGCACCTTTAAGATCAGCACACTACCGGCCTTCGTGCACGCACAACGACTTTCCGAGGGGGTGACGAGGTTCCAAAACGGCATCTGTTTATTTGTAAGTTATAGAGGGGCTTGTTTTGGACCGATTTTTTTTATTTAGTATAGATTTATACTTAAAATTTTGATCTTTATGGTATTATGATTATTGGGATAAAAACATCGAAATGGAATTTTTTGCACTTTTTGTACGCAGCATGGACGGGTTGTGCTTTTTCTGTAGGATTGCATTGTTTACGTATGTGATATTCTTGGTTTTTTCGGTAAAGTCACGTAGAAGGTAAACAATAAAATAATAAAAATATAAAACAATACAATTCTCATGACGTTTCGACTGCAACAGAAGCAATCATCAGGTGTGAAAACCACAGCAATAAAATGTTCTTGCTGTGGTTTGTGATAATTTAATTGTTTTATATTTTTATTATTTTATTGTTTCCCTTCTACGTGACTTTACCGAAAGAACCAAGAATATGAATTCCTGCAGTCACGAAAGCTTTAAATCAAAATTTACGTATGTGATGTTTAGATTTGTGTACAATGAATTTTAGGTGTATCTTGTAATTTTATTGTTTGTTGCGGTTGAACCCAAATCAAGAGCCGAATGGCTCACAGGGTAAATCCTATGCTCCCAACACACAAGTACGCAAACGGAACTGTAATATCAATGTGGTCACGATTGGCCCTCAATACAGGCCTCCCTCTCATCTTATCCAATGGTCACGTGACTCTGGCTTGAGTCACGTGCCTGCCTAACATACCGCCCATCTATCCTAAGCCAATCGTGACCCAGCAACATTCTCAAAGTTTAACACCCCTCTAATAACGTCCTCTCTAACACTGTAGTGCGAATATATGCACCATTCATGAGTAACACAATCACACTGGTTACATTTAGTAATTTTTGTTGTACCACACTCTTGGTTTCAGCGTAACCTTGTGCAGTGCTTTTGGATCACGCCACGACAGAGCCCGATACGAAATTAAGTTGAATTGAATTAATGGCACAACGGTGAATTCATCTGGGCTTGTCACTGAACGATTGGATGTGTCCGGCGCTTGGAATTTACCGTCACCACAACTCAAGCTTTGCCTATCGGCCGGAGCCCGCGGCTGTTTTGTGGCTCTGGGAGCGCCTCATGCCAAACTTCCTGTTATGTGTGAGGAAGGCCAAAATAAAACACCCAAACTGACATTCGGATGCCCTTCCAACAAACGGTCTGTGGTTTTTATTTAATCTTCTCCACTGCTTACTACGATGTGGGCAAATATAAATTGTAAAGTGTCACGCTTGGGCCCGAGAGGAATGGCCAAACACTAAAACACCTTGAACAGTTCTGTAAGGGCAACGTAATCCCCCAGGTCACGTGCAGGCGCTTTGTGGACGTGACAACTCCAAGCGACCGGATGTTTGAGTTGCGAATCATTTTGCAAATCTTCGTTCTGGGACCTTCTTTGCCAGTATCAAAGTATGAAAAAGAAGAATGGGTTTTTACTCTTTTTGGCAATAAAACAGGAGGTGTTAAGATGTTCAAACACCAAATAGATTCCTTTTGCAAGGTATCAAATCTGCATTAACCACACCTACTTGTGGTGAACATGCAAACAAACATGCTCTGATACGTAATATATGCCTTAAATTTTGATTTAAAGCTTTTGTGACTACAGGGATTCATATTCTTGGTTATTTCGGTAAAGTCACGTAGAAGGGAAACAATTAAATAATAAAAATATAAAACAATAAAATTTTCACGACGTTTTGACTGCAACACAAGCAATCATCATCAGGTATGAGAACCACAGCAAGAAAATTTGAAAAAAGTGGTTGATAAACCATTTCGGGTCTTAATTGATTGTTCACGTTTACGGTGGCTTTCAGACCGCATTCCATTCTCTTCGTCTCCCCCCTCCTCTTTTCCGAACATAGATGGACTCGTCTTTCTGAATAACTGCCAAATCGCTCTCCGTGGTGCTAACGTTAAGGAAAAAACCGCCATTTTTTTCAAATTTTCTTGCTGTGTTTTTTTCATACCTGATGATTGCTTGTGTTGCAGTCAAAACATTGTTATAATTTTATTGTTTTATATTTTTATTATATTGTTTCCCTTCTACGTGACTTTATCGAAAGAACCAAGAATATAATATATACCTTGTCTTTGAAATTGATTGGCCTGTTAGACCAGAGAATGCCAAAAGGCGAACAGCACAAAGACAATGCAAGTATCACATATTAATAGCTCGGGGTGAGCAACTATACAATGTCTCTGGTGTAGACCAATCAGTTTCAAAGACTATGCCCATATATTATGAGAGCATGCTTGTTTGCATGTTCACCACAAGTACGTGTGCTTAATGCAAATTTGATTCCTTACAAAATGTATTGATTTGGTGTTTGAACATCATAAGACCTGTTTTATTGCCAGAAAGGGTAAAACCTATTCTTATGTTTCATAAGTCTTCGTCCGTTTCAAAATCGCCCTGCTCCGACATTCATGTCACAATGCTCTTCATAGTGACGAGGCTTCTGGAAACCGTTCAATGGTTCTGTTGTCTGCTTTCACCTTCCAGATGTGCAGTGCGTCACGGCGTGCCGGGCGGTACTGGCTGTTGCCACGGTGGCGACGTTGTGGACTCGATCCCGACCCCTGATGCCTGTATATTTGGAGTTTTCGTGTTCTCCCCGTGGTCGCATGGATGTCTCTCCTGGTCCTCCGGTTTTTCCGTCCACATTTAGAATGAACATGCTTAAAGAGTATTTGGCTGGTGCAAATTTCCACACGATAAGTCACTTCGTATAATTTGTGGCCAGATTGCTTCTGAAAAAAAGCTATATGGCTCAGTGGGCCTTACCTAGTAAAATAGAAATAGTAATAGAACACCGACGTACATATGTATTTATTTAATTACTTATATTTGCCCCGTGTATCTGGCACCCTGTGAAAGTCATGCGTAAAAGTGATCACAAAAAGAAAACCTTCCACATCCAGCTCGATACTCCCACCCCAGCACTGCTTTTTGGCTGAATTCCCTCCTCCCCGTTCGGAGAATCCCCAGGCCGTTACCAATGGAGGAGGGTTGAGAGGAAGATTCTCCCTCGGGAACTGTGGCGCTAGGATTATAACCTTTCTGCTTCGACACAATTATTTGAGTTTAGTCAATCAATCAAACGTCATTTAGTAGGGCGTCCCTTCGTGATAAAATTGTGATGGAGCGCTTCACGGATGGGCACATTAGAAGTAACAACATAAATAACCATACAATTCACCTCCTTCCCATATCTTTCTTGACGCGTAACAAATTTAAGCACTCGTTTCACGTCCCATTGGCCATGCGGCGTTCCGGGAGCGATCCCTGTTTTTTTTTTAGCAATGTTGGGTGTTTTGTGAAAGCAAACTCTGGATGTTCGGTGTCTCATCAGCAGAGTGAGGCCCCCCGCTTGAACCACTGATGGTGAACTCAAAGACGTTTATGGCCAAGGACCCCTCTCTGTTTGATGAGGGCCCGAGTTCGACGCAAAACTAGACAAAACGTACCACGGAATAATCATGTTGATGAGCTTCGTGTTCTATCGAGGTCAGTTGTGTGGACGATTGATCCACCAGGGCAAAGCATCTGCTCTGTTCTTGAACCATGTGGTCCCAATCAGGAACTGGCAGTGCTGTTCCTCTCGGCCTGTCACTCATGAGCAGCGATGCCCTGCTGCGGCCGCGGGTGTCTGCTCGTGTTCGTGTCTGCTGCGGCCGTGCGTGTCTGCTCGTGTTTATGCGTGGGATAGGAGTGCGCGGTCGGCACACAAAGAAGGCGACGACGACGAAGATGGTGCCACAAACAAGCGAGCGCAGGGCTGTGGAGTGCAAATGGCAAGAGTGCAGCGGTGCGAGGTACGCACTTGGTGACCTTGAATATGCGCAGGAGACGCAGGGCGCGCAGCACGCTGATCCCGAACGCCGATCCCGGGCGCAACCACGACACCGCCATCTCCACCATGCTCCCCACAATCACCTGGGCACACATAGCATCCCCCCCGTGTAGCCTTGAACAGACTCTCGGGGCAAAGTGCCGTTCGCGAGCAGCAATTACGAAGGCCGGCACGGCACACGAGTGGGTGGGTGGCCAGCACCATGCCGATACATCTATGCCTCTCCAAATGCTGATGTTTACACACAGTACCAGGTGCTCAATTAAATCTGAGTGGACCTAGGTGAGGCTGACGACCAGTTGAGATATTCGTTACCGATGTTGGCTGTGAGCAGGAATTGAACTCGGGTCGCACAGTGCGCTTACCACTACACTACCGTTCCCGACCCGGGCGCGCACACACACACACAGCACACACACAGCCACCTCCACCATGATCCCCACAATCGCCTGGGGACACACAGCATCCCAATGCGCACAGCGACCGTCACGGGAAATGGCCATTCGCAGGCAATTATGAAGGCCCGTGAGCTTTGAAAATTCAGCAACAGCAGCAGTTATTCATTCAACCTCACCTGAAGTTGCCGCGTGTAGCTTTCACGATTGATGTTGGTCTTTTACGCAGCAATTCACGGCGCGATATGGACGTATTGGCGGTACACCAGTGCAGCATAACAGTACACCGGTCCTCATTAAATGGTCCAATGATGTCGCTGTTGCCCCTTGAGTGAGCTGCAGACTCTCTTATCAGAATTTGCACTTAGGATTCAGCAGCTGCTTTCCCATTCGAACGTATAGTGGTAACACCGTGAGTCGTAATCTTTTGATGGCACCGTCCGCCAAAAAATTATTCCGGAAATGAATCGAGGAACCGCCCGACCAAGTCGCTAGGGGACACGAGGAGTTAAGCACGCAGCCAGCCAATCGTCATCAGGCTGGGTGCTGCTATACGGCAACAGACTGTGAAGCTTCGTGTTCAGCCGCTCATTTAAACATGCGTCTTCCCACCGCTTCGACATCACGAGAATTCTGATGTTGACGCACCACCACCACCACCACCACCGCCGCAAGATTTTCTGACCGGCGTTGCGAATCGCAGTAAAATAAATTATTAATGCTGAAAATGTGCATTTTCTTTTTCAATACCGCACACCACCGGTGTACCGCCAATGCGTTCACATGCAAGAAGAAGAATTTAATCTGGCATGACGCACAATGGCGTGGCGAGTCCACATTGGCCTGAATATAACTTAACCCACAGGGCAGCAGAGGCGGAGCGGGGCTCTGCGTTTGAAATCTGGCAAAGGTAACACCGCAAGAAAGGCAACGGGTCGCAAAGCACGACAGACAGACGATCCCCGCAGCTGCTACTGCATGGAGCGACAATGCCTGGCAGCTCCCACACCGTACTGTGCAGTTGATGATGTATGTGTGTGTGTCTTTATGCGTGTATGTATGTGTGTATGGGTGACGTCACCGTCACTTAGCGGCGAATGGCGGGTATTGGTATGTATGGGGAGCGGTGGTGCAGCGGTTAGCGCGCTGCGCTACGATCCAGGGGACCCGAGTTCGATTCCTGCTCACGGCCAACACCAGTGACGATTATCTGGACCGGTACCTGGGCCATCCCCTAGGTCGACTCGGCCTCAAATGGATACCTGGTGCGATGTGTAAGCATCGCCGCTAGGGAAACAAAGGTGGCCGGGTGTGGTGTTGGTTACCCATGCCCTCGTGTGCCATGCTGGCCTTCATAGGTGCTCGCTAACAGCACTTCCCACAAAAGTCTGTTAAGGCCACATGGGAAATCTTTGTCTTTTTTGTATGTATGTATGTATATACTTCTTTTGCGCCGTACGTAGCCAAAACCGCAGTCATCGAAAATGCCTTTGTCTCCAAATTCGCAAATGACTTAATTGGAGTTACAAATAACAATCATCGCCACCCCCCAACCCCTCCTGGCAGACTAACACCCCAGGTCACTCTTACGAATGAAACTATCCTGGTCATGAGTTATCCCCTGGTTGTGCGAGATATACTTGAGCTTGAAGCTCCCCAGTGCTGATGTTTTCACACCGCAGGAGTAAGATGTATGTTGAAGTTCTTTCACACCGTACATAGCCAACCGTGCTAATCGGAGGTGCGGGAAAATCGAGTCAACCGCGGGGAGGGTTCGAACTCGAGTAGCCGGGTTCAGAGCGTAGTGCGCGAACCACCAGTCCACAACTCCCCACACACTTTGCACACACAAACGCACGCACACACACACGTACGTGCCCACACACGCGCAAGCACACGCGCGCGTGCACGCGGAGGCCACGTGCTTCGACTCACTCCAAAGTCGAAGCAGTTGAAGGCCGAGTGGAAGTAAGGGCGGGGGCCCAGCCCATAGATCTTGAGCATCACCTCCAGGAGAAAGAGCGCCAGGAACACAAACTCCGCGTAGTCTGCACAGAGGGACACGCGAGAGCACGGCACGACGGCAGCCGCGTGAAAGGGGCGGCTGCCGAGGCACAGCGGCAGCATCGAGCGCGGCCGAGCGCCCCCAAGGCCACGCCGATGGCTGTTGAGATGTCAAGTGCTCATGTGCAGGGCTGAGACTGACGACATTGCAGGGGGAGCACAAGATGCACGGACACAGCACTTTCGTCAGTCAACATCAAGGCAAATTCCTGCTCAAATGAGCATTGAGGCGGTGATGGTGTGTACGTTGAGCTTCTTTCGCACCGTACGTAGCCAAACGCACGAATGGGATTTTTTTTCTCTTGCTTAATGTCTCTGAGCCAGTGCTGGAAATTCATCGTTGCCACAGGTGGGACGAGTCTATTCATTGGACAAAGTGGGGACGCTCTTCCTTCCAATATTAGGAAGCCACTGGAGCTATGCACTTTTAAATAATCTAAATTGAAAATCCATTTCTTTAGAATTGCTTTTTGTGGGTAGTTTGTTGTCCTACCCATGCACCTCTGATTAGCATGGTTGGCTACATACGGTGTGAAAGAAGTTCAACAAACATACGTACAAAGTGGTACTCATTTTATTGTCAACCCCCAACCAAGATTCGTACTCACATCCTTCTGACGGCGAGCCACTCGCTCTCCTGCTAACCACTTGGCCGGCCAGGGCACTCGGTTGATTGACAGGCGATGCATGCTCACTCACACGCAATGACTGAATTCTGGCCAATGCATCATCCACCCTAGGGCACTATGAGTTGTAAGTGGCACGTTGTGAGCAGGAGGGTAACTTAAAAAAAAAAACCTGTCTAATTTCCCAAAGGAACAATGTCAATCCCTACAAACGGATTCAGTCGCAGCAAGAAGTGGTTGTTGACATCTTCACAATTACATTTAACATCCAGACTAGGGCTCGACTGGGACAAGGGGCGACGCTGATAGAGAAGATCCGAGAGAGACGATTCCTGCCGTGTGGACACAGCGTGTAGAAGAGACCCGGAGACAATACCTGGCGCACGCACGCGGAATGGGTGAGCAACTAGATCATTAGACCTCCTTTGCCAGTACCAAAATGTAATAATAGGGTTTTTCCCCTTTTTTCTGGCAACAAAACTGAAACCTTTTTACAAGGATTCATCTCTGCATTAACCACAATACCTGCAGTCAAAATGCAAACCAAAAACATACTATGATAATATATGCATTGTCCTAGAAACTGATTGGTCCACACCAAGGGACGGCTTTCCTTTTGAGCCTCGAACCAATTGGTGCTCGACCAGATGACGCCAAAAGGCGCACAGCTCAAAGACAAAAAGGTTTCAGTTTTGTTGCCAGAAAAAAGGGGAAAAATCCTATTATTACATTTTGGTAGTGGCAAAGGAAGTCTAAAGATGCAGATGCTCACCCTGAGCCCTCATTACTTTGATAGTGCATTGTCTTTGAGCTGTGTGACGCCTTTTGGCGTCATCTGGTCGAGCACCAATTGGGTCGAAGCTCAAAAGAAAGCCATCCCTTGGTGTGGACCAATCAGTTTCAAGGACAATGCATATATTATCATAGTATGTTTTTGGTTTGCATTTTGACTGCAGGTATCGTGGTTAATGCAGACATGAATCCTTGTAAAAAGGTTTCAGTTTTGTTGCCAGAAAAAAGGGGAAAAACTCTATTATTATATTGGATAATAACTATTTTTATTTTACCAGGTAACGGTCCCACTGAGCTAGGTAGCTCTATTTCAGAAGTGACCTGGCCATAAATGATAGCTCAACGAAGTGGCTTATCACGTGGAGATTTAAAGTAGTCAAATACTCTAAATGCGTGATGTTCATTCTAAATGTGGAGGGAAAAACCGGAGGACCCAGAGGAGAACATGCAAACTCAAAATATACAGCAGGCATGAGGGTCAGGATCAAACCCACGACCTCTTGTATATCAGGCGAGGTAGTTAACATCTCGCCACCGTGGCTGCAGGAACTCTACCTACCCACCACTGTGCAACACACTGAGCACCGCACCATGCCAGCGGCACATTAGTCTCTTAAACACAGTCACCCCTTCTCATGTCAGCAATCCCATTTTCACGTGATTGTCAACGTCATCAGCACAATCGTTTTCACCATCACGTTACATCTCTGTAACTCAGTGGCAACGTGATGACACTTTAATCTCTGTACGCTCAGGTGGCCTTGTGTGACAAGTACATGTTTTTGGACAGTTCACACCTATGATCCGATATTGCACGTCAAAAAGCGTGTGAGCAAATGTAATTGACGTCTCTAGACAAGGACAAAGAACACCCGTATAGACTCATCAGGCTGTTGGGGGCAAGTGCTGTTAGCGAGCACCTATGAAGGCCGCCTTTGTCTCCCCAGTGGCAATGTTTACACACAGCACCAGGTACTCATTTGAGGCTGAGTCGGCCTAGGGGAGGCCCAGGGCCGGTTCAGATAATCGTCACCGGTGTTGGCCGTGACCGGGAATCGAACTAGGGCAGCCAGGTTCGTACCTCAGCGCGCTAACCGCTACACTCTCACTCCCCATTTGTGTTCGGTCCGAATAAAACTTCAACTCTTAGGTCAGCTGATTACAGCTGGATTCTTTGAAGAATAAAGCGATTCACTTGAACGGACAAGGTCTGTTGTGCAGTAGCAAACCATTGCCCTGTTGTATTTCCTACAGGCCAGGGTTGTGCAATCCCTCGGATGGAGAAGGATTTCTCTAACTTTTGAAGACGTTGTAGCGTCATCAATTCCACATGGTTGTGGAGGGTGTCAGAAGAAACGGAATGCGGTGCGATTTGTGATTTTCACGAGATAGCACGATGGGTGGGAGCTGTGTTAATCTGCGTGTCACACATCATCTTATTTTTTGAATAAACAATTTCCTTTATTTATGCTTTCAAGTTATATTCCTACAGATGAAGAACATCCACAATAGAGGTTTTTAGGGTAGATCGCGTAAATATAAACCCGCCACCACCCGACACAGCCAATTAGTAACGTTTGTCACATAAACAAAACAAGCCAATTCACTACCAGTACAGCACACCATTGTGCTGGTGAGTATAATGTTATCCTAACATTATTTTAGTAACTAATATGTGCGTGTATGTGCGTGCATTTGTTTTTCTGTGTGCGTATGTTTGTCAGTCAACCCGTGGCACCTGGGTCTGTCCCGTGACGTGGCAGCGAGCATTCGAAAACTTCACGTGCACCTAGCTGGGCACAAGCGTCATGGTGACTTCCCCAAACGGCAGTAGTTGTTGTTGTGTATGTTTGTATACGCGTCAGTTGACCACCCTGGACACCTGATCCATGTGAGCTTATTATAATAATATTTAATGTAGTTATTCATATGTTTAAATAGACGAGCCTGTACCAGGCCCCATTGCAGTTCCTCTCAGATGGGAGGGAGAGCTGTTGTGTGTAATGTACGTTGAACTTCTTTCGCACCGTACCTAGCCAACCGTGCTAAACACAAAAAGCAGTTGTAAATAAATGAGTTGTGATTATAAATTATTTCAAAGCGCATAACTCCAGTGGTTTCCTAATATCGGAAGAGCGTTCCAGACGGCCGCAGAAGCGCATCTGAAAGCGCGCGATGCGGTGACCCATCTTTGTTCGACGAATAGTCAAAAGGCGCTGCGAGGATGACCGGAGTTCGCATGACGGTTTATTGCTCCTTGACGGCCTCCGCAAGGTATTGTGTGCAATGGGTGCAACCTTATAAAGTATTAGTTCAACAACCGCACGCCAATGCGGCTCGGCGAGCACTGCACTGCCACGGGTGGGTGCGCGCGTGTGTGTGTGTGTATGTGTGGGAGTGGCCGCCACCACCACAGCGATTCACCGCTGAAGACCGTCAACATGGGTGGCCCACATTTGGTGGCGCAGGTTGCAGTCATTACCTTATCGGACTTTAATTTACACAGATAATAATCGCACAGTCAAATGGTGTGATGAGATGAGTTGATGAGAAGGATGCGATTGCGCGATGAATATGATGATGCGTGAAATAACCGATGATGAAAGTGACAATGAGTGGTTGACGACGAGCGAATGAGATGACGGATGGGTAGGGAGGTTGGGAAGAGGGATGGAGGTAGCCATTGGGAGGGGGGGGGAAGGGGAGTTGGGGTAAGTGAGGGGACAATCAGCGAGTGAGTTCTACGGGGAGAATGAAACACAGTGAGGGAGGCCGATGGGTTGACGTATAGGGGGCAGCCTGTTCCAGTGCAAAGGGTGCCAAAAGCGAGAGAGAAGGGAATGGTGATTGGGCACGCGGGAGGAGGGGGAACAGACGGAGACGGCAGCTGGGATCATGAACGGAGAGGGCGAGAAGGAGCGAGACGATACTTGGAGGGGGAGGGGCGAACCGGGGACGAGCCAATCGGAGAAGGCAACGAGACGGCAGAAGTGCCGGCGTGCGCGCGTGCGAGCGCTCACGCAGGAAGACGGAGAGCTCCTCGGGCTGGTCGTGGTGCACGATGGCGACGCACAGCGTGTTGAGGCCCACCATGAAGAGCACGCCCCAGTAGAAGGCCTGCGACTTGACCATGCGCCGGATGGAGAAGCGGAGGTGCTTCTCCTTGCGGCGGAAGTAGGTGGCGCCGCCGTTGTGGCGTCCGCTGCGCTGGCTGCCGTGCGCAAACGGAGAGTCTGCTCGTGCGCAGCATGCACAGCACGCAGCACGCACAGCACGCAGCACGCACAGCACGCAGGGGAGGGAGGGAGCAGCCCCGTGTTGGCGGTGGGGGTGGCACTGGAGAGGGGCGGCGAGCCCCCCACTCCACTGGCGACTAAAAACAAAAAAAAATCGTTTCACCAGGTAAGGCCCGCTGGGCGATGCTACGTTGCTTTTTTCAGAAGCGACCTGGCCACGAATGATAGCTCAACCAAGCGTGGCTTCTCATCATGCGGACATTTATAGCGACGGAATGCTCTAAACGAATGTTGATTATAAATGTGGGGGGGGGGGGGAAACCGGAGGACCCGGAGAAAAATCCACGCGACCATGGGGAGAGAGACACGCAAACTCCAAACACACAGCAGACGTCAGGGTCTCTAAACCTGAATTTGCGAATAAGGGGGTAAATTGAAGTCAACTCGCTCGCCTCGATCCTCCCCACCCTTCCCCCCACGCATGCGACCGAGTGGCCGGAATGGCGCTGGAGCCACGGTCCTCGAGCACCGGGTCCGGCTGGCTCTTGACCGGAGATCGCCGCCACTGCCCCCGCCTGGTCTGGGGCCATCGGCAGGGGGTCGGCACGAGCGTCGAGAGATGGGGGCGGGCGGTGCGCTCACCCACGGACGAGTTGTCGCTGAAGTAGCCGTCTCCCTCCTCCGCGTTGATGAGGTCGTTACGGCTCCGCTTCACCGTGGCCCTGCGGAGCACTGCTCAGACAACATCACCAACATCATCATCACCAACATCATCATCACCGGCATCACTAACATTATCATCACCGGCATCACCAACATCACCAACATCATCATCGCCGGCATCACCAACATCATCATCACCGGCATCACCAACATCATCATCACTGGCATCACCAACATCACCGGCATCACCAACATCACCAACATCATCATCATCATCATCACCGGCATCACCAACATCATCATCACCGGTATCACCAACATCATCACCGGCATCACCATCATCATCATCATCACCGGCATCACCAACATCATCATTACCGATATCATCAACATCATTATCATCACTGGCATCACCAACATCATCATCATCATCACCGGCATCACCAACATCATCATTACCGATATCATCAACATCATCATCACTGATATCACCAACATCATCATCATCATCACCAGCATCACCAACATCATCATCACCGGTATCACCAACATCATCATCACCAGCCTCAATAAAATCTTCACAGAGCTTTGCTTAAAACAAAATTAATCAACGAAACTTTGCATTGAAAACCTGGAGAAAATTTATCTCAATTCTACGTTCATACAATAAAATAAACCCACAACAAAAATCATATATTAAAACAACAAACTATAAAAACACGTCTGGATTAAGTTGCCGAAAAATAATAACACCTCGATCTACACCATCATTATCACCAACATCATCGCTATTCTAATCGCCATCACCATCATCAACACCATCATTACCACCATCATTCCCATAACCATCATTAACAAAGACAAAGATCCGCCGTGTAGCCTGTAACAGACTGTAGGAGCAAGTGCTGTTAGCGAGCACCTATGAAGGCTGGCACGGCAAATGAAGGGGCGGGTGGCCAGCATCACGCCCGGCCGCCTTTGTCTCCCCAGTGGCGATGTTTACTACACACCGCACCAGGTACACGTTTGAGGCTGAGTCGACCTAGGGGAGGCCCAGGACCGGTTCAGATAATCGCCACTGGTGTTGGCCGTGAGCGAGAATTGAACTCGGGTCGCCGGGTTCGTAGTGCAGTGCGGTAACCGCGACCAGTACCATCATTAACACGGCCAATGTCACCATCATTCACACCACCATCACCACCATCGTGATGTTTTGGTAGATAGGGCTTGCCCTGCTTCCCCTCGTGCTAAACACATTGAGCTGCTTCTTCTTTGGTTCTTTCGGTAAAGTTACGTAGAATGAGAATAAAATAATAAATTGATAAAATAAAATAACACAATAATATTCTCACGACGTTTCGGCCACAACACAAGCGGCCTTCATCAGGTGAAGGGACGAGACTGTCTGGTAGGACAGCGCTGGAGTGAAAAAGCCACGCTCAGATCACAACCTTTAAGCTGTGTGAGAAGAAACAAAGCGCCTTGACAAAGGAATTAGCATATAATTTAGCATTGAAATGGCTGAGTGATTAGCTTGTGACTGGTCACAGAAATGGCTATGTTAAAGTTAAAGCATACACATCTGCAGAGGCACCCCTTGACAAAGGAATTAGCATAGAATTTAGCAATGAAATAGCTTCTCATTCTACGTGACTTTACCGAAAGAACCAAAGAAGATGAATCCTTGCAGTCACGAAAGCTTTAAATCGAAATTTAACCGCCTCTACGGGGAGGGATTCCACACAACCTTAAGATCATTCAACAGACTCCGGGATAAGAAGGCTCAACTAATCGAGTCTCTCACCTTTCGGAAGAGATGCCGCGACTCTAAGGTAATACCAACCGCATTTACACTACCCTCTGCTGTTGCAACTTCTCTCAATGCAAAACGAATTCTAGCTAGAACTAGCTTCGCTCTTATCTCGGAAAAAATCAGACTTACACGCACCGAACTCGATCAGTATTTCAATGCTAAATTCTCCTGTTTGATTTGTACTAGGTGCCTCGGTGAATGTGTATGCTCTGACTTTAACGTAGCTATTTCTGTGACCAGTTACAAGTTAATCACTCAGCTATTTCAATGCTAAATTCTATGCTAATTCCTTTGTCAAGGGGTGCCTCTGCGGATGTGTACAAGATACTCTACAAATCACACTTAACATTGACAGCAATGCTTTAACTTAGCTATTTCAATGCTAAATTCTATGCTAATTCCTTTGTCAAGGGGTGCCTCTGCGGATGTGTATGCTTTAACTTTAACATAGCCATTTCTGTGACCAGTCACAAGCTAATCACTCAGCCATTTCAATGATAAATTATATGCTAATTCCTTTGTCAAGGCGCTTTGTTTCTTCTCACACAGCTTAAAGGTCGTGATCTGAGCGTGGCTTTTTCACTCCAGCGCTGTCCTACCAGACAGTCTCGTCCCTTCACCTGATGAAGGCCGCTTGTGTTGTGGCCGAAACGTCGTGAGAATATTATTGTGTTATTTTATTTTATCAATTTATTATTTTATTCTCATTCTACGTGACTTTACCGATAGAACCAAAGAAGATTAATCCTTGCAGTCACGAAAGCTTTAAATCGAAACATTGAGCTGCTGTAATATATTTTGGTCTCAAAATGTGAGGTAAAATGTCTATTTGGTGAAAGATAGGCCCTGTCTGTTGATTCAGAGTCACCCCACAATCCTCCAGCACAGGGCACGATGAATGTCATGCGGATGAGGAGAGCTTACCATCGAGGGCTGACCTGTCCTCTGCGTGTTTGTCTTCCTCTTCCAGCATAACCTCCTCTAGAACACACAAAGACACAAAGATCCCCCCCCAACCAAGCACCAGCTTCGCCTCAGTGGGTGGGTGGCCAGCACCACGCCCGGTCACCTTTGCTGATGTTTACACACCGCAGAGAAGGCCCAAGACCTGCTCACACGTTCGTCACCAATGTTGGCTGTGAGTGGCCATTGCGCTGGTGGTGTGGTGTGGATCAGGCTTTTGAACATGCAACACGCATCTTTGTGTGTTGTTAAATCTACTTGTGTGTGGGTGTCGGCGGGACGACGGTTTCTACCGGTAATACGGCAGACAAGTGGCCAAATCGCCACTACTTCACTTGCCACTGCAAAATCATCAGAACGGTTACATCTGTCGACAACTTACATTTGGTCGTCATGGTAAAAACGGACGCAGCCATTTTCTTCCCGCCGTTTTGGTCAGTGAGGGCGTAGCTATAGTGTGAGTTGCAGCGAGTTGTTTTTGTGGTTGTTCCCGTTCTTTATTTTTATTAATCAGTTTTAATCTTAGCAGACCACCCTGAGTGCGATCATCTCTGACTTCACACGTTAGTAAGGTGCCGAATAAGGAGAAAGACTCCAACACATCCTACAACATAACAAGCCATGGCCTATGTGCTGTGGTGGACCAAGGCCTATCGTATGCAAGTAGCGTATAGAAGCAGCTCCGTTAGAATGGAGCACTCCTCACTTAGGAACACATCTCGGTTTTGAAACATCACAACCCCTCGATGCGCTATCTGGCTGTGTCCTGGAGAGGCCAAGGCCTCAGGATTGGCAGACGCACGGCGATGCAGGTTTCAACGTATCACTTCTTGGACACCTCCTAAAGCCACCTATTGGGACCTTTTTTTGGCAGTATGACCGCTACACTATCGCTCCCCACACCCACGTACGCAAACACACAACAACCGGCATTCGCCACTAAGTGGCGGTGATGTCACCACGGCGCTTGTGCCAGGCTATGTGCACATTAAGGCCACGTGAAGAGGTCACGGGACAGACCCAGGTGCCATGGGTCGACTGACTGAGTTGACTGGCCGATGCACCACCTGTGCCTCCGAATGTGCCAACTTGCTGTGTTTTAGCCACCCGGAACTCCGCTCGTTGTTGCGAGCGTCGCTCTTCTGCCCTCCGTTGTTGCTGGAGGGCGACTGCCTCCACCAGTCCAGGAGCGTCATTCACCGGCCTCCTCCACAGAGGACGACCTTGACACCGCTGGTACCGGTCATCGACAAGTCCACTCAGCTCCACATCCTCCTTTTTACACATCACTCCATCTCTTCTCGAGCCCGTGCCATGCCCATTAAGCCCCCTCTATCCGGCCGAACAAAAGCTGTTTAAGGCATGCGATGGCCGAGCATGTGTGCTACGTGACCCAGCCACACACACAAACACCCCGTCGCTCACACATTCGCGCAACCTGCTCGCTCACCAGCTTTGCAGATCCACTCGAGGTAGCCGTTGAGTTCGCGATCCAGCTGTTGTTGCCGGCGAAGCTTCAGAAAGGCTCTCCTGTTCTCCACTCTCTCTCGCTCCTTGGCAAACTCCCTGCACAGACAAACCGCCTGCCGCGTTACTGCCAAATAACCGTTACTGCGGCCGTTCTCAACGATGATAATCACGGCACGACCAACATCATCGTCGGTGCAGTTACTCTCAACATCACCGCCACGCCCCACATGTTTATTGGGTGGCGAAGTCGTAACACTCACGCCTTACAGCAGGAAGGGGCCTGGGACATGGGGCGGCCTAGTCTGTTGTGGAGTTTGTAAGTTCCCCCCACGTTCTGCATGGGATACCTCCGAGCTCTCCACAAGTTTTTAACCCATGGCTTAAAAAAAAGAGAAGACGCAATGTAACCGGTGCTGGCAAAACATTACAATTCTGAACAATTAGCTGCAGTTATTCAGATGGACTCGTCCAGTTATACAGATGGACTCGTCCATCTGTATAACTGCCAAATCGCTCTCCGTGGTGATAACGTAAACAAAAAATCCGCCACTTTTTTCAAATTTTCTTGCTGTGGTTTTCACACCTGATGATGATTGCTTGTGTTGCAGTCGAAACGTCGTGATAATTTTATTGTTTTTATATTTTTATTATTTTATTGTTTCCCTTCTACGTGACTTTACCGAAAGAACCAAGAATATGAATCCCTGCAGTCACGAAAGCTTTAAATCAAAATTTAATTAGCTGCAGATTACTCAGTTGGGATTACACGGAGCAACAGCGCGCCCCCAACTGCCAATGTCATGTTTCCGATGTATATGGCATAGCAGGTACTGTTGTGCTCAACTCACTGCTTCTGCATGTTTTTTCTCTGGCCACGTTAGCTACGTTGCTTTTCCGTATCACGTTCAGAATTCTGATCGGGCTCCACACCCCTGCTCTCGTCGTCATTTATATTTCAGCATTGTGATCCCGGTCCTCCTTCAACAAGCGTCATTATGCCACACGCTCTGATGTGTGTCTCAGTTGTGTCAATTCATCAACAGAAATCATCACTTGCCTGGTAAAACTTGATGCACGTGACTTACTTGATTCACTTGATTGTGAACCCAACTATTTATCCATCTTGAATGCATTCGTCAATGATTTGCTGGAACGTATGTATGTGTGTTGAACCTCTTTCGCACCGTACTAAATTTCCATTGGTTGCGACAGCATAATAATGAATTCGACTTGTAGCATTTTACCGCACAGTGTCCGCTCGCTCTCGAAGATGGAGAACGATGCAGAGGGGCGAGGAGGAACCAAAGATGCGTAGCGGGAAGGCAGTCCCGACACGTGGTGACCCTGAGCCATATTCCCCCCGAGCTCTGCAGCCCTCTATATATGAAGGCGTTATCAGCCAATTAACCCTTTTCCATTTCAAGACGTCTGCAAGTTGCAGGGTGGGTTGTCCCGTTCACCGCTGGATCTCGGAACGAGCATGCGGCTCAGTATTAATTTTATTTAGAGAGACATAGCAGCGCCGTTGTTTTTAAAGACATTGTTACTCATCGCAGAGAGATGTAGGGACACGACCGCCGCACTCTATGATAGCTGGCACCAAACTGTGCCACACGCCCTCCTGCATGACCTTGTGGGAGCCTTGGTACCGATAAAGTTATTTTATTTTAGTTTTTCTTCCGATTCCGTTCCCACGACGTACACGTACGTGTACGTACACATACGTCGTGGGCATGGGAAAAGGGTTAAGGAGTGTCTACATGTGAGAGGAAACTGGAGCACCCAGAGAATATCCACGCATGCGAGGGGACGACACTTTATCTAACACAGGTGGAATGGATGGAGATCAGTCTGCACTTGCTGTACCGCTTTCTCGTGGCAAGCCGGGTCATGGCATCTCGACGCCCACAACATTTGCGTGATCCACAAACCCCTGCCTCCACAATCCTGGATTACGGTCGTGCGCCACCACCGCCCGAATAAATATATTCAATCTCGGCTCATGCTGGACTTGAACCCGGGATACCTCTCGCACCCACAGCGAGAATCATAACATCAAGCCCGGTGGTTCTCAACCTTGTTTGGCTACTGTACCCCCCCCTGTTGAACATCATTTAAACCGAATGTACTGCCTTGCCTGACCCAACACGGTTCTGGGAAAATTCATGTATGAATAATGAACATCAATATTTTAAGCAATTGTCCATTTTTGTGAGTATCCCCAACTCGCTAGCAACTGCAGGTGAATAAAAATAAAATCCAACGGCCGTCTGCACGCGTAACGTAATTCGTTTCCGCTCGCTGGCTACCCTTGGTATCCACATTGTTTACGATCAATGAGTTTAGAAAGTTCTTCCAGGTTAACATGTGGATTTGAATTCCATTGCAGTTATTCACCAATGACTCTCATGCATGATAGCACTTCACGTATTAGTATATGACCTCACGTACCCCCGGTTGAGAGCAACTGCTCGAGAGAAACAAACCAACATGGCTGTGCTTATGAACTTAGCAAATAACAAGAGCAAGTATGTCAATTGTTTATGAGGATCATGAAGAAAATAATAATAATATGCAATTTAGAGGCCAACCATCTACATGACCATGTCAGATTTAGAAAAGGTTTATAATTTTGCTTGATTATGGACAAGGCAAATGAATACCAAATATCCTCGAGCTTTGCGGTTACCATGCTACGAAAACTCCGTACTACAACTATGTGTAAATAGATGTAGTCATCCACGCTCTCGCGTAACTACATATGAAGAGGGTTTTTGTTTGTATACGTTTTTTTAATTCCAAAAAAATATCTTTACAGCAATGGAACACGATGCACTGAGATCGCAAAGAGAAAAAGTGGTAAAACGTAGATCGCAAGGTGAGTCGGACAAGGAGGTGTTCTCTTGCCCAAGTTATTTGCAGCAACGTTAGAATATATATTTTTTTTCCCTCCAGAAAATGTAACAGAAAATTCACGGGATGAACGTAAATGGCAGAAATATATTGAGCGTCCAAGAATTGCCGAGAATCCACGGCTGTGAAATTATAACGTGGTATTTTTTTGATGGACGGCTGGAGATAATGCCATGCAATGAATATTGAAGGTGGGAAAAGTCTGTCTCCTTGTTTGGAGGCATGAGAATGAGGTGGCGGATGGAATGTTGGCAGGGGAGGTCATTTATGGAGCAAGGGCTTTTAACAGCTCCCATTGATGTACCGTGGAAATGCTTGACGCTTCCATTTTTAATATAGTCCCAAAAAGCTATTCAATGTATCAACAACAACGATGACAACAGCAGACATGACGATGGTTTAGAATAAAATACATTAATTCCAAATGAAGATTACTATTCAGTGGCAGTACATAACAGATGAACAGACAGAAGCACCCGAGCCATCACTCGCTGTCGCAGGTGCCCGTGCATCGCTCTCGTGTGTGAATACCATTGCGGAGATTGACACGCACCGTATACGCTCGTTACAAACGCCGCACGCGCCCGTACGAGACGCACGCGGAGCGCGAGTGAATGCGGCCGCTTCGTGACACGAGATGGGAACAAACACGGAGCGCATGAGCGCGTGGACGGCTCCCGACGCCAAGAAGAAACGCGCGCGTGTGTGTACACGCGGCGGTGAGAACGTACTGAGTTAATATTACAGATAGAAGTATATGCGTAACTCCTTTGATCAATCCCACTGCTGGATGAGGACCTCCACATGCCGTGCGAGTCGGAGGGGTTATTTGAGCGTGCTTCACCAAACTGGTCGGTGCGGGCCGGTCAAGAATAATTTTGTATAGAAAGACAAAGATCTCCCCGGAATTGCCTTTACAGCCTGTGGGGGGTAAGTGCTGTTCGCGGACACCTATGAAGGGCAGCACGGCTCACGAGGTGGTGGGTGGCCAGCACCACGTAGCAATGTTCTTTACGCACCGCACCAGGTGCTCATTTGAGGCCGAGTCGACCTAGGGGATTCTCGTTCACGACCAACACCGGTTCAGATAATCGTCACCGGTGTTGGTCGTGAACGAGAAAGCCAACCGCCACTCCCCCTCCCAATTGATTTTGTATCCACACACATGTAATTATTTTCACGTGCAAGCAGGTACATGTATGGGGAAAAAAAGACGTTACATTTTTCCCAACAGAAGCCACATCTGTTTATGCATACATTTGCCCGAGCCACTGTACATATAAATCATTCACCCATGGAAAGATTTGAAATCTTCCACACGCACACACGCGCGCGCGCCCGGGCGCCCGTGCATGTGTGGGTGTGCAATGGGACTGCGTAATTGACTGTGCAAGTGCTTTTGAATAACGGCCTGTGTCCATTGTTAACATTTTGGAGATTACTGGGAGCACACGTGTGTGAATGTCCGTAAGAATGTGTGCGGGGAGTAGTAGTTGTGGGGAACAGTAGTGCAAACCCGGCAGCCTGAGTTCAATTTGTGCTCAATGCCAACACCGGTGACGATTATCTGAACCGGTCCTGGACCTCTCCTACGTCCACTCAGCCTCAAATGATGACCTGGTGCTGTGTGTAAATATCGCCACTAGGGGAGACAAAGGCGGCCGGGCCTGGTTGCTGGCCACCCACACCCTCGTGTGCCGTGCCGGCTTTCAAAGGTGCTCGCTAACAGCACTTGCCCCTACAGTCTGTTAAGGCTACACGGGGGATCTTTGCCTTTGTGTGTGCACGTGTGTGTGTGCGAGTATGCGCGAGTGTGCACGAGTGTGCGTGAATGTGTGTGAGTGTGTGCGAGTGTGTGTGAGTGTGTGCACGTGTGTGAGTGTGTGCACGTGTGCGTGTGCGAGTGTGTGCGAGTGTGTGTGTGAGTGTGTGCACGCGAGTGTGCGAGTGTGTGCGAGTGTGTGCGTGAGTGTGTGCGTGAGTGTGTGCGAGTGTGTGCGAGTGTGTGCTCGCGTGTGCTCGCGTGTGTTCGCACGCACCCAGACAGGACTCCCAGGGCGAGGTTGAGCATGAAGAAGGACCCGATGATGATGAGGGGGATGAAGTAGAGCCAGTTCCACGTGTTGCCCAGCGCGTCGTTGGTCTGCGGCGAGACGCGCACACCCCGCAGCATCGTCGTCGCCGTCTCTCACAACGCGAACGCTGACCCACGCAGGCCCACGACCGTCGGCAACCACTCACGCTCACGTCAACTGCCGCGTTGGTACTGCGCAATGTGTACGCGGGCACGGAAGCAAGCCGTCACACTCCCCGAGCTGTAAATAACAGCGCAAACGGTCACCGACAACGTCTGCATTGGCTCTGCTGAAACCTAAAGCGCGAGACGGATTTGGCCGTAAGATTGCCAAACCCAAACCGGTGAGATGCCTTCACCCAGCCGAACCCCTCACACAAGAGCTAAGGTGGCTGAGTGTGAGCACATGCATGTACGGTGTGCACCCAAGTCAACGTGTGAGTTTGTGGCCATCTGCATGAGTCCATGGGTCTCTGTGAGTCGATTGGTCTCTGTGCGAGTCTATGGGACACTATGTGAGTCTCTGGAACTCAGCATGAGTTTTTGGGTCTCTGTGCGAGTCTGTGGGTCTCTGTGCGTGTCCATGGGTCTCTATTTGATAAATGGGTCTTTGTACGAATTTGTGGGTACTGTAATGAGTCAATGGATCTCTGAGTGGAGTGAGCGGTGAGTGCGTGTATGTGTGTGTGCGTGTGTGCGTGTGCGTTGTGTGCGTGCGTGCTGGGGCCGTGTAGGGAACTGAGTGGGTGCGTGCGCGTTGTCGCCGCGCCTCCTCACGTTGTAGAGGACGTCCACCCATCCCTCCATGGTGATGCACTGGAACACGGTCAGTCCCGCGAAGAGGATGTTGTCAAACTGCGTGATGCCGTAGTTGGGGCCTTCCCAATAGCCCTTGCACTCGAGGTCCTTGGGGCAGAGGCGAGCCGGAGCCTCCAGGCCACACGGGTCGCTGTCATACTCTGCGACACACGTGGCACGGGGCACGCCAGCACAGGATACACCAGTACAGGTCACAACAGCATGGGTCACAACAGCACAACATCAACAAGCGCCGTTCACCACAAAGTGACAGTGATTGTGCCAAGCTAGGTGAACCTTGAGGCAGTCACGTGAATTGTCAAAGGCTTGCTGAGTAGGAAGGCATGGGACAGACCCAGGTACCATGGGTGGACTGAATGACATGACTGGCAGATGCACCAACTTGCTGCGATTTAGCTGCCCGGTGCTCCGCTCGTTGTTGTGAGCGTCGCTCCTCTGCCCTGCGCTGTTGTTTGAGGGTGACTGCCTCCAACTGCCCAGTAGCGTCCTTCACGATCCTCCTCAACAGAGGCCGATATCGACACCGCTGGTACCAGTCATCGGAAAGTCCACTCAGCTCCACATCCTGCTGTACCACATCAGTCCATCTCTTCTCCAGCCCGTGTTGTGCCCGTTTAGCCCCCCCTCTGGCCAGCCAAATAGAAGTCGCTTGGGCACGCGGTGGCTGGGCATGCGGGCTACATGACCGAGTGCAGGTCGCGCCAGCGCAGGGTCGCGCCAGTACGGGTGACAACAGCACAGGTGACACCGCCAATCGGCTGTGAATGTTGCAGTGCCCACTCATCACGGCGATACGTCGTGGTGTGCACCAAAGCGGAATAGAGCTAAAACTATAAATTATAATTTCATATTTAAAGCTTTCATGACTGCAGGGATTCATATCCTTGGTTCTTTCGGTAAAGTCACCACGTAGAAGGGAAACAATAAAAATTAAACAATAAGATTCTCACGACGCTTGTGTTGCAATCGAAACGTCGTGAGAATTTTATTGTTTTATTTTTATTATTTTATTATTTCCCTTCTACGTGACTTTACCCAAAGAACCAAGCATATAAAAAGTATAAACTAAACTACAGTAAAATCTTGGATTGCGAGCATAATTCGTTCCGGAAACGTGTTTGTAATCCAAAGCACTCGTATATCAAAGCACTCGTATATCAGTTGTGATCACGTGACGCTGGGCAGTACAAAGCGTACACGTACACTACTCGTATTGCAAGACCTCACTTGTTAAATCAAATTAAAATGTATTCAAAGTTTTTGCTCGTCTTGCAAAACACTCGCAGACCAAGTTACTCGCAATCCAAGGTTTTACTGTAAAACTAAAAACTATAAACTAAACTATCTCAAATTTTACCAGGTAAGGCCCACTGATCTGCAATGTAGCGATTTTTCAGAAGCGACCTGGCCACAAATGATAGTTCAACGAAGTGGCTTATCATGTGGAAATTTATAGCAGCCAAATACTCTAAAATGCGTGATGTTGATTCTAAATGTGGAGGGAAAAATCGAAGGACCTGCAGGAAAATCCACGCGACCAGGGCAAGAAATACAGAACAATGAAGCAGGCGTCAAGGTTGGGATCGAACCCACGCCTTCCTGTATACCAGGCGCAGTAGTTAACATCTGGCAACCTTGGCAGGGCGGGGCACAGTGGTACCTGTGTTGTTGAGCATGCAGGTGGTGTGGAACTTCCCCACGTAGAACTCCAGCCCGATGATGGCAAACATGAGGATGGCAAAGAACAGGAGCATCCCGATCTGCAGCAATGGGATCATTGCCTTCATAATAGACTTCAGCACCACCTGCAGGCCTGCACAAGTACACAAAGACAAAGATCCCCCGTACGACGTTAACAGACTGTTCGGCCAAGTGCTGTTGGCGAGTAGCACCTTTAAAGGCCGGCACGGCACACGAGGGGTGGGTGGCCAGCATCACGCCCTCCCACCTTTGTGCTCCTCGTGCTGACGTTTACGCATTGCACCACGTTTGAGTCGATTTCAATCGATTGCACCAGAGTCGACCTAGGGGAGGCCCAGGACTGGTTCAGATAATCGTCACCGATGTTCGGCGTGAACGGTAATCGAACACGGGTCGCCGAGTTTGCAGCGCAGCGCAATAACCGCTACGCCACACACGGCCGGCCGCCTTTGCTTATCGAAAGCTGATGTTTGCACACCGCACCAGCTACTCATTCAAGGCTAAGTGGACCCAGGAGAGGCACAGAACAAGTTCTGATGTCACTTGCCACTGATGTTAATAACTCACGTGACACGTTCATGATGCAGTGCGCGAAACACAGTCCCGGTGCTCCCCCCCCCCCCCTCCGCACACCTTACCACGATTATCTGCATCGCAAGCATCTAAACCTCACCCAACACACACACAGATTTGCCGCACTGCATGCACAAGAGCTCTCAGCCTTATGCAGACTAAACAGCTCCATGGAACGCCACGCGCGTGTCCATTTTGTCGTTTTGGAGCACCGAAAAAATATGTGGCTCCCAGAGGAAATGTGGCAGCAATGAGAATTTGTGACTGTAGAGACAATGGGAGGGAGTGAGGAGGGGAGGGAGACGACGAGGGGAGGGAGAGACAAGAGAGAGAGAGAGATATGACAGGAGAGAGACAGTGGCAGGGAGACCATGGAAAGGAGAGAGGATGGGAGGGAGGTGATGGGAGGAAGGCGTCAGGAAGGTATTCGACAGCGGGACAGTGCGAGGGAAGAAGCAGAGAGAGAGAGAAGTGTTGTGACCTGGGGTGAGTTGTTCTCTTCAAACTGAAATCAGCGCCATTCATAGGCACGGCCGACGTCGAGGACGCAGTAACGATTACTCCTTGAGCGACAACGGCGTGTGTGAACTCGCGCCACGAGACGATCATTTTGCTGTCCCTACTGTGACCGCACAAACCCTTTCCCTGATGCTCGGTCGCTGAACTCCTGACGTCTCCAGGCAACCGTGGTGCTTTTACGACCAATATTGCCATCCATCGGTTGGTTTCCTTAATAGGGTTAGATCGCCGTGTTGCGAAAAACGTCTAATTCTGTTCGCCGTAACCCTCCAGCACCCGACAGGGCCGATCAGATCAAGTTTTCACATCGTGCGCAGGCAAAATAAGCCACGCAATTTGGTTTATCAGTAAAACCGTAAAACTGAAAAGCAAGAATATTTAACAAAAGCTCAGCTCTCTCCGTGGCATATTTGCCCATGTGACAACTTTGCTTCATTGGCTCTGTCGGGCATTGGAGGCTCATAGTTACTTCAACAATGACATTAAACCTACACGACCCCGATGTCTCTTTCCGCTCTCAGACGCCACTCGCCCAAACCGTGAGCGCACCTCTGAGCGCCTCCAAATGACTCTCATTTGGAGACCCGTCAACAGAAATTCTGGGCTCCAATGCAGCAGCAGCAGCAGCAGGAACAACAATGATAAAAATTATTATTAATTTTTACATCAGCGCCTTTCATCGATAGATCATAAGGCGCTGTACGGGTGGACATTTTAACACCCCATATAGAACAAGATCAATCAGGGCAAACCAAGATTAAAATATATCCGCAATGGTGGCTGGGAGCCATCCATCCCGCGCCTCCCGCCCCCCCCCCCCCCCCCGTCATGTGTAAAATAAAATATCCGGCAATATCCGAGGGCATCGCTGTGGAGCGACGTACGGTTGTAGCCCTTCCATGCCCTCTCGTCGGGCGTCATCATTTTTTCATTTTCCACCTCCACATTTTATAAGGGTCGCGCTCATTACACACACAGCGCTTTGCCACAAATGAAAACCACAACACCTCGCTGATCTCGACAAGGAGCATAAACCATCATCACGCAAACTCCGCTCATCCTCGCAGCAGCAGCAGTGGCGACGGCTGCTTTTGGCTGGCTGTCGAACAAAGACGGTCCACCGCATCGCGCGTCGCTTTCGGATGTGCTTCTGCGGCCGTCTGGAACGCGCTTCCTTACCCGTATTAGGAAGCCATTGGAGCTATGCACTTTCAAATCTAGATTTAAAACTCATTTCTTTAAAACTAATTTTTGTGTTTAGTTTGTTGTCCTTCCTCCACACCTACGATTCGCACGGCTGCCTACGTACGGTGCGAAACAAGTTCAACATACACACGTACAGATGACTCAATTGGGATCCTGCTCAGCAACATTTCTCCACTCCTGCGACAACTTGGCAGGACCCGCCTGAAAAGAAGTCACGAGTCTCTATGAGGCTTTGCTGAGTAAAGGAGCATCAATAAAAGTCCATTATTTTGGGTGCCGATTAGGCAACAGGAAAAAATGGCTGAATAAAACAAATTCATGTTGCATTCTGAGATGATTACATCGTGTACCAGATTGAGCAGAGAAACATGCAATAGCAACAGAATGTCCGAGCACTTATCATCATCATCACATTCTCCTGTCTACAAAGAATACAGGTAGTCCCCGACTTACGATGGTCCGACTTACGATATTTCGATCTTACGATGGCGATACGACAAAATTGATCAATATTTCTTATTTCGCGCGGCAGGCAAACGCAGCAGCGTTACGAGGTACAATACTGGAACTTTATCATCGCCATCCTCCTCTTCCGACAACTAAGTTAATGTAGCCATCAACAACCTAACATCGTTCAAGTATGCAAACGACGGACAGACTCTTGGTGAGTACAGTACAATATGATACGTTATAATACGTTCAATGCATGTATGATACGTAGCTTTAGCGATTTCATTTTAGGGTTACCACGATACGATACATACGTTCAATGCATGTTAAAAGTTTTTTTTTATAGCAGATAGGATTGTTTCCTGAAAAAACTTTCTATGAAATTGCAGTTTATATAGGTAGGCTAAGAATTTACCTTGTTTTTTTACTTTAAATTTTACTGTGCAATACAGTATTGTAATTAATAAATACATACAGTATATAGTTTATACAGTACGGTACTGTAAATTGCTCTGTTTTGCTAAATTATCACCATTCTTTAAGACTCCTGGGTAGGCTTAGGCCATCTTCGACTTACGATATTTTCGACTTATGATGGGGTCGACGTAACGCATCTCCATCGTAAGTCGGGGACTACCTGTAGACACACGTTGCACCGTGCTGAGTATTCCACTCTTTGTTGGGGGGTGGCACGGCCCAGCGATAACACGTTCACTGCTTGTCGCAGAGCTCCGTGGTAGGAATCCAGCGGCCACGTTGGTTATTGCTGGGTGTGTGCTCGCCGTAGCGTACACACCGTCTGCTCACTGGCAGAGCCAGTATGGGGGGTGGCACGTGCCCCCCCCCCTCAATGATCCGATCGAAATCCCTCATTTCGATCGGATCATTGGGGTTTATTAATAATAATAAATCGGCATTTTGCGACCCCCCCACTGCAACTGTGTAGCATATTATTACGTGCCAGGGACTCTACGAGATGAGAGGACAATAGTCTGAGTCCATAATTGGCAATAAGTAACGGCAAAGCGGTTATAAGTGACTCATAATTGTGAGCAGTTGCGTATACCGTACACGACTTCCCTGAAGGCATTCACCTTCAGCGAGCGCGATGCCGATCACACAACGCGGTTCGAATTCGACCCTCGATCGATGGCTGCGCCATCGCCACACGTGCGTTGAATAAAAAGCAAGGGACAAGTCCTTACTTACTAACAACTCCTCTATCATTTTTCATTGCTGGAGGAGTTGCCTCACTACCTGAAAATCCTGGCGCCACCATTGCGTCTGCTTGACAGTGGACGTTAAACGTCCCAGAAGGTTATTCAAAAATTAGGCTCGTTGCGTGCCGGCACCACCGCCAAAGTTTGCCAAATGTGAACTTATCCTGCAAACGACACACGGCAACACCACTCTCTACTGGCAGACGACTCCTCTGTCCACCTGTGACACGTAACGCCTTCGAGCTGGCCCTGCGCTATGTGCGTGGAGCGAATACTGAAGGCGTACACGCGAACTCCAAAGGGCTCAAAATACCGTGAGACGGCGACTGAAAGACCTCGGGACACCCAAGGGCATCTCCAGCATCATTTAAAGAACAGCACAGTGGAAAACTCTAACTCCCCTGCAAGAGTATACAAAACAAATAAGTAAGAAAATATACATTTTCTAATTGTAATTAAACATACTGCCGCTTTCTTAAGAAGCGACCATTTGTCGCTCTCAAGAGTAAAGTCGCTCTCCAGAGTAAAGCCGTGGTGTGCAGAAACGTTTAACGTCACGCAGGAAAGGGCGAGAGGACTTTTGGAGAAAAAGGGAAATGGAGGGTTAAGGGCCGAGGTTGTGGAGCAGCAAAAGGCTAATTTCCACCACTTGGTGAACAGCAAATGTAATAATAATTACCGTGTATCATTGTATGTACGTATGTTGAGCTTATTTCGCACCGTACGTAGTCAACTGTGGCCAAAAGTCTCCCGCTTTGTGCTCGTAGAAAGTCCTCTGGGCGAAGACCGAACTTCTGGCGCGGACCCTGACAGAAGAAGAGATGAACCACCGGCAGCTGCTGCTGCTGCTACCAGTGACACCGCGCTGCCACCGAGGGCCTGGATGTGTGATGTGCGGCCAAACGGCGAAACCAAACGAGACCAATCCATCGCACGGCCGTGAGACACTCGACACTGTGGTCAGCCGTGAGTCTCGCTGGTCATCCTTGAGATTTGATGTGTATCTAAAATGCATTACGTTAATGTTATTTTCATCAACGTAATGCAGTCCAAACGTGCCTCCTTTGGTAACCTTCCCCGCGAGTTTGCAACGTGAAAACCACGGAGCCCGAAACCACCGTCTTGAGTGATCGCGCCCCGTAAAATGACAATGAGATCGTTCACTTCCTCGGGCCCACGGTTGACCACATCCCCTCGGGCAGACACGGTCATTAGCTGCAGGACCGAGAGACGGCTGTGGGAAAACTGTACGATCGTGAATGCGTGTTCGCTAGTCTCGGCATCGCTTGCTAAAAATGAAACAAACATTCAGTTCCGTCAGCAAAATATTCCAGCAGCATTCATTTATGAAATGTATTCCCCAAACCAAACCTCCCTCTCCCTGGAAAGGTCCTGTTAAGGAAAATCTCCTTCTATCTCTCCAAACTCCATTCACTCCGTGTCTTCACAACCCCCGACTGCCACCTCATTTTCACCAAGAGCCCTGTAATGAACCAGCCTCCTACATGTGGTAAAATGACTGCCTTCTCTGCTTGTGTCACCATAGACCAGTGTATCCTCCATAATACACGTTGTTTGGGTTAGATCGCATAAATATCAATGTGTCGTTAAACCGCCACCACCCGACACAGCCAACTAGTAAGGTTAGTCACGTAAACAGAACGTGCCAATTCGTTACTAGTAAAGCACACCAGTGTCTTGGAGAGCAAATCCACAACATTTACAGTCTATCCTCCTATAACCACCATGTGGGTATCTCCAGCACACTTCCTTCCTGGATCTGCTCTTACATCTTAAGCCTCCTCAATTCCATACGATCCAAATTATGACTGCCTTGACTCCTCAGTGTGCCTTACCTGGTAAAATAAAATAAAGTTTCTCGTAGTTTTACAGTTTAACCTTTTACTCAGTTGACGTCGCTCTTTCTTCACTGCTGCCCTCATTCTGGAACTCCCTTCCCTCAGCCGCCCGTGCCCCTGTTCAAGTTCAAGATCTAAGACTTTAATTTCCTCCCCCGCCTTTGACAGTCGTTGATTCACTACAAAATAAACTTCTCCATTCCCCCGGATGTGGATAGTTTTGAAATGTAATAACGCTATACAATACAGTAAAAATCCTTGGATTGCGAGTAACTTGGTCTGCGAGTGTTTTGCAAGACGAGCATAAATGTTAAATAAACATCAATTTGATAAACGAGCGAGGGTCTTGCAATACGAGCAGCGAACGTGTACAACTCTTTGTCTCGCCGAGCGTCACGTGATCACAACTGATACACGACGAGTGATTTGATACACGAGTGCTTTGGATTACAAATACATTTCCGGAACGAATTATGCTCGCAATCCAAGGTTTTACTGTATATTTAAATTAAGTGCTATATTAATACAAACCTTACCGCATCGCAAACTAACTTTCAGGGTCTAATCTGCAGTAGAGATCGTGTTTTAATATCCAACGTTGCTGCTGCTGCCCGCAGGTGTGTGGGGGGCGGTTCCTCTCCGCAAACATCGCGCGGTGCGGTGAAGGGCGCTAGAAACAACGCCGATGGTGCATTGAGGGCCAGAGTGAAGCTGTCAACGTAAACTCAGGCTCGCATCATCCAAGAGGCCACAGTAGGCACTGTGACTGTGGCCTAGGAAAACTTAAAAGGGCCTACAAGAAGGTGACCACGTTTTTCGTTTGTATGATAAAACATTTAACCGCGATATCTTCTCGAATGAATATATTTATAGAGCACAAGGATCGGCACGGTGTTTCAAATTAAATCTGCTTTATCTGCAGCACACAGCGGGCTCCCATCGAAAGAAGGCACAGACTAAATAATTGACGTATCAGTAACGGCATCTGTCCAGCTGCTGGACGAAGTACCGCGTGAAACAAGCGGAGCGGCAGTGTCAGTAGAAGCAACATGGGACAACAGCGGTAGCAAATGTAGGAAGTTATCACTGAAGGTCTACGAAACAGAAGTGCCTACAAGAACCTTTATCGTGCCCTGCGTAAACCCAGGGATCTGGCTCACTGCGTGGAAATAAAATATCACCAAGTCCCAACCAAAACGGGGAGAAGCCTTGCAGCCTCGGCGTGTAAACGTTAGCCAGGAGATGAAACGAAACATTTTAATGGACTATGTTTACGAAGGAGTTGAGAGGATGACTGAGGTTTCACTGGATATAAATAATGTCCAAGCCACCTCTGTGACCTCTCAGATAGAAATCTTTAGCGCTGGCTTGTTTACACATGCGGTGAATATCCAGCGCCGTGATAGTAGAATTATCATGTGGAATTCCCTACCCGTTGACAATTCGTTCAACCAACAATGTGCATAATTTAAGTTGCATCTAAAAAAAACACATTTTCTTAATTCGATTTTTGTTCTATGTAGCGCTCCTTCTCTCTTGGCTTAACCTTAATCTTACAAGGTGCCTGGAGACATTAGTAGAAGACGCCTTAGAAACAAATGTACATTATTATTACCACGTATACTGTATGTACACATACAAAACAAAGAACCCCCACTGTGTAGCCTTAACAGGCTGTAGGGGCAAGTGCTGTTAGCGAGCAGCACCTATGAAGGCCGGTAACGGTACACGAGGGGGTGGGTGGCCAGCACCACGCCCGGCCGCCTTTGTCTCCCCAGTGGCGATGTTTATCACACACTGCACCAGGTACTAATTTGAGGCTGAGTCAACCTACATATACAAAATACGTACAGTACTGCAATGGTATAATGTGGTCACACAATCGTGTAGTATTTGTTCAGGCGGCATAGGCTTCGGCCTTATACTGGATGGAATGGGGGTCACATTCTAGAAAATCATTCTACAGGATCCTATGAAATCAAAGGGTTCCTTTAATATTTGATTTTTAGTTTAGGTCAGATTGCATAAGTTGTACATATTGTAATTGTTTCAAAGGAATATGCATACATACTTTGTATAGATGTTAAGCGGTATACAGGGTGGGCCCACTGAACGATGTAGATTGTTTTCATAAGCGACCTGGCCACAAATGATAGCTCAACTAAGTGGCTTATCATGGGGACATTTATAGCAGCCAAATACTCTAAATGCGTGATGTCAATTCTAAATGTGGAGGGAAAAAACGGAAGACCCGGAGAAAAATTCAATGCGACCACGGGGAGAGAGAGAGAGACATGCAAACTCAAAATATACAGCAGGCGTCAAGAGTTAGGATCGAACCCACGATTACAGGTGTAATCGTTGAACACTCATCAACTGTTTCATCTCCATTCATTCACGGAGGTCTCAGTCAAGGTTTGTAAACGGTGGATTCGTGGCAAAAGAGTAGAAAAAAATGTGAAAATTATAATAGATCAAATGATAACGTAAAGAATAAACAATTGCAATGTTTTAACGCCAGTGTTCAAATAAAGGGAAAAAAACACGTGTGCTGACTTTTGGGCAACTGTGTGTATAGTCCAGAAGAGGTTTTTCTTTTGGGTTAAATCGCGTAAATATAAATGCGTCATTAAACCCGCCACCACCCGACGGAGCCAATAAGAAAGGTTTGTCACGTAAACAAAACGTGCCATTTAGTGACTAGTTCAGCAAACAGGCTGTGTTGGAGAGTATACCCACGACAACATTTACAATTCGAGTACCGTGACATTTCACATATAATTATAACAACCAGCCTCATCAGGCGACAGCCAGATTTGTGTATATAGTGGTAGAGAATAATGCAACATAGCCATTCCATTGTACTATCTCCAGTTTGGTACAAAGTGCAATCATCTCTGGATGAAACATGTGTTTTCTATCTGCTGTGTTTTCTACCTTCTCAGCAAGAGACAACAGGATAGTCACCGTACACTATTAATATGCGCTGTGTCTCTGGGGTTACATGTTCTCGTTCATAGTGCCCTATCTGAATACGCTGTTAATATTGCTTGCAGTTTTCAAATTTCCTGCTCCGCACTTCTGGAAGCCAGACCCAGATTGCGTAACACCTTGGTCAGACTCAGCACGTGCGAAGCCCAGAATTGGGCTCCACAGTGCAGCGGAAGATTTCACAGCCAGAGGCCAGAAACACTGTGCACTTGGCCACAGTTAATGTCTGAGGACATGCAAGTTTACCGTGTGCATGGACAGACTAAAAAAATACAGAATACTTAGGGAAAAAAACGAGCATCTGTAGACAACGGAGAGGTGAAAGAAGAATGTGGGCTCCGAATTGTCCAGAGTGGCATCGTGGGGTGGTCACGTGGAATGCTGTAGGGTGGCACTGTGAGGCGTGATGGTGAGGAGTGATGTAAGGTGGTGGAGAAATATAAAGTGGTGTAGTATGGTGGTGTGGTATAAGGTGGTGTAGTGAGGTGATGAGGTGGAGTGGTTAAATGTCGAATAGTGTGGTGGTGTGGTGTAATGTGTAGTATGGTGGGGTGGTGTAGTGTGTTATAGTGTGGTGGTGTGGTGCTGTGTGGTGGTTTGGTGTAAAGTTGAGGAGTGTGGTGGTATAAAGTGGTGTAGTGAGGTGGTGAGTTAGGGTGGTGTAAAGTAGTGTGGTGGGGTGGTGTAATGTGGTATAGTGTGGTGGTGTGGTCTAAGGTGGTGTAGTGAGTTGGTGAGGTGGGGTGGTGTAAAGTAGTTTGGTGGGGTGGTGTAAGGTGGTGTCAGGTGGTGCAGTGTGGTGGTGTGGTATATGGTGGTGTCGTGTAAGGTGGTGTAGTGTGGTGGTGTAAGGTGGTGCAGTGTGGTCGTGTAAGGTGGTGTGGAGAGACTTAGTGTAGCATTTTCGTGTGACGGGTACTCACTGGGAATTCCTGATACAAGTTTCAATGGTCTCAGTACACGCACTGCGCGCAGAGTTCGCAGGTCAAAGTCTGTGCCCATCATCGCCAACATACTGCACACACACACACACAAAGACAAAGATCTCCTGTAAAAACTTTAAGACTTTTGGGGCAAGTGCTGTTCGCGACCACTAATTCTGGCCGGCACGGTGTTTACACACCGCACCGGGTATTCGTTTGAGGCTGAGTCGACCTAAGAGAGGACTTAGGAACAGTTCTGATATTCGTCACCAATGTTGCCTGTGAACGGGAACCGAACTCAGGCCAACCAGGTTCATAGTGCAGGGCACTAACCACTCTGACACTGCTCCACACGTACATACGCGCACACAGCCACATGGGGAGACACATGGTTTCTGGTGTGAAATCCGGTGAAGGGAGAGTTACTTTGGGAAAGCAAACGGTCTCTCATATTTGATTATTCAATATGTTTTAAGTAACACAACATTACGCTACATATGTATTTCAAAAGTAACATAATATAGTTGCTTGATTCTGCTTATGCTACTTAATTGAAATGAACATGCACAGAAGGATGATTAATTCTCAGGAGTAACATCACTGTTTGAAGTGCAGAAGTGCAATTATGAGACATATTCGCCCTGCAGCAGCCCATCTCTACAGAAACATTGTAGAAACATCGTAGTGTAGGAAACATTGTAGTATAGTGAACATTGTAGCGTAGGAAACATCATAGAGTATAGTAGGAAACATTGTACTGTAGGAAACGTCACGGTGTATTTAGCGGTGATGCAGCCTAGCGGTAACGCATTCGCCGATCGTTGCAGAGATTCTTGGTTGGAATCCAGCAGCCACCCTGGTTATTACTGCAGTGTGTGTAGACCATGATACTGCGACGCGCAGACTGCTTCACAGTGGACGGAGAAAGATCCCCTGACGTGGTTCGCAGGAGGAGGCTGTTGTGTGCCAGCGTCCAAATTCGTAAATAACTCGGCAAATGATTCAATGTGGACACACACAGCAGCCATCATTGCCCCCTACTGACAGACAAACCGTAATAATTGGCTGCATCGGGTGGTGGCGGGTTTAACGACGCATTGATATTTACGCGATCGAACCCACACAACTTATATTATGGCCAAAATTGATTGCGAAGGCCTTCTACGTGTTAAACTATCTCTCGAGTTCTCAAAAAATAAAATAACATTGAAAATTGCACCATGGTGGCAGAGTGGTTCATATTTGTGCTTCACAGCACGAAGTAACCCCGGGTTCAATCCCCGACTCGGGTGCCTTTTCGTTTGGAGTTTGTATGCCCCTCCCCCTGTTCTGCATGGGTTTCCTCCAGGGTCCTCCGGTTCACCACCCCCCCCCCCCCACAGCTAAACGAACACCCAATGTGGTATCGGCCAAAACATCCCAGTGTTGAGAAAATACCAGCAAAATCACTCAAGTGGGATCACACATGCAGCAGCAGCGTCAACCCCCTAGTGCGACAACTTGGCAGGACCCCTTCCTGAGAGAAGAGACCAGCAAGACTTCCCTGGGTACTGGGTAAACACGCGTAGTAATAATAATAAGAAGAATTGAACCGCCAACTTGTTTACATTACAGTATAAAGACAGATCCCCCGTGTAGCCTTAACAGACAAGTGCTCTTAGTGAGCACCTATGAAGGCCGGTACGGCACACTAGGAGATGGCTAGCCAGCGCCATGCCTGGCCGCCTTTGTCTCCCCAGTGGTGATGTTTATACACCGCACCAGGTACTCATTTGAGGCTGAGGCGACCTAGGGGAGGCCCACAACCGGCTCAGATAATCGTCACTGGTGTTGGTGGCCATGAGCAGGAATCGAACTTGGGCCGCCAGGTTCACAGCGCGGCGAGCTAACCATAGTACGACCACTGAGCCACAAACGCCGACCGCAAAGTTACCGTGAAACAAACAGCGCTGTATCCACCACGCATGCTCACGCTGACACACCAAGACAATCTACACAGCATTACTCATGTGCACCCGCCCGTGTCATTGCACAGAGCCCTGGGGCTGGAATGGGGCATCGCAGGGCGGTAGAGTGTCCACGTCACACTGCTTCGCCCTTCAGCGGTTTTTGCCCTGGCAAGGGTTTTGGGGCCACCACCTTCTCCACAGACATATTTCTCAGTCAGCTCAAGTCTATTAAAACTGCAGTTTACTGTCGTGAAGTGCAACACAATACCGGTACCGGACTTCCTGCCACCTGAACTAAGATGGCAATTACTGGACTGTCAGGGTTAAAAACCTGGGGTTGGTGACGACCCGACCAGTGTTTACGAGGTTGGGTACCGATTCCAAGGCCAAGAATGTGCTCAAGTGAGTTGAACATCACCGTACACTGCAAAGCACAGCATGGTGGTTCATATAATATACGTGTGTGACCAGCTCTAAGACACCGGTGGGAATTCATCATTCCTATGACAAGGTCCAATCTCGCCACAGGACTGCATGAGACGCATGTTTATTGCTGAATCACTGAAAGAAACTCCCTCGCCTGGTTTACAAGAGGTCGTGGGTTCGATCCCGACCCTGACGCCTGCTGTGTATATTTGGAGTTTGTGTCTCTCTCTCTCTTCCCGTGGTCACGTGGACTTTTTCTCCGGATCCTCCGGTTTTGCCCTCCACATTTGGAATCAACATCAGGCGTTTAAGATTATTCGGCTGCGACGCATTTCCACTTGACATTTGTGGCCAGGTCGCTTCTGAAAAAGAGCTATAGAGCTCAGTGGGGCCTTACCAAGTAAAATAAAATAAATATTAGTTTTGTTTAAACGATTGCCTGTCATTAAATGACCATCCTTTGTGTCAACAGCTGTCAACACTGACATTGCAATTGAGGTGGATTGCTAGCTTTATAGACATTACAATCAGGAGGTTATCATGCATAGCGTTATAATACGTTACCAACAAAGGTTTAAAATTGCAGTTTGAATACTGGCCATTTAAAACCAGACTGACCACAAACTGCAATTTTGGTCTTTAAAACTTTATTTGTATGTGCTTACATATTAGTAAAAGCAAAACCCTAATATTTGTCTCTCCACATAAAAAATAATTGTAAAAAATTAAACCTACGATGTTTTCCGCGTGGCCTTCTGGGAGTGTATTTTTTCAACATCACTGGTTCAACACACAGAAAACTCTGGACCAGTTTCGAGGTTCGGTGTCTGCCATATATACAGAGACAAGGGCCCTCTGTTAAATATGGATCCTAGATCGACGCAAAGTGACATAAATACTTCACACAATGTGATCATGAGCGTGGATTTGTCGGGAATATAAATAAGCACATCAACAGACAATGCGCCTCCTTCTGCTAGAAACGGCTGTGCTGTGCGTAATCATTAATTCCTCTTTTGCCGTCACAGCTGGCGGAGAGGCAATGTGTTATAGAGTCGCACGCCGTTCGCACAATCTATCTCCGTGGCAAAACGCGACGGGTAGCTTTGCAAGCACCGCGCAATTGTGCTCATTCAAAACAGCAGCCCCTCGGGGGGAACGTCTTCGCAAGTCGATTGCGCCCGCGGTGAAACCGTCACGATGATTCATTCACGTGCACAGCTGGTGGCCCCGAAAGAGCTTCAGTCGCCACTTCGGGCCCGCACGGAGGACGGAGCCTCGTTCGTACGGCCGGGGGTTTAAACCCAAACCACCCGACGACGACGACGATCGGACGGACGGACGGACCTCCTCCCCGTCGTCTCCCGTGTGAGAAGCCATTGAAAAACAACGACCGCGATTCAGCGCGGGTGCACGCGAGTCACGCTGTGTGGACTTTCTTGGCATGTCGGCGTGCGCGTGGTCGTGCGCGGTGGACACAGCGGCGTTTATTTCACGGTAACTCTACGGTCGGCGTTTGTGGCTCAGCGATGTCGAAGCGACGGCAGAATCCGGAAACCGGGACGTCGACTCGGCAATAGCGTGGTTTTGCAAAATACACGGCCGCATGTGACGATGTGACAATGGTTTTGCAATGTCACATCATCACACGCCGTGGCAATGCGACACAGCTGGTGCATCTGCCGGTCGTCTCACGTCAATCCACGGCACCTGGGTCTGTCCCATGACCTCATGCCAGCGGGTGTTCGATACTTCACGTGGCCCTAACGTTTACGTGGTCTGGCACAGGCGCCGTGTTGATGTCAACGCCACTTAGTGGCGAATGGCAGTTGTTGTTGTTGGCTTTGCAAAATGTATGTTCAATTAAAAAAATATATACAGATATACACAGGAAACTGGGTATCCATGAAGGACGTCATCATGATCCATGGCCTATCCACTGCTGAATGAAAGGTTTCACAAAACCACCACAATTTTTCACGCTCCTACAATGCAACAATCAACCGCGCACCGGCATACAAGCTGATTCCGTCGCTCCATCTCCCCAGTGGGCGTCCTCTATCGGACGCATTCCATCCCTTGGCTACCACTCCGTCGTCACTATCCTTGACCGTTGGAACGTCGTCCCCTCCGAGGGACGCGTGCTGCCCAAGCCTCACTTGACTTTTCTCGACAGTTTAAACAATGTCATTAAACCCTGTGTGTGTTCTCAATCCTTGTGTTCTAATTTCCGGTCTCTCGTCGTCATTTCCAGGCTTGCATCTGTCTCTCTCCACTCTTCTCTTGCGTATATTTTCATTACTTTTTTAATCTTTCAAGATATTTTTGGTGCTAATAACCACGTCTACTGAACCACGCCTCACAGCAGGTGGTACACGCTGATTAAAAAATCATTCTCCTTCTGGTAAAGTGGAATCTTACTTTTCATTATGGGGTTCATCTGTCCCAAAGCAATCCAACCTGATCTCCTGCACGTCTATATTTCATTATTTTGATTACTGCCCACACTTCATTACCTTAACGTTCGTAATATTCTGCTGTTTTCCAATTTGTGTCGCTCCCCAATGGGTGTCTCCAATTGATTAGCCCTCTCTTGACATTTCTTGCGCTGTTCAAGATAAGTCTCAAGGGTTGTTTGTTGTTGTTGTTTTTGTCTGAAGGAAAACACCTCACTGTACCCACGGAAGCATTTTGAGACGATAACGGCCGGGTCGTTGACACACCATCAATTCCTTTAATCTGCAGATGGTCCAGGCAGTGTCTAGCGACTCCAGATGTGAGACCGAACGCCTTCAGTCAGCGTTCCCTGTCAGTGGCCTTCTGTTTCTGGAGAATCTCTAAGGACAACGATTATTAATATTATTATTATTCTGCATGTTAACCCAGTAAAGCCTAACCGAGTCTCAAGACTCTCTCGGGCAGGTCCTGCCAAATTTTTCACAGTCGGGGGTGATGTTGCTGTTATGTGTGATCCCAACTAAGTAATTTGCAGGTATATAAATCTTTGAGCACTCGGATATTTTAGCCAATACCGGTTACCGTACCATGTGTCTGGGCTATGGGAGGAAACTGGAGAAGCCCGAGGAAATCCACACAGAAAAGGGGGAGAGAGCACACATACCCCACCACAGAAAGGCACCCAAGTCGCGGGAATCCAACTCAGCTCCTTCATGCTGCGAGGCGCAAGCGTTGCCGCTGCGCCACCCTGCCGCTAAGTTGCTTCCATACATCGGGCAATTAAACTTGGGTTTGTCGCGAGGCTACCGGACGACAGCCTGCCGCCTTCTCGGAGCCACCTTCGGCAGAGGGAAGCCCGTGTGGCCGGCGCGTGCAGCTCCTCAGCAGCCTTCGTGCTGCGGTGCTCGTTTGGAGAGAACCTGGGGCCTCGGTGGCGAGTTTTCTCATGGCGCTGCACCGGCGTTTATCCTGCCCCATGGTGGCGGCAGCAGCAGTGGGCAGCACAGGCAACGTTCGCACGCTGGCAGAGCAATGCCCGTTCATCCGCACGCTGCACAAATACTCACCCTGTCAGCACCACCACAAAGTCCATGATGTTCCAGCCACTGTGCAAGTAAGACCCTTTGTGGAACACGAATCCTAAGGCCAGGATCTTAATCGCCGTCTCCAGACAGAAGATGGCAATAAAATATGGCTCTGTCTCCTCCTGCACCCGGCAACAGACGTACAGCACAGACAAGACGGTGCTACAATCACGGTGGTCAGAAGAACCACTAACACTGGCCTGGAATGATGACATGGTATGAAGCAGCAAAGCATAAATATTACTACACAAATCCGAAAGCAAATGTGCACGTTTCGACTCTAATTATGACTTCTATAAATATAAATGTAATTATGCTGTTGTGGCGAGGGCTACCCTTTCATTAATGCGCCGGTGAAAGCTGTCGCGTGGATCAATGTGCGAAATAATTATCATTTACAGCGTCTTTGTTAATCCACTGCTGGATGAAGGCCTTCCAGGCCGAGGCGGTAGTGGCCATTGTTTAACCATACTTCACTACACTGGTCAGTGCGGATTATGCCGGGGGGGGGGGGGGGTTGATTTGCTCGGCCTGTTCAAGTGTCGCTTGCTATTAATGTCAGCCGTGGCTGGATTTGGGTTCAAAGCGCAGTGCGCACAACACTGCCCCACCACTCCCCTACCAGGAACGTACATACGCATTGACAAGAATATGCTTGCAAAGTTCTACATGCATCTGGCTGCAGGTGCGTGTTCACACACACACGCCTCCTGCACGCGTATGTGCTTGAGCGTGCGTGTGCATGGGAGAGTGCATGTGCTTACGTGCGGAGAGCGGTGGCGCCGCGGTTAGCGCACCGTCTTACGAACCCAGCGACCCAATTTCGATTCCTGCTCACGACCATTAAGTGGTGAAAATTTTTAACCGGTCCTGGGCCTCACCTAGATCGACTCAGCCTTACGCGTTTATCTGGTGTCGTGTCTAAAAAGCAGCACTGGGGAGAAAGAGGCTGGCGGGCGTGGTGCTGGCCACCCACTCCCTCGTGTGCCGTGCCGGCCTTCGTAAAATTTCTGCTCGCTAACAGCACACGCCCCACGACACTCTGTGAAAGGCTACATGGGGGAATCTTTTTTCCCCAGACGATTGTGGGGATCATGGAGGTGGTGCTGTGCGGTGTGTGTGTGTGTGTGCTGTGTGTGCTGTGTGTGCTGTATATGTGTGTGCGCCCGGGTAGGGAGCGGCAGTGTAGTGGTTAGCGTCCTGTGTGACCTGGGCTCGATTCCCACTCATCGGTGACGAATATGGAAACTGATCCTGGACCGCCTCTAAGTCTACTCAGCTTTAATTGACCACCTGGTACTGTGTGTAAACATCAGCATTTGGGGAGACATAGGCTTCTGGCCGTGGTGCAGGCCACCAATCCCTTCGTGTGCCATATCCGGCCTTCGTAAGTGCTGCTCGCGAACGGCACTTTGCCCCGACAGTCTGTTAAAGGCTACACGGGGGAGGGGATGCTGCGTGTGCCCAGGTGATTGTGGGGGGCGTGGTGGAGATGACGGTGTCGTGGTTGCACCCAGGCTCGGCGTCGGGAGGATCAGCGTGCTGCGCGCCCTGCCTGCGATCTGTGTCGCTATACGTACCAGGCGCAAAGAGAGAGGTGTCTTGTCATCGTTCGGGAGGTGCTGTTCCAGCGCCAGGACGATGCAGTTGGCGATGATCGTGGCCAGGATCATGTACTCAAAGGGAGTGCGCACATTGGTTAAGGAAGAGCACACTATCGAGTGCTAAACACATGCGATTACCGTATATCCACAAACACATCCGCGTGCGCGAGCGAGCGAGCGAGCGAGCGTGCGGTGCGTACACACGACGGTGTTACATAGAGAACACAGAGTGCGGCAAACGGATTCCTAGCCGTTCCGCGGGGACCACTCAGCAGTATCGAATTGTACTCGTGGGTTTTCTCAGGGTAGCCAAGTTCTTCGCACACGCAAACGCGAGTGATGCACGTGTGGCCCAACGTTTTGAAATATGGTAAGGCTTTCCTGCAAAAATAAATCGCATTCCAGTATAATGGTAAAACTATTCAACGTGTCGTTGGCTTTCGGGACCAATATTATCCATAATAAGATATTTTTGGGGTTAGATCGCGTAAATATAAATGTGTCGTCAAGTCCGCCACCACCCAACACAGCCAATTAATAAGGTTGTCACGGAACCAGAACATTACCAGTACAGCACACCGGTGTGTTGGAGAGTAACCAAACGGGCAACGGAGCCGTCGTGGGGTCACAGAGCTGTCGCGGGGTCACGGAGCCGTCGCGAGGTCACGGAGCCGTCGCGGGGTCACGGAGCCGTCGCGAGGTCACGGAGCCGTCGCGGGGTCACAGAGCCGTCGCGAGGTCACGGAGCCGTCGCGGGGTCACGGAGCCGTCGCGGGGTCACGGAGCCGTCGCGAGGTCACAGAGCCGTCGCGGGGTCACGGAGCCGCACTCTCAAGGGAAGCCTCACCGCTGGACCGTCTTCTTGATCGTTGTAAAAGTCCTCGTAGGAGGGGGGGGGGGGGCACTTGGTGGGCCTGGTGGTCACTGGGAAGAATGTCAGGATTGCCAGCTCCGACGCATCATGTGACCCGCCGAGAAGCGCGCGGTGGATAAGGGTCGTCCCGGGAGCGTGCGCGCTTCTCACCCCGACGGGTATGAGCACGGTCGGCTACGTACGGTGCGAAATACACACACACTAAGTATATTTCACGAGGTTTAGTGCCGATTCTGCTTCAGGCTCTCTTAAATGATGAGCAAACCCATCATCACGACAGAAAGATTAGCACAGGATGGAACACGGCTAGATTTTAAAAACACGCAACATTGTGCTTGTGCCAATTCTCTCAGTCTTATCCAGACCGCCAGCTTAGAAGGACTGCATGTTTGACCATTGTGTCATTTTAGACCACCGACCCACAACGTTGTAGACTGCGGCCTACTCAACAGGCAGCAGTGAATCCCCGAAGTGTGAGGGTACCAGCGCGCTCCATGTACGAGGTTCCAGGATGCAGCAGTGAACATTGATAACCATGCTGCGCTGACGAGTCCTAATAAGCACGAAGCTGGCCTACAGTTGCGTTTGGTTCACTGCCACATGTTGGCTGGCCACATTTTCCCAGGTCTCATAAGCTGGTGGTCTGCGTAAGGCCATGCGATTCGCCACGCCTTTGTGTGCGCGTGCGCGAGTACGTTCAGCCTCTTTCGCACCGCACGCAGACAACCACCTCGCCACCGAGGTGCAAAACCCTCGTGTGTTGTTACATCTCTTTAGCTGTTTTTTTCTGATGTAAGGACAGTACGGGGCCTAGTGGCCGTACATATTGATTGCAACGATGAGGACAGGCAGGGTCAAGTGAGGTACAGTGTAACTGGGTGAGGAGTCAGCGCGGGGGTGGAAATGGAACCCCCGAGGTGTTATAGCGAGGCAAAGGAAATCTCCGACAGGAGAGTTCGGGAAAAGGGGCTTGGCAGAGCCGAGGGGACATAAAAGGCAGCGCAAAGCGGGGCTCGAGGCTGCCGTGGGGGAGTCGGGATCGTCGTCGCTGTTATCACTGTGGATCGTCCTCATCGTCTGGGAAGGCTAGCGAGGGAAGTTATATATCTACGCCGTAGCTGCTACATCGACGGCTCCTATATAGTAAGCCAGCTGTGTAGGGAACGTCGTGTAGCCGCTACTTAGTCGTCCAGTGTAATATAGTCAACCTGTGTCCATCTGTTAAATGTCATCAAATCTGGTGCACTGTTTTATAATATACTGGCTGTACTACCCGGTTTCGCCCGGGACTTGGATTCACCACACCCGGCCACCTTTGTCTCCCCAGTGGCGATGTTCACACCACAACAGTTACTCGTTTGAGGCTGAGTCGACCTAGGGGAGGTCCAGGACCGGTTCAAATAATCATCACCGGTGGTGGCTGTGAGCGGGAATCGAACTCGGGTCGCCGGGTTCGTAGCGCGGCGCGCTAACCGCTACACTACAATGCGTTACGCTTCCACACAGACGCACACATAGACACACAGACAGACACACAGACAGACACACACACACAGACACACACACAGACAGCGCGCTAACCACTACACTACAATGTGTTACACTTCCACACACACACAGACCCACACATAGACACACAGACAGACACACAGACAAACACACACACAGACACACACACAGACACACACAGACACACACAAACAGCGCGCTAACCACTACACTACAATGCGTTACGCTTCCACATGCGAGGGTCACGTGACAGATTTGACGTCACAGCTCACTTGCCGTGCAAAAAATATATCTGCATTATTGAGCTCCCCCCCCCCTAAAAAAAAAGTGTATTTTTATAATTTTTGCATGGTGTACAGTCTGTAAAGTACCCACATGGCAAATTTCAAGTTTGTTGCATGTCGGGAAGTACGCTAAACATTTTGAACAGACACACACATAATCACAACTTTGCCTTGTATATATATATAGAGATAACTTAAGAAGACAGCGTCTCTGAGTGCTACATTACACTACCAGCTACCCTCCCCACCACTGCTCCGCCCCTCCCACCACCCCCGCCCCACCGCTTCCCCCCCGGGGCGAGGAGGATATGGCCACTCGGTGAGGCGGCGCGCGTGTTTCCGCACCGCGTTGTCCTCCCCGAAGAGGAAGAGCGAGCGGTTTTGCGTGAGGCAGTTCTGCCGCACGGGTGTCGGGTTGTAGAGCGCCATGGTGCGTGCCCGCTGGGCCATCGTCTGCTTGTACACGCGCTGGGGGCCCGGCCCGCCATGGGGGCCCACGCCACCATGAGGGCCCGCCCCGCCATGAGGGCCCGCTGTAAACACATGCAGCAGCAGCAGCGATGGCGGCAGCAGCAATGGCAGCAGCAGCATCGTCACGCGCGCCAGTTACCCCCTCACTCGCGAACGGGGCCCATCGCAGGCCTCGTGGCCTGTCCATGCAAACAACTAAACTACTAAAACAATTAATGTTTTTTTTTAATCAAACAATGTTTTTATTTTACCACGTAAGGCCCCACTGAGCTATATGTAGCTCTTTTTCAGACGAGACCTGGCTATCACAAATGATTGCCCAACGAAGTGGCTCATCATTTCTAGATTTAAAGCTTTCGTGACTGCAAGGATCCATACTCTTTGGTTCTATTCGGTAAAGTCACGTAGGTAAAAAAATAAAACAAAAATCACGACGTTTCGGACACAACACAAGCGGCCTTCATCTGGTGAAGGGATCAGGCTGTCTCGAGGAGAGCGCTGGAGTGAAACACAGCCACGCTCAGACCGCGACCTTTAAGCTGTGTGCGAGGAAACAAGGTGCCTTGACAAAGGAATTAGCATAAAAATTTGCATTTGATTGGCCGACTTAGCATAGAGGTGGTGTACGTGCGGGTGCACTTGCCGTTTAGCGCGGGGGGGAGGGGGAGTTTACCTATTGATGGTGTGAAAAGGGAATTTTTAAGAGATGCGAAAGTTTCGGGTACCACTACTTGAAAAATATACTGTACCATTGAAAATTAGTTTAATGTTTGGTTCCAGTACCCCGGGGTTTACAAATTGAGTTGTACCTGCGGTGATTGCTATATCGGGGAGACAAAGTGACATGTCTCTGACCGAATTCGCGAGCACAAATCAGATTTGAAACATGGCAAAACGAATTATTCTGCCGTAGCTGATCACTGTTACAACGCTGTGGGTGATCACGATATAATTTTCTCCGATACCAAGGTTCTTTGCAAACCCACGGGTTTTTATCAGAGATTTGTTCACGAGGCAATTCAGATCTACAAACACAGACACAATTTCAACCGAGAAGATGGTTTCAAATTAATCAACCATTGGAAAGATGTTCTAAATCGAACCAAACATTAAACTAATTTTCAATGGTACAGTATATTTTTCAAGTAGTGGTACCCCAAACTTTCGCAGCTCTTAAAAATTCCCTTTTCACACCATCAATAGGTAAACTCCCCCTCCCCCCCCGCGCCAAACGGCAAGTGCACCCGCACGTACACCACCTCCATGCTAAGTCGGCCAATCAAATGCAATTTTTTATGCTAATTCCTTTGTCAAGGCACCTTGTTTCCTCGCACACAGCTTAAAGGTCGCGGTCTGAGCGTGGCTGTGTTTCACTCCAGCGCTGTCCTCGAGACAGCCTGATCCCTTCACCTGATGAAGGCCACTTGTGTTGTGGCCGAAACGTCGTGATTTTTGTTGTTTTATTTTTTAACCTACGTGACTTTACCAAATAGAACCAAAGAGAATGGCTCATCATTATCGCGTGGAAATGTATAGCAGCCAAATACTCCAAATGCATGATGTTGATTCTAAATTTGGAGGGAAAAACCGGCGGGACCCGGAGAAAAATCCATGCGACCACGGAGAGAGAGAGAGACATGCAAACTCTAAATATACATCAAGCGTGCAGGAAAGGATCAAATCCACGACCTCCTGTACACCAGGCGAGGTAGTTAACATCCCGCCACCACGGCGCAAAACGTTTGTTGGGACCGATGGAGTGGCAGGGTGGTGAAGTGGTAACATGAGTGCCGCACAGCAAGCAAGACCTTAATTTTAAATCCCAATTCGAGGCTGTCTCTGTGTTGAGCTTTTGCATGTTCTTCCCTTGTCCTGCAAGGGTTTCTTCCGAGTTGTACGGTTTTACCCCCATAGACTAAACCAAGCAATGTAACTGGTCTTGGCCAAACAACCCAATGCTGAAAAAAATCCTGAAAATAACTCAATTTGGATTACGCACAGCAGCAGCAGCATTGCCCAAGCAACTGCAAAAACCTGGCAAAATCCTCCTGAGAAAGAGTCTTGAGACTCAGCGAGGCTTTCCTGGGTAAACAAGCGTCATAATATTAACAATACAATTATAATTAAATATTAATGAGTGCAGTAATAAATACCGACGAGTCACACGTGAGTGAGGCTGCCTGGGTCCCTGATTTAACCTTCAGTAGTCCTCATCTCCATTGGTGGCTCGTCTTAAATTCCACAATCCTATGTCAGGGTCAAGCTTGTCCATAGAACAACCATTGTTGACTTTCTCCAAAGGGGGGGTGAATCATTTTATCAACCCTGGAGGGACTACTACGGACTGAACCAACAAGTTGTTTCAATTAAGCCGTGATGCACGTTAGCCAGCAAGGATATTTGCAACACAGCCTTCTTCTAGGATGGCATCTTATCAGCAGCATCAGTTTAATTCTGGCAACATCTGGACCAGTTTTGACAATGAGCTACTCATCAGCAGAGTAAACCTTGCTTGAAGCAATGCTGGTGAGTTGCCTGATGTTGATTGGCAGAGCTTGCTTGCACTTGAACAAATTATGCTGATGAGATGCATTCCCAGAAGGCCGTGTGGCCGTTGGGTTGTGTAAAATATACCTCATTTTTGTTTTATGTCGAGCGACAAACCTGGGAACAGAATTTTTGTTTTACGAACAATCTTCACGTTGACCCTTAAACTATTGTTGCATTTGAAAAACTGTCAATGATGGGAGTGACTGCTGCCCTTTTGACCTCATCCCCTGAAATTGTGGCCCGCTGCACTCACATTGTACCAAGGCGAGCAACACAAATGGGCCCTCGTGAAACATACGGAGCCTAGACATTATTCACGGGACAGCGCTTCCATAGCCAATGGCTCATTGATGGAATTAGCCTGGTCAATATCTCTGCTCTCAAATCACCCTTAAACGAGGATAAATCACCCCAAGGTGGCAGGTAAACTACTGGATTACGCGCAGTAGATTGGGAATTGTTTTCCTTCTGCCACAGTAGAAAAGCGACGTGTGCAGCGATCTCTTAAGTTGCTCTCCCCCTCTTCACCACTCCGTCTAATGGCAGGTCCCAGGCTCATATTTCCTTCATCCAACCGGATCTTGAGTTTTCCTCTTCATTTCACAGCTGCCTTAGCCCAGCTCATTGCGCAGCAATTTCCTTTTATTTCTGCCTCTGGCCCTTTCGCTCAACCTACTTCCTCCTGCTGGAGCATTCTTCGGCTAAACCTCCCCCTCACATTGTCAAATTGTTTTCCAAATGATATCTCTTCCCCCCGAGCCGCTCCATTAGTTCCCTGAAGAAGCTCCGATTGTGTGGAGCGACACGTCAGACATCGTGCCGCACATCGTTGTTTTTTTGACAACTCATTTTTTAAGGGCCGCTTTTTTGTGTTTAGCTTATTGTCCTTCTCCCGCACCTCCGATTACCACGGTTGGCTATGTACGGTGCAAAAGAAGTTCAACATGCATGCATACGTATAGCTTTTTTTCACAAACGACCTGGCTACCACAAACGATACCTCAACGAAATGGCTTATCATCATCGTGTGGAAATTCACAGCAGCCAAATACTGTAAACGCGTGGCGACGTCGATTCTCAATGTTGAGGGGCAACAACCCGAGGGCCGCGAAGAAAAATCCACGTGACCACGGAGAGAGAGAGAGAGAGACACGCCGCAAACTTCAAATATACAGCAGCAGGCATTGTCAGGGTCGGGATCGAACCCATGACTTCCTGTATACCAGGCGAGGGAGTTTACATCTCCTAGCCACCGTGATGATGATGAGAGAGAGACACACCGCAAACTCCAAATATACAGCAGCAGGCGTCAGGGTCGGCATCGAACCCACGACCTCCTGCGTACCAGGCGAGGTAGTTTACATCTCATAGCCACCGTGGTGATGATGAGAGAGAGAGAGACGCGCAAACTCCAAATATACAGCAGCAGGCGTCAGGGTCGGCATCGAACCCACGACCTCCTGCATACCAGGCGAGGTAATTTACATATCTTAGCCACTGCGGCGCCACGTCAGAGTGTGTGGCGGGAGCGGCCGCACTCGGCTGGCCACTGGAGGTGGCCTGGGGGAGGGGGGGTCAGGGGAGGGAGGTGGGGGGGTTTCTGACCCACGAGGGCGGCGGTCGCTCCCCCAGGCCCATTGGTCGGCTTCCTTCAAGCGAAGCGGCAGGTTTTTTTTTTATATAAATCTCCAGTAACGGATCTAAATTTACCCCACAGCGACCGTGGATCGATGTCGTTATGGTAACGAAGTGAAACGGCACCGGAGGGAACCCTGAGGCACCCGCCGGGCGCCGTGGCCCTGGCTGGAGTCGCAGCCACGGCAGGTACCGCCACAGCAGGCCGCTGCTGCGTTGAGTGGGCCAGCAACAAGCAGCACTGCCAAAGTTGTTGCTCCCGTTGGCGTGGCTAGGAGATGTTGACTCCCTCGCCTGGTATGCAGGAGGCCCGTGGGTTTCGATCCAGACCCTGACGTCTGCTGTATATCTCCCCATGGTCGTGTGGATTATTCCACGGGGTCCTCCGGTTTTCCCTTCCGCATTTACAATCATCATCATGCGTTTAGAAGTATTTGGCTGCTATACGTTTTCACATGATAAGCCAATTGCTTGGGCTATCCATTTGTGATGGCCAAGTTGCTTCTGAAAAAAAGAGCTATGTAGCTCGGTGGTAAAAATAAAAAAATACTGTTTATAGTTTCATTCCTCTAACTTCTCCAGTTTCTCCATTTGGGCTGCATGGGCATGGACAACTACAGACCTGTGAAATGATCAACTGAGCCAAGAACATGAGGGAGGCCTCCTGAGCGGTTGGCACTCGGGCAACTGCCGCGAAGGTAGATGGGCAAGAGTGGAAAGGCCAAATCGTCCGGAGATGGGATGGCTACGGTTGGAGAAGCGTCTTCCCGGTGACACTGCTCCTCATCCATGATTGTTTGGATGTTCGGTCAAAATCTCGACCCGCCGTATTCACGACCTCACGGTCAGTGCCGAATTAAGCTAGCGCGGGGCCTGTAGCATATGTTATGAAGAGGCCCTAAATAAAAAAACACACGCAAATATTAAAACACATAAATGTTTAACTTGCATAGTAAAGTAATTGTATTTTTTCATTTGCTATACAGCCAGATAATACCATAAATCGCTAACCTTAAACACCAAGTCGTTCATATTAGTTGAAGGCGGTATAGTACTATAGTAATAGAGCAAGTGCAGAATCAGTGAACCGGAATTGATAGTTTGAAAGCATTTAGCGCGGGGCCCTTGAAAGTGCGGGGCCCGCAGCTGCATATGTAGCTAGCTACTTTTGCGACGAGAATAATTCGGCACTGCTCACGATGAACGTGTTTAATGTGAAACGGCGAAATTATGTTCGCGCTTTTTAACTCGCGTTCCACATTTCACGTGACGTTTTGTATTCCCCGAGGCGTATTACTCGCACACGTAACACACCCACGCATGCGGGATCACACCAGCGGCTCTCTTGACACACACGGCCGGGGACACACGTGGCTCATACACTCAACTCTAAACCTTCACACTCACAACCACAGCATCACCTCCAGAGACAAATATCTCCCCCCTCCCCCCACCATGTCACCTGGCTGTTTGGGCAAGTGCTGTCAGCGTGCAGCTATGAAGGCTGGCACAGCACACGATGGGGTGGATGGCCAGCACCACGCCTGGCCACCTTTGTTTACCCACCGCACCAGGTACTACTTTAAGTCTGAGTCGCCCTAGTGGAGGCTCAAGACCGTTTCAAATATTAGTCAATGATGTTGACCATGAGCGGGAATAAAAGTTGGCAGAGCAGCCACTGTGCTACCGCCCCACAGAAACGAATCCACAGACAAAGGTCCCCCGTGTAGCCTTCACAGACTTTTGGGGCAATTGCTGTTCGCGAGCACCTATCAAGGCCGACACAGTGCACGAGGGGGTGTGTGGCTAGCACCACGCCCGGCCGCCTTTGTCTCCCTCGAGGTGATATTCTTACACACTGCACCGGGTACTCATTTGAGGCTGAGTCAACCTTGGGGGAGGCCCATGATAGATTCAGATAATCGGCACTGGTGTCGGCCGTGAGCGGGAATCGAACTCGGGTGAATAGGTCTGTCGCGCGGCGTAATGACCACTACACCACCATTCCCGCTCCGCACAAACATGCACAAGACGGTCACTGCTTTCAGACGCGCTTCTGCGGCCATCTGGAACGCTCTTCCTTTCCGAATGTAGGTAGCCACCGGAGTTGTGCACTTTTAAATAATCATCTAGATTGACAAACGAATTTCTATAGAGCTGCTTTGTGTTTAGTTTGTTGTCTTTCCCCAGCACCTCCGAATAGCACGGTTGGCTACGTACGATGCAAAATGAAGTTCAACATACAAACGTACATGCACACGCACGTGCGTGCTCACTGCACACTTACCTCCACCATGAGCTCCCTGTCCACCATGGGGCCCGTTGCTCCCTCGCACGGAGAACTCGTCCCCAAACTTCGCCATGGCACGGCTGGCTCGGTGTGTACCGAGTAAACCCCTGGCTACCCCGACTCGCCTAACATTTAAACATCCGGCGGTTGGCACCAAATCATAAATTTAACTAAATGAAGATGTAAAAATATTAAATAAAAAAGAATAATCCAACAGGTAAAATGGAAACTACGCTGTGGTTATATGACGATGGATTTTACGTATACCTACGAAACAAAATAGGGAATTAAATTTAAAAAAATTCTACACTGCTATTAATATTCCGATTTTCTTTTAAAAAGTTCGTTAAAATATTTCACGTGCGGCCGTCCTTGCAGCTTGTGATGTGCTGGCGACCATCACCTGAAACGGAAAGTCAGAGTTGAGGGTCAGTCACAAGCATAGTCAGAGCGGAGGGTCACTCACAAGCACAGTCAGAGTGGAGGGTCACTCACAAGCACAGAGTGGAGGGTCACTCACAAGTACAGTCAGTGTGGAGGGTCACTCACAAGTACAGTCAGTGTGGAGGGTCACTCACAAGTACAGTCAGTGTGGAGGGTCACTCACAAGCACAGTCAGAGTGGAGGGTCACTCACAAGCACAGTCAGAGTGGAGGGTCACTCACAAGCACAGTCAGTGTGGAGGGTCACTCACAAGCACAGTCAGTGTGGAGGGTCACTCACAAGCACAGTCAGAGTAGAGGGTCACTCACAAGCAAAGTCAGTGTGGAGGGTCACTCACAAGCACAGTCAGAGTGGAGGGTCACTCACAAGCACAGTCAGTGTGGCGGGTCACTCACAAGCACAGTCAGTGTGGAGGGTCACTCACAAGCACAGTCAGTGTGGAGGGTCACTCACAAGCACAGTCAGAGTGGAGGGTCACTCACAAGCACAGTCAGAGTGGAGGGTCACTCACAAGCACAGTCAGTGTGGAGGGTCACTCACAAGCACAGTCAGTGTGGAGGGTCACTCACAAGCACAGTCAGTGTGGGGGGTCACTCACAAGCACAGTCAGTGTGGAGGGTCACTCACAAGCACAGTCAGTGTGGAGGGTCACTCACAAGCACAGTCAGTGTGGAGGGTCACTCACAAGCACAGTCAGAGTGGAGGGTCAGTCACAAGCACAGTCAGAGTGGAGGGTCACTCACAGGCACAGTCAGTGTGGAGGGTCACTCACAAGCACAGTCAGTGTGGAGGGTCACTCACAAGCACAGTCAGTGTGGAGGGTCACTCACAAGCACAGTCAGTGTGGAGGGTCACTCACAATCACAGTCAGAGTGGAGGGTCACTCACAAGCACAGAGTGGAGGGTCACTCACAAGCACAGTCAGAGTGGAGGGTCACTCACAAGCACAGTCAGAGTGGAGGGTCAGTCACAAGCACAGTCAGAGTGGAGGGTCACTCACAGGCACAGTCAGTGTGGAGGGTCACTCACAAGCACAGTCAGTGTGGAGGGTCACTCACAAGCACAGTCAGAGTGGAGGGTCAGTCACAAGCACAGAGTGGAGGGTCACTCACAATCACAGTCAGAGTGGAGGGTCACTCACAGGCACAGTCAGAGTGGAGGGTCACTCACAAGCACAGTCAGAGTGGAGGGTCACTCACAAGCACAGAGTGGAGGGTCACTCACAATCACAGTCAGAGTGGAGTGTCACTCACAAGCACAGTCAGAGTGGAGGGTCACTCACAAGCACAGTCAGAGCGGAGGGTCACTCACAAGCACAGCCAGAGTGGAGGGTCACTCACAAGCACAGTCAGAGTGGAGGGTCACTCACAAGCACAGAGTGGAGGGTCACTCACAGGCACAGTCAGAGTGGAGGGTCACTCACACGCACAGAGTGGAGGGTCACTCACAAGCACAGTCAGAGTGGAGGGTCAATCACAAGCACAGTCAGAGTGGAGGGTCACTGACAAGCACAGTCAGAGCGGAGGGTCACTCACAAGCACAGCCAGAGTGGAGGGTCACTCACAAGCACAGCCAGAGTGGAGGGTCACTCACAAGCACAGTCAGAGTGGAGGGTCACTCACAAGCACAGTCAGTGTGGAGGGTCACTCACAAGCACAGTCAGAGCGGAGGGTCACTCACAAGTACAGTCAGAGTGGAGGGTGACTCACAAGCACAGAGTGGAGGGTCACTCACAAGCACAGTCAGAGCGGAGGGTCACTCACAATCACAGTCAGAGTGGAGGGTCACTCACAAGTACAGAGTGGAGGGTCACTCACAAGCACAGTCAGAGCGGAGGGTCACTCACAATCACAGTCAGAGTGGAGGGTCACTCACAAGCACAGAGTGGAGGGTCACTCACAAGCACAGTCAGAGCAGAGGGTCACTCACAAGCACAGTCAGAGTGGAGGGTGACTCACAAGCACAGTCAGAGTGGAGGGTCACTCACAAGCACAGTCAGAGTGGAGAGTCACCCACAAGCACAGCCAAAGTGGAGGGTCACTCACAAGCACAGCCACGCACGTTCAACAGAGGCCCTCCTCATGGCGTCACACTGTTTTCAAGAATACAGTCTCCTGTATTATTATCAGTTCGACTGTTACCCAGCATAGCCTCACCGAATCTCGAGGCAGACAGTCCCCGACTTACGAACACCCGCACTTATTTTCCCACATCCGACTTGCGAACCGACCCACGTAACTATTTTGTTCCGAAGAGTGATCCTCCGCGAGGTGTTTCGAGTCCCAGCACCCTGCTTGGAGTGAGTATTTTGTGCACGTGTATGAAAGTGAGAGTGCGTGTTTAGCGCTCGTGGTGTGCGCTTAAGCGTGCGTATCCCGTGCATGTGTGTGGGGAGCAGTAGTGAAATGGTTAGCGCGCTGTGCTACGAACCCGGCGACCCGAGTTCAATTCCCCCTCACGGCCAACACCGGTGACGATTATCCGAATGGGTCCTGGGCCTCCTCCCCTAGGGCGACTCAGCCTCAAATGAGTACCTGGTGCGCTGTTTAAATATCACCACTGGGGAGTCAAAAGCGGCCAGGCGTGGTTGCTGGCCACCCACTCTCTCGTGTGCTCTGCCGGCCTTCATAGGTGCTCGCTAACAGCACTTGCCTCAACAGTCTGTAAAGATGACGGACTGTTGAGGCAAGTGTGTGCATACGCACATGCCCCGTGTGTTCGTGCAATTGTGGGCACCGATTACGCGCCCCTTTCAACAAGTAAGCCAGCATCAGGACTCAAGGTCAGTGAAAATGATTGTTTTTTTATCTTTCCATGTTACTTGATTTTATGTTTTATTTACTATCCAGTATTTATCATAGTATTACATGCAAATGTACAATATTTCCTCTCATGAGTTTAACAATGCTTCCCTGTTTAGTTGAACCGTAACACATTTCATAACACTGACCGGCATTGGTTATTTAAATACAGCGGTACATTGCTGTGTCCTAACTTACGAACCGTTGCGACTTACGAACGGGTCTCAAGAACGGAACCCGTTCGTAAGTCGGGTTCCTGCCCGTACTCTTTTTCAGGAGGTCCCTGGCAAGTGCTCACAGAAGGGGCGACGTTGCTGCTGTGTGTGTGTAATTCCAATTGAGTGATTTACAGTGGGATTTTTCAGCATTGGGAAGTTTGGCCAATATCAGCACCATTGTGTGGTGTGATTCTTGAGGTATGAGAGTGGAACGGAGAAACTGGAGCAAACGCATGGGGAACAGGGGGAGAACATACAAACTGCACACACTCACATTCGCTCACTCACACAGTCTGCACACACTCATTCGCACTCTGAAGAAGAGAAAAGCATACCAACTCCATACACTTACATTCGCTCACTCACTCAACAACAACAACCACCGTTCTCCACTAAGTGGCTAGGTGTAGTCAATGCACACTCACACTCTGAAGTAAAGGTAACCTAGAAACTCCACTCAAAAACACGCCAGAGTTGGGAATGTAACCCAGTATCGTACTGCTGTGAGGCGCGGATGTTACCCCTGCACTGTAGATTAAAGGAGAGAATGGATCGAGCTACGGTCGAGCATTGATCGAGCTTGATGTTCAAGGTCAAGACTTCCAAGAAATTACAAATCTTCAAATCTCCACGATAAACGTACCTGTTTAAATTGTCTTTTTCTCTTTGATTATTTTCAAACGTCTTTCTCACTTATTTTTCCCTCGGTTAATGTCAAAATGTGTCTGCCCTTCCACGCACAGCGCCCTGTGAGTGACTGTTAAAGAGAGTCCTTGATACATTGTTTCTCATTACAGTGACTCCTCTACTTACGAACAGTCAACTTAGGAACTTTCGGAGACACGAACAAACCTGGGTCATATGTCCATTCGCCTGTTCGAACCGAGAGTCGTAAGTTCAACCGCCGCACAATAGATGGTGGTGGTGGCGTCTGCAGAACGTGAAGAAGCAGTGGCATCTACATTTTAGAGGTGATTATACCACTTTTTAAAGCCATTCCCCGTGTTTAGTGTACACGGTGTACAACGTGTTTGTAATTGACAGGAGTTAAGTTGGACTTACGAACAAATTGCCTTACGGACAGAGACCTCTGCCACCCAACTCATTCGTAAGTAGAGGAGTCCCTGCATTGCTTCTGACAATTCCCGTTACAGGATTCCCTTCTTTGGGCAAGAAGAACACCCCCCCCCCCCCCCCCCCAAAAAAAAAAAACTTTTTGGGCAAAGCCATGCCCGACCCCTCCTCCACGTACGCCCCTTGCCAATCAACACCGTCGCCTCTCATTCGTTACGTCACGGGAATCGTTGTCCTGTTAACAAAGCCAGCGCGCTGTCACAGTGCGCGCGAGCGACCATCGTCACTTCAACGAAGGAAGGTGAACTACGCCTCGCGTGGCAACACTATACGGGGAAACGTAAACCGTGTAGACCTGTGTGATTACATTTATAAAGGGGTGGTGAGACTTGTTGTTTGATTTTTTACTCGCGTTTTTCCGCCACCTCGTTTACTTTGACAGCCGGCACCGGTGGAGGAGAGGACACGGAGGTTAAAAAAAAAATTTGAGCGAATGGCTATCCTTCACTCGATGTCTCCAATTATCGAGCCTCTATGTGTGTGTGCTATGAAGAAGGGCCATTGTCCCAAACGTCACCTGTTTAATACACTGGTATATTATTCCCCCTTTAAGGCCACAGTGTTGTTGAAGACCGTGTTTAGTGTTGTTATTTGAGCTCGTGCCAAGGCAGCATCACCACCACCAAATATTTGATCTGTTCATCGAGGATTAGTTCTTTGTCACACGGCGCGAGCGATCTCTGTCAGCCGCTTTCTCATTTTACCTAAACACACAAAAACAGCTCCTGCTTTCAAATGTAAACTATAAAATAGATGACCAGGTAATGCCCACTAAGCTATGTTGAGCGCTTTTTCAGAAGCGACCT